AGGAAAGCATGCACCCCTTGCAACGTGAAAATCCTATTTTAAAGATCTGTCACTGTATTTAGTAAGGGTTACAAGTCATTGTTTCCTCTGTCAGAATTTAGCAATGGGTCCTCGACAACTCAGTACGGAAAAAAGATGGCAAGTTATTGGCATGAGCAATGCCGGTATGTCAATGAGAGAGATTGCAAGGCAGTTGGATCACCAACCTTCAACCATTAGTCGATTGTTACGAAAGAATCATCAGACTAATGATGTCAAGGACCGCCATCGTCCTAGTAGACCTCGCTGTACGCCAGCAAGAGAGGATGCAACTCTTATGAGGATTTACGGCGGTTTCCTTTTGCACCAAGCACTGTTCTGAAAAGGGAGTGGTTACCTCACCGTCGCATATGCCACAGAACTGTCCGTAATCGACTTAAAGATGCTGGATATCGTGCCAGGAGACCTGTCAGAAGACCTCTGTTGTCACGTGAACAAAAGGCAGCTCGATTGGCATGGTGTCGAACACGTAATCACTGTAATATTGCGTCATGGCGGAAAATCCATTGGTCTGACGAGAGTCGCTTTCTGTTGTTCATGTCAGATGGTAGAGCACGTGTTTGGCGACGTAATAAGATGGCATATGCTGAGAGGAACATTCTGGAACAAGTTCCATTTGGCGGCGGCTCTGTTATGATCAGGGGTTGCTTGTCATATGACTGCAAGCTGCCACTGGTAACAGTGAGAGGCAACCTTAATGGCCAACGATACCAAACAGAAATCCTTGACAGGGTTTTAGTGCCTCACTTTGACAATCATGCTCTAAACACAAGGCCAGTCTTCATGGATGATAACGCGCGACCACACGGTGCGCGTGCTGTTGTGGATTTTCTGCATCAAAGGATGTCATTACCCTACCTTGGCCAGCCAGAAGCCCAGACCTCAATCCCATCGAGCATATCTGGGACATTCTTGGACGTAAAATCCGTCAGAGGGAGCCACCAGTGCAGAATGTTGATGAATTGGAACAGGCACTACACCAGGAGTGGAACATTCTCACACAGGAACAGATCAGACCAGTCATATAGGTCAATGAGGAGGAGGGTTGGACAGGTGATTCAAGCTGGAGGAGGATACACCAGATACTGACATTTTTCACTGTTTTGCAAACTCGATGAACTTTCCGAGGATGACATGAATGGATATTGAATTATGAATTCAGCTAGACCTGTTCTAGCCATAGTTTTTCGCACTGGATATTTTCCATTTTTCTGGTCTTTTTGGTAACTCACCATAAACACATTACGATCTTTACCGACAATTTCATTCCAACCTTCTCTTATTGTTCAATATTTGCTCTACAAAGAACACTGAGACACCATTGGTTTACACACGTAATATAGCGATCACATCACATCGAATCAAACACCTGCAGCATAATCAAATAGGGTTGTTGCGATACTTTTTTCTCTGTATATATATGTCACATGTTTTATATATATATATATATATATATATATATATATATATATATATATATATATATATATACTAGCCACATAAAGAAACTGTGCACGGAGAAAATATAGATATAAGGGCACACCGTCCATATATGAAAGATAGGTTTGAACACAGCAATTATTGGAGACATTCAAACGCTCATGCACGTGCCATGCGATGTGACGTCATTGATGGGGGCCTATGGACGTGCAATGTGTTACTGCACGTGCATTCTGTGCAGCTGTACACAGCATGTGCAACTCAAACTTCGCTGTCACTTTGGAAAGCATGATCTGTGGTCATTCAAAAATTCAACATTTCCCACAGTGACGGGCGCCAACGTGTCTACCGGCGTTTGGGAGAACGTTATGCACGCAACTGTATTGTGGAGAGGAATCGTTTCGGAGGGGGCTCTGTGATGATTTGGGGTGGGATAACAGCACGGCACCGAACCCCTTTGGTGGTTGTTCAGGGCAATATCACCGGTGTTGGCTACAGAGATCAGATTCTGAGGCCTGTGGTCATTCCTTTCCTGCAACGTCACGGCCCGGGATTGACATTTCAACAGGACAACGCTCGTCCTCACACGGCTAGGGTCGCAATGGATTTCCTTCACCATAACAATGTCATGGCCTGCAATTTCTCTAGATCTCTCCCCAATAGAGCATGTTTGGGATGAAATGGAGCGCCGTCTGCGTCGTCTTCCACATCCTCCAGATAACGTCCGTGACTTGGCACAGGATTTGAGGAGGATATGGCAGGCCATTCCCCAGGCCTTCCAGGCCCATTTGGTGGACTCCATGCGTCGCCGATGCACCGCTGTGATTCACGCACAGGGTGGTCATACCCGTGATTGACTTTGTGACTTTATGGTTTGACCCCCTACTCCATTTTGATCTTCTGACGTCATCGTAACAGATGTTGTTCAGGTCCCGTTGACATTTTCTTATGGTCCGATCATTCAGCTGCTACAGCGTCTGCATCATTTTGTTCTTGCTGTGTTGTATTTCAATCCAGAATATATTTTCTCCGTGCACAGTTTCTTTATGTGGCTAGTATATATATATATGTATATGTATATGTATATATATGTATATGTATATATCAAACATGTGATTGATGGGCCAAAAGTGACAAAGAAGCTTATGAATGAATTCTTATGGAGCATTGAAGAATTGAGGAATGGACATGTTTTCAGGTTTTAGAGTCAATTAAAAAGTTTGGGGCAGAAATGTGGGTGATGTGGTCCAGGGGTTCTTTCTTTGAGGGACATATGACGATCTGTGATCTGGCATGGTTAGAGCGTTAACATCCCTATCTATGCACCATCACCTCTCCCACCGCTTCATACGCACGCACTCACGCAAGTCCTTGATCTTCCTTTATCTTAAATATTATTCAAGTGGGTTAGGTTGGAAAAACGTATCCGTACATAATTAACAAATCATCGAAAATTTGGATTAACGAACTACAGGTAGGTACTATTGTTCTTTGCAAACATGAAGACGTTTCCTACAGTAATTATCCGGATTGTGGGATTTCCGGGCCAACAGGGTCTCATTATATTCATGGAAAAAGATGCGGAAAAGATGGACGAGTGACCGGGCGGCGTTCGTACTTGCAGGGTTTCACTTGACAGACAGACAGACAGACAGATATTTTATTTACGTCTCACCTCAAATATTACATAAAAATATAAATATATATATATAATATTTAAATGAGTCACTCCTATTGGAGTTATGAGTGACGAAAACGTTAAAATATACAAATAAAGATTACTAAAATTCAAATAAATAAAAGGTAAATGTACACACAAAAGTTAAACACACTATACAGTATATCAAATATCTTTCCGTATGTTTAAAATAGCCTTGCAGGTTTTGGCAGCAACATGTACAACAATAGGGCTGGCGAGAATAAAACACAATTCAACATAATCATTTTGAAGATTAAAATCATGACACACATCAATACATTTTGTTAAAAGCTCTTTACGGACATCATTATAAACTGGACATTGAAGTAGAACATGCAGCTCATCTTCCACACAATCTGTACAATTAAAACACTCTCTCACTGACCGGAAGGTTATTATAGCGCCCAGTTTCCAGTTTTATCGGTGCAACTCCATATCTAAATACGGCGAGAGCTTTTCTGTTTTGTCTTGACATCGTGAGTTTATTGTAGTGTTCCACACTGAAATCTTTCTTGAACTGGTTGTATAGCCTTAGTTTATTACCTCCCTTGCCTCTGACACTGTTATCCTGATTTATTGCACTTTCCCACTTTTCTCGGAACTTTTTAAAAACTTCGTCTTTGACCTCCATGGCAATACGTCTGTAGTGGTAATTATTTTCTGTGGGGATAAAAACTTCTTTTCCAAGGGTTTTATATTTAAAATGAACTCTAAAATTCCAATTCTTCCTTTTTTTGAAAGCGTAGTTGTTAGCCCAAATAAAAACTCTTCTTGACAGTCTGTGGTCTTGCAAGGAACTTAGACGTTTATAAAACTTAGACACGGTCTCCCATTGACGAACTATTGGCGGTGTCCATCCCATGTCTCCAGACACGGCGTTGTTAGGGGTGAATTTTCGGAGTCCCATAAAAAACCGCATCGCTTTATTTTGTACAGCGTTGACACAAGACAGATCGTACTGTCTCCACATCGCAGAACCATACTGTATAGTAGACCACACCATCGAATCATAAAGTTTTGTATAGGTTTCGTATTGCAAACCACCAAGTGCCTTGTATTTTGATATAAGGAGGCCGAGAGCTCTGTTGGCTGGCTTCGCTACCGCTTGTCCCATGCGTTTGTAGTCGAGGTGCTCTGTAAGTAATGAACCAAGATAACTATAACAGCTGACTAGTTCGATATTGTTCATTCCAGACGAGAAGGTTGACGATGTTTTTTCTCGCTGATTTGTTCCTGAAGTGTATCAATTTAGATTTAGCTTCATTTATTTCCATCTTATTCTCCAGACACCAGGTGCTGAGTACATCAAGTGGAATGTTCATGTTATCCTCGTTCTCTGTAATTAAAACAATGTCGTCAGCATAGGCTAAAATTCCAACGTTGATATCGTCGACGTCTACACCAAGAGCCAGTTCGTTCACAGTTGTTATTAAGTCCGTAATAAAAATACATGTACTTTGTATCACACACAATCACATGGTTAATTTATAATCTGCAGTTGGCAGAGTGACCTGTTGTGACGTACTCTGAACAAGCATGCTAATCTGGACTTATATGGAACACTGTAAGGTATTCTTTTCACTATTTTGCAAGCTCAACCTTCTGTTGAAAGTTGTACCGTTAGTCGAGATTACAATATGTTTATATGACGTCTCATTTCAGAATTTCACAATCTTGACTTTCCCTAAAAATAATTTTAACCAAAAAACACGAAATGCGATGTATTTGTTATTTCGCAATGTCGCTCTTTTACAGTTTAATTAGCAGTTTTCAAAGTCGAGATTGCAAGCTCACGAATATGTCCCTTACACTGTTCCATATGCGTATCTGATAACATATCTGTGTTACCTTGCATATGCATCACCTGCGCGTTTCTCTTTCGGATCACTCCAGCTAAATGTAGGTACACATTTCCAATAGCTGACATTTGCTTAATATATACATGAATAGCTTTTGTGTCTGCCTTACAAACTTCACATAAATATCCCAAACTTTCATGTTGGTGATGTGCACAGTTTACTATACAGTGGGCCCATGGAGTGTCCAGTTCTCTAAGGCGCCGCAATTCGCTGTTCATTGTTTGTCTTGGTTTGTCAGCACCATACCCGTGCTCGCTAAGATGATCTTAACTCCCATACTTTAACATAGGCTTCATAGTGCTAAGATCGCTTTGTGCAAGTGGGCCCTGTATCACTTCGGTCTTTCCTCTCGCATCAAGCTGAAACGACGTGATACAACTGGAAAACTGTTCAAATACTCACTCACTCATTCACAATACAATTCAGTAAGATGAGCTTGTTGCAAATATATGTGAGAGTACGATGTTTCATTTACAGCTTTTAGTTTGTTTCAGATGAATTACATTGGACCACATTAGCAGATTTATTCAGCTTGATCCATTAGAACAAAAGTAAGCTTAAAAGCCTCATTCAGTACCTTAAACGTTATTTTCCTGCATATTTTCTTATCATTTCCGTCATCAGTCGGAGTCACACAAGGCGAGGCATTTAAGGCGACGCAATTTGCTCCACAGAGCTGCGTCCCTTAGTCGTGCTAGGATCCTATGATCACCATGATTATGGTCTTCGCTCATTTGAGACCTGTTTTACCCCAACAAGAAGCTGATATGCCGTGATATGACTGCAATACAGCTCAAAGAGTCGTTTAACTAAACTCACTTAAACACAGGGAACATATATGAAAGCGACAAAACCCTTTTCATGTTCATAAGAAATATCTGCCCAAAACAGAGTCGATGTTACGATTCCGACTATATCATTAGCACGTGTTTATTGCGGTTTTTTGCAATGACACATTGTTCCTGTACCTTAGCCCCTGTTATGGGCGTTGAGGTAGCCAGGTGGTAAGCGTTGATGCGATTCCCCACATGAGTACAGTGTCAAGCCCATTTCTGGTGTCCCACCTCATAATGGTCCTGAGACATTGCTTAAGCCGCACAAAAATAATCTCACTCATTCAGTTACGTAATATCAGTCTGATTCGCCGTTTTGTAAAATTGAATATTATTGTATATAGTTTCATATCGATCAAGCCATGGCCAATATCTAAAAAAACAGAAAAAACACACTATTGAATATTTAGTGTTCTGGAAACAGCTGTCAAAAGAAGTTGGTTTAAGATGAATACGTTTCAGTGTTTTGTTAAGGAAGGGTAATTAAAGTATATACATTTATTTCAAAAAGGTGCAACGAAGTTGAATGTTCCAAATAGTATGTTGAAATTTCAAGACACAAAGTTAAAATTCCAACATACCTTATCGTAATTTCATTATAGCACGTTAAATTTTCAAGCAGCTTTTGTTGATGTTTTCAACATATTACCTTGCAACTCAGAATCTTTAGAATCAATATATTAACTTATAATGCAACATAAAACTTTTACTATATTGGCGATTACACCATGTCCATATATTCCAGTGTGGGTCTGCACCAAGTGTTTCCATGCCAACAATACAAATGATGCATTTTGTACAAGTTGTAAAGCAGCAAAAAGAGAGGATGATAGGCCTAAAATTCCCATTCGAGGTAAGTAAAGTTGAATTAACTCATATTATCCATATTGCAAGTGTCCGTTTGGTACACTACGGGGTGATGTAAATGTAAGACCTAGGTTTTTTTTAATCTAATATGTACAGGAATCCTTACAGGGAGAAAAAGGCTTAGCACCTTAATGTACTGAACTGTGGTCATATTTCAACGGTTAATCAAAATACGCTAACTGTATTCCTTCTTATAAATGATGATCTTAAAGGGAGACTTGGTTCGAACAAACTGGCAGACCAAAATCAAGTCGATAAAACATATATTATTTGTTTGTAACTCAAATGTTCTGATGTTTATGAATCTAACATCTAATACTTAGGTAACATAGGGTAGACCAGTCAGTGCATTCCGCCATGACCTATGTAATGGAGAAACCATGACACCGAAGGAATGGTATGATTGTATAACCGGGTAGGCACAGAAAAGCCGAGGACGGAGGTGGAATGGTTTGTCCAACTTCTAAACCGCTATCCATTAATCTATGTCATTTTTGGAGCTTATATTTACACGGTATACGGGTCGCAAATAAGCGCTGTATAACGAGACACGCTTGATAACAGTTGTTATCGCGGGCCGCTGCGCGGACTGCACGTGCAGAAGAGGGCTGTACGTGCAGAAAGAACCGCGTGCGTCGTACCACCTGGCATTGTGTCGTTGACTGTTCACAAGAGAGGATGTCTGACGATGACGATATTTCTCTCAAAGTAAGTTAATTGATGAAAATTCTGCAGAAAAGGATGAGGATGACTTTTGTTTCCGTTTTGGTGACCCTTTGTCAGATGATGAAGTTGCTAAAAATTGCTCCCCAGGTTTTACAATTGCTCCCCAGGTTTTACAATTGCAATTGTAAAACCTGAGGAGCAATTGTAAAACCTGCTGAGTGGTCTTACTACAAAAGAAAGGTCGTCTGGGAGATGGTTACAACACCATGATAGGTTTATGAGTTGATTTAAGGTGTGTGACAAATGGGGAGTGTAACTAATGGGAGAATACCGTGAACAGTAAATCAGTGATGACACGACACTAGGCGCTTGCGCACGCACGCACGCACGCACACACACAGATGTAAGATAAAATCGGTCCGTACGAACATTTCTCGAATTTGGGCACTTCTACATCTCTAAAATATACTATTCCAAAAAAGAAACGCATAAGGCAGAAATCTGAAGAGACCAAGGTTTAATTTCAATCGTGTATAACTATTCAACAAACATACTCAGTAGCATGAAATTTGACGTGCACATGGCAGAAGTACGTGTGTATACGATAATAATGATCACCACTGACTAAACAGTCATGATTTTGTTCAGCGTCCACAGAAGTGTCAGTACCTGTTATGTCCACCACGTGCACGAATAACAGTTCGGACCCGCCTCGTCATGGACTGGATCAGACGCTGTATAACTGGTTGAGGAATTCTCCACTCCTGCTGAAGAAATGTAGCTGAGTTTGAGGTTGACGTACACGCTGACGTAGACGCCGATCAAGTTCATCCCAAGGATGTTCTATGGGGTTGCCATCCGGGGAACGAGATGGCCAGGGGAGCACAGGAATGTTGTTATTTGCCAGATACTCCATGGTGACACGTGCTGTATGTAGCCTGGCGTTGTCTTGCTGGAATAACTCCCGTCGGACGTCAATGACTGGGAGATGGTGTTGCTGAAGAATAATGTCCCTATAGCGCACAGCCGTCAGGTTTCCTTGGACATGGATAAGATTAGTACGGTTGGTGTAGGATATCGCCGCCCACATCATGACACTTCCTCCACCGAATCTGTCCACTTGACGTACACAGTTAGGAGCATAACGTTCATGGACCCGTCTGTAAACTCTGTTTCGTCCATCCCGTCTCTGTAGAAGAAACCTAGATTCATCGCTGAACCATATGCGCCTCCAGTTTCGTAAGTTCCAGGCCGACATGTTATTGCACCAGCGGAGACGTTGGGCGCGATGCTGACGTCGTAACACGTTCCCGATGTAGGGTCTCCGGGCTCTCAGTCCAACCTCTCCCAGTCTGTTCCGTACTGTTTGCCCCGATATCCTTCGAAGTCCAGGCACCCTGGCCGCTGTGCTCTCAGCTGTAACAGTACGATGTAGGACCCGGATGTAGCGATCCTGAGCTGCTGTGGTGACTCGAGGTCTTCCAGTGCGTGGACGGTTGTTTGTGGTACCCGTAAGGTTGTAGCGTGTTGCGAGTCGAGAAATCGTACTCTGGCTTACATTTAGACGTCCTGCAACTGAAGATTGCGACTCACCAGCCCCTAGTCTTCCAATGGCGATATTGCGAGTCGCAACGTCTAGACGTGGCATAATCATTCCGTCGTGAAACTCTTCAAAACTGATTTCACATTTCGAATGCGACATGGCATTTTATAGACAGATACAGCATGCAACCCATGGCCCAATTTGCACGTGCAAAATGAGTTTGGTTTCGTTTGATGATGTGTTTTCAGAAATTTGTAAAACGTCTTATCAAACACAACGTTTTGCGTTTTTGGTGGTTTTTTAAAATACAGAGACCGCCTCCGTGGTCTTGTGGTAGAGCGTCCGCCCGGAGAGCGGAAGGTCCAGGGTTCGATCCCGGGCCGCGTCATACAAAAAGACGTTAAAAGATTGTACTTGTTGTTACCCTGTCTGGCGCTCGGCATTAAGGGGCTTAAACAAGGACTGGTCGGCTCGGAGTCAGTATACTGTGTCTGAGTGGGGTATTCATGTTAAACTGCGGCATGGTATCTCAGTGAGCTAGCACTATAAATCGGCATCAGTCCGGACTGGTACAAGCAGCCACACACACACATACACGTGCATGCACGTCGCTATATAAGTGCAATAATCTTGGACGCGACGTTAAACCCAATTTCACCTCACCTCACCTTAAAATACAGATTTGCATAGAAGTCTCCTATGAACAGATTTATAACATATTTTATCGATTCAGTTGTCATATTCTTTGACCTATGCGTTTCTTTTTTTTGAATAGTATAGTTTTATAATATATATGCTGTTTCATCTCTGTCGATCTCATTTTAAATAATTTACGTAAATATAAAACTATCAAGCGTAGTACATCCATCACAGGAGTTTAATATATTTGCAAACGTAATATTACGTTTATAATATTTCTGAAATGACGTACAAATAGAGTGAGTGAGTGAGTGAGTGAGTGAGTATGGTTTTACGCCGCTTTTAGCAATATTCCAGCAATATCACGGCGGGGGACACCAGAAATGGGCTTCACACATTGTACCCATGTCGGGAATCGAACCCGGGTCTTCGGCGTGACGAGCGAACGCTTTAACCACTAGGCTACCCGACCGGCCCCTACAAATAGATGATAGCTTATTTACTGATAGTGTTGAAACTAAACACGATATGTTAATTGCGAATTTCGTCTGCTGTGTATAAGTGCAGATAGTCTGCTGCTTCCTAGTAAAGAATGAAAGGATTTAAGAAATATATTCGCTTTGCAACACAGTGGGGAGCAGTTTTAATGTCTTTCTTTTGTAGTTGCTTATAAGCGGATTTATCTATTCCAAATCTCGTATGGTCGATAGTGTGAACAAATACTGCATAAATACTGAACAAAACATACTTTCATGATGCATAGCCACGTCGTTAGACTCATCGATTACATTTATGGCGTTGTTGACTTCATTTATGTTCATAAGAATTTCAGCTTAATTCAACATGAGTAAAATGGATTGTTAATTAACGCCGGATATTGTTAAGTTCGTAAACTTTTTCTCTGGGCAATTACATACACACAAGTAAAGACCATTGTTACTTCTGATACTAAGGCGTAAATAAAATAGCTTGTTGTTTTTCAGATGACCCATCTTGCGGGAAGTGCAAATCGCCAATAGATCCTAACCTTGGCAAGTGTCTGAAATGCAAGAAGATGGACTTGCGAAAAGTGATAGCACGCCCAGTTCCTCGAGCCTTTACTGTCAGGGGTTGGTATTTTCCTTATCCATATCAAGCCTTAATTGCTATGTACAGGGTACAGTGTTTTCCTTAAAAAACCAAACACATCTTCATCAGTTGAAAATCAGTATCCCAGTCTTCCAAACCAGTGTACGGTTTGGGTGAAAACATCAAAGGATCTGATTTTGTGTTAGAGTTGTTTTTCCTTCACTGCTTCAAGAGTTTCAATCTTTCAATCAAATTTTCTTTCAAATGGTGTAATACCAGTAACGTGTAATTCTTTGGCGAACTTTGTGAAGTTGTTTATGTAGAACCATTTTAAAAACGAATAATTTAATTCTTACTTAACAATATTTGGTATAAATCTAAGGATTATTTCAGGATGATACGTATCGTTTGTTTATGTTGTTTCCCACACAACTACAATGAACAAAGCAGGCCGCGGGTCCATACCTTACTTTGAACAATATTAAAGTTATATCAAAAGGTGTCGGCTGGGGGCGAGCCTTATTGACGCAGAACACATGTACCGTCCACTATGAAAATGGTTCTGATTGACCAAGGATCATAATGGGAGAAAATCTACATTCGAACCCCAGTCATTGGATTCTCGCTTGCCTAAAGGATCAACCCATATTGATCACTGTAACGGAGGTGATATTATTCTTACTTTGTTTAGGGATCCTCAGATTTAGAATTTCAGCATTTAAATACACAGTAAATCAACAGAGGAAGAACAGTTTACCCTGTGAGTTTGATTAAAACGCAAATTTGCACAGATATGTATTTCGAATTAAAAAAAGTTTTATTTTTATTTTCTGTGTGACCATTTTAAGAAAGAACCGTACACCAAGTGAATAAATGAGACGTAACCAACTAATCATTAAACGTCGAGCTTATGTGTATTTCCAGACACAGTGGAAGACCTCAGGGTGATATTGATTGGCAAAACTGGTGGTGGAAAGAGTGCTACAGCAAATACGATAATAGCTAAGGAGGTATTTACTTCAAGTGTCTCCTTTTCATCTGTCACAAAGACGTGCGAGTATGCAAGTGGTGAACGGTTTGGCCGCGTGGTTCAACTGGTAGACACGCCAGGTCTGTTTGACACTAACTTGAAGAAAGATGTGGTAGAGACTGAGATCAAGAAAAGCGTTGCAATGTCCTCTCCTGGTCCGCATGCCTTCCTGTTGGTCACATCCTTTACAAACAGATTCACTGTCGAGGAACAGAAAGTTTTCAAGGAAATCGACGGAATGTTCGGAGAGGGAGTTACAAGGCACATGATTGTTGTCTTCACAAGTAGGGATCAGATTGACAAGATGACCGTCAGTGAGTACCTTTCACGCGCCCCTGAATGCCTTCAGCAGTTACTGAAGAGTGCAGGCGGAGGTTATCTCAGCTTCAACAACAAAGGACAACATGAGGAGAAGGAAGAAGATGTCAAGGCTCTCTTTTCTCGAATTGACCAGATGGTGGCCAAAAATGGAGGAGCTCCTTTCGCATCCAGGATGTTCCAACAGGGAGAGGAAATGATGAAGGGAACAATCACCAAGACACTGAGGGACGAACATAAGGACATTAAGGATGTAGTAGAAGAACAGCTTGAAGTGGAAATGGAAGAAAAGATAGCAAGGGATAGAGAATTCTATCAGAAACTTCAGGAGGTAGAGCCCGAAACTGCAGAAACTATGAAGAAAGAGAGGGAAGCAAACAGACTGAAAAGCCTCCAAACTGTTGCAGAGATAGAGAATACCTTGGATGATGTGGTGACGAAGGAGGTGGAAATGTTGGTAAACAAAGACAAAATAATAATTCAAATGGAACAAATGAGCGGGGCAGAACGAGTGAGGATGCAGCGTGAACTGGCCGATGCTGGGGAGATCATCAAGCAACTAATAGCACATAGAAAAAGAGCTGAAGTTTGGGTGAAAAAGGAACGGCTGACATACTCAAACATGTTAATGTCACAGATGATTCGGGAGCAGGAACGAGAGAAAGTTAAAACTTGCGATCGCGATACTCTTCGTAACTTAAAGGCGGCCATTGAGACCGTCCCAAACTTTCTTAGACTGTTCAGGGATAACTGACATTTGATGACAATTCCAATGCCTTGTACGACATTCATTTGGGCTTTATTTTAGACATCAAGTAGCCATTTTTAAAGATAACTAAATAGAGTTGGTGTCTTACTGAAACCATTGGAGGTAAAGAAATTACGTCATTTGTTTTGCCTTCACTTCACTTTTACAATACCATGTAATGTAAATATAAACGAGGAAACCCTTTCCATAAATCATACGAAATCTCTTCCTAATGAAGTAGTCCATCCGATTAAATCGCGAGCATGTGTTTATGAATCACTATCAAATAGTGACGAATTCGCGATAAGGTGAGCACATCCTTGCCCATCGGTATCACCTGTTACTACTAACACATACAAAGATAAGTGAACTGTTCACCTGAAGTTAGTTTCTACCCTTTTTTAATTTCCACCTTTTGTTATCTTATTTTGTTGTCCTTACCTGCACATATATACTGAACAGCATTGAAAACGCACCAGCAATAAATCTTGAAATATTACAAAAACAACTTGAGCAATGACCGATTTTGATTAGAACAGACATAGACGGATTTAATAAGAAAGACGACAAAGGAAACAGGAATAACACACAGTAATTACAATTACGTCATCAGTGTAAGGAAGACACATAGGGTTAAAATGAAAAGGCAATATCTGGTATGTCTGCCATTGACAGCAACACAGGCCATGCAACGTCTTTTCATTGATCGAATAAGTCTGCGAATAGTGTTCCGGGGCATTCCACTCTTGACGTAGTGTATCTTAAAGTTCTCTCAGGTTGTGTACTTGCGGACCACGTGAGAGGCGTTGACCCAGGTAATCCCATAGATGTTCAATTGGCGATAGATCGGGTGACAGGGCTGGCCATGGAAGCAGAGGACCATTATTGTTCGCTAGGTACTGTGTTGAAACACGTGCTGTGTGCGCTCTTGCATTATCTTGCTGGAAGGTGTGCATATCCTGGTGCTGATGAAAGAATGGGATGACGTGATTTGCCAATATGTTATTCCTGTAGCAAAGGGCATTAACTCTTCCACGACAAACATGGAGCTCTGTTCGATGGTTATGACTGATGCCCTCCCACACCATGACCCCCCCCCCCCCCATCGATCTGTCTGTACAACGCAGTCATTGTGGTAGCGTTCTCCACGTCGACGCCACACTCAGTCGACCGTCAGCATTCCGTAAATGAAAACGGGACTCATCAGAGAACAGCACACCATGCCACTGCCGCAATCTCCAATGACGATGCCTTTTGGCCCAACGCAGACGTTCGTTTAGATGTCGATCAGTGAGTATGGGTCCAACATATGGACGCCGAGCACGTAGCCCTGCTGAGCGGAGACGTCGACGTACGGTGTCAGCACTGATCAATTCCGTCGGCCTTGTACGGTTGCTGCAGTCCTGGTTGCCGGAAGTGTACGATCACGAAGATGCCGACGAACAATATGGCGATCCTGACGTGGTGTAGTTACACGACGTTGACCCGGACGTGATCTCTGGTGGTTCTTGTCTGCTGCTATCTGCTCAGTAGCCTGAGGACTGTTGAATGATGGCATTGAAACCGTTGTGCAACGACTCTACTTGACGTACCAACTTGACGCATGCCCAGGGCACGTTCACGTTCCTCTGCTGTTAATCTTTGCATTTCTTGTGTCAGTACCCTTAACGTCTGCAGCAACAAGTGATGTGGCTTTTAAAAGTCTGCCTTTTATAGCCTTATTCTGCATGCTTCCCGTGAAACAAAACACGTTTTCCATGATGTGCACGCAATTGGTTGCGTTTTGGCGATGTCGCTCACAAAAAATCTAGGAATGTGTTTGACGAGCTGTTCGTCTTCATGCTTTGTCCAGAACGTCGTATATTACTCATTCACTTATATATTTTCAAATGACTTAAGCCCGGATAAAAATACATCCATTTTCATGGTGGTGCGTTTTCAGTGCTGTTCAGTATATATGCTCTCTGCCTCATGGCATTCATTCACCTGATGAAGGAGTAAGCATATACTCGGAAACTTTGTATTCCTCATAATAAAGAAGTTGACATCCATATATTCTCTTCCTTACGTTCACCTAAAGAAAAACAGTATGGAACATGCCGTACAAATCAAAATAGAGAAATGCATCTTATATCAATTTGGTTACTGGTGCGTCAAATTTGGAAATGTTGGGAATGTTATCACCCTCATGATACAACTTTTGAGCAAGAGTCGTTTACGCTCTTTGAAATCTTAGTAGAAAGACCATGCTCGATTATACCTTAATAGACGTGAAATTTAGACGCAAAAGGCTGAAGCTGCTGAAATATTGCTGGACACAAAAGGGAAAGTTGAATATTGGAAAGTTGAAGTCAACCCTTTTGTCATTGGTCAGTTTTTGTCACTCCGAATCTTTATGCATAGATCTGAATTTGAAACTGATAGGGCGTTTTCACTGGTCTCCTTTATTTCTTGTTCAGGTGGGTAAATCAGTTATGTTGTCTGCGAGGAAGTCCGACACCATCTTGAAATCATAGAAACTGCGCATGCATGTTTCCACCAATATTGACACATAACGTTGGCGGGGTTCTGATCCAGTTTAAAATTTTCAATTTCTTCAGCCATTCCTAAAACCACATAAGTTGTTTGTGTAGAGGGGCCCACCGAGTACTGCCTAGAGTAAGGATCGGGTGGTTACGATGTGTGATCTGGTTGATAGTGTGTCATCGTACCCCGAATGCATATGTCGTTGCCAACCACGTCATCCGATTTGGAGTTGCTGTATTACAAGACTAAGCTTTAGGATCAATCTCTCGTGCTTGTATATGAAAATAACCTATGATTCGTTCTATACATAATCGAAAAGTTTGTTATCGTTTTCTGTAGTACAATTACGATCACCGCGGAGAAGTCAAGAATAATTAGTGAATAATTCGTGCATTTCTGCGAAAACTAATGTATTGATTTGACCCTAATAAGGAGTTTTATGGGACTATCACGCGGTCAACGCGTGGCTGGTCATTTGGGTGCATACCCCATTTGCCTGGGTCAGTTGGCCTATAGAGGCAAAGGCGCTTGGCATAAGGCCTACCCGAAATGGATCCCGATAGTCTACACCCCTACTGGAGTGAGTGAGTGAGTGAGTGAGTGAGTGAGTGAGTGAGTATGGTTTTACGCCGCTTTTAGCAATATTCCAGCAATATCACGGCGGGGGACACCAGAAATGGGCTTTACACATTGTACCCCTGTCGGGAATCGAACCCGGGTCTTCGGCGTGACGAGCGAACGCTTTAAACACTAGGCTACCCGACCGCCGTACCCCTACTTGAAAAATGATCTTGTCCTGTTGTACTGAACAGAACAGAACTGTTTTTGCAATCAGGCCGTATCACACGTTATGTGATGACTTACAGTGAGTGAGTAAGTTGGGTTTAAGTTGGCCGCTTTTAACAATATTCCAGTTATGTCACGGCGTGTGCGGCTTAATGTGGGAGGAAAGCCCGAAGTAATGCAGGTCTCACTTCGGTGAAACCCACGAGCACGGGACGAACCTGAATTCGAACCCACAATCATAGGTTTCTGGCGTGCCCAAGGGACGCAACTCTGCACAGCGAATCGCGGCGCCTTAGACGACTGGGCCACCCGTGCTCCCTTGATGACTTAAAAATATATACACAATAATCAAGAGATGTAATGGCAATCATAATATAAGGGACAATAACATATATTATTACATTTACAAATTATATCTGTATTTTCATTGGTTAAGTAAGGGTCACATGACATTCCTCATGACACAGTATTGCTCTGAGACCCCATGCAGCGATCAAAAGTCATACTGTTGCTCTGCTGATTTTGCCAATGGACTCCAAGGAGAGAAATGTTTTCAGCCAATCAGAGAGCGTAACGCAATGTTTCTTCTGCATCATCTTCTGTGACTCCCCGTGACATCTGATTTAAATATTGCTGAATTTGAAATATTCTTGTTTTAAAAATTGTGTAATAAAATAATTATATATTAGCCACAATTCTGAAAATATCGTGTTATGACCATCATGAATGGTCAATTATTGATACATATGTAGAGAGAGACAGTTCATGCCTTTTTAGCAAAATTTGGAGAAAACAAATTAAGATACTAGACTTTAGACTGACAAACAGACAGATAATAAATTTCATTAACAGGCCATCGTCCCGTATCGTCCACATATTATAACTCGTCACGATATGGCTGAAATACTGCCGATGTGACGTAAAATATTAACTCACTCACTCACTCACATATTATAAGCATGGTAGTCATCTTCAACATATTTACAGTTTTACAGTAAAAGTTTTCTGAAGGCACGAATATTGGTACTCTGGGAAAATTTCATGAAATTAATAATGTTTCGTTTACGAAAATAGCATATGTCTTCATAATCACTTCTTAGCTCTCTAAAATATTTACATGAGAATAATACATACAATTCATCACCAAAACAATTAGACTGACAAAGATTCCGTTTTCTTTCTATTGAGGTGTCGTTGGTCCTATAACACGAGACCCCTTGCCCAGTTGACGCTCCTGTTACAGAGCTACCTACCGAATATAAATGTTATCACCTAGCTGTTATCTACGTAGCTGTTATGGAGTAGTTCATTGTCAAAAACCTAGGGCAAAAACTTAGTTGGTGGATGGTTGGAAATTGGAATACATTATTGTAATTACATTGATAATCCTCCTCTAATCCTCTCAAAAAGCACGAGCTATATCGGAAGCAGGCCATTAGGGATGACACCCGTGGCTAATACTCTCTAAATAAATCAGGGTAAAGCCTAAATATATGATGCTACACTGTGAATGGATTGCAGGTAATGTTTGTTAAATAATATTGTCCGTAAATACATAACATTAGTGTTTAATTTATGATCAACTTGCATTTTGTCTTTTGTCTTGTACAAATGTACATGTACATAGAGAATCTCACGCTCGTGTCTTTTGATATCAAATATATCAACACGAGTTGATAAAAGTGGGAAAACTCTGAGGCTTGCCGAGGAGTTTTTCCACTTTTATCAACGAGTGTTGATATATTTGATGTCAAAAGACACGAGGGTGAGATTATATTTTTCATCCAACATCATTCTTCCAACTTTTTCAGTTTGTAGACTGTAATAAACAGTGTCTTAAGTGTAAAAAGTACTGCTAACAGCTTCAGTAGCAGAGCCATTAGTGATGTCATTTGATTGTGACATTATTTTGCCAGGAATAAAGTGTAAAAACTACTGCTAACAGCTTCAGTAGCAGTAGCAGTGTGACGTCATGGTAACCAACGACATCACAATGATCTCACCTAAGCGATATCTCCTGTGGGAGCCTGTCTTTGATGATAAATGCACTTGCATAGAGTCGTTTGATAAATATCGCTGTGTCGGTGGTGTTATCATCACACATATGGGGAGATATTCTTATCAGTGTCACGACACAGTTGATAACAATATGAAGTGCATTATGCACACCATCCTGACAATTATATACGTATATGCATTAGACACCTTAACTCAGTAAGTTTATAAGATGCATAAATAACTACTTTAAGGGATCCAATATGTATTTTCTGTATTGTGTCATAGATCCCCTACACGTATCGTGTATACCAGCGGTGTTGTAAAACGCTACCATAAGTGTATATTGAAATACTATTCCGGTCTCTCCGAAATCTTTGTCCGCGCGACTTCTCTTAAACTATTCAGTGGATTCATCTTAAACTTAGTACATATAATCTGTGTCATATGGAGGGGTGCAGTCAAACGAACAAAATGTGTTTATTAATTTTCCATTATTTAAAGAATGTTTCAAACCCTAACCCTATCCTAGCTATTTAATTTGAAACTACTGACACACTAGGCGGGTCGGAGGTATTAGTGAGCCACGCTCACTTTTGCTCTTGTTTCAATATGTTTCAAAAGTACGCCGAAATTATATCTGTCTGTTTAATATATTAGGCAAACAGTCGGCGTATCCCCTCTTACCACCAGCCCCCTCCAAGCAGGACCCTTAATCCCCGGCGCTATCAATAAATGTCAATTTAACACTTCCTCACGTCGCCGGATCTTACGTATGTACATGTACGTGAGTCACTGACCTTGCCCTACGTCATGTAATACCTCTATCTACAAAACCTTACTGACATGGTCAATCATGGATCCGGACCCAGACAGAAGCGGACGGATTGTACGGCTAGTCGTGGGGTCGGCCAAGGCCGCCGCCTCACCAACGACTACGTCGACGCTGAAGGATCGCCGTTCGACTTCCTGCTTGTGTGTAAGTGACAGAGCGGGTCCCCGTAATGGGAACGTTGGCCACTCGGTCCCGCCGTGCTTTCTGTCACGTAATATAACCAGGACTGTACCATTTGGACTTCTTTCAAACTGCATCAATAAACCTGGCAGCTGTCGTCTTAAACTTCACCTGGAGTTTTGTCTTCCATCGTCACGATATGGCTGAAATACTGCCGATGTGACGTTAAACTTTAACTCACTCACTCCATCGACTACCCTGAATTACCATCCGAGGGTAAAACGTGCGCTCTTGTACAGTATTTTATGCATATCATTCTATACTGTATCTGATGTACCCATGTGGGCGTTTGTTTTTAAGAAATAAAAGATGAAACATTTCCATGTTATTTAAATTAATACCAAATACAATATATGGCTCACTCAGTGTGTATCGTATGTTTAGTGTCATTGTAAACAATATAACATAAAATGAAGTGTTCGTAGATTAGAACGACCTCCCCTAGTTGTTTACAGTCCAAGCTCTGTCGCAGCGCTTGACACTGTTTTGCCTGCTTGTAACACTGTTTCCTGGAGTCAAGTACGAAGCACGTGCCTCATTCAAGACATTCGACTGTGATAAATTCTGGAAATTCGTAAGTGCATAGACTTGAAGGGCCTGTTAATTATTGCTGCTGTCACATTTTTGACACATTGTATTTCTTTCTTCGATTGTTAACCAAATCATGCGTGTTTTTATATAATTTGTTAATTATTCATTCATATACTTGTGTGGTTCAGCACTGATTTCACAATTTAGTTCTGTACGTACCGATTACTTGTTTAACTTTCGCGTTTCAACTTGGGAATCGACCAGTACCCACTCACTCACTCGCCCAGAAAGAAACGCTGCATGTTTTAACAAAAGAGTATAATCTCATAAATGTTTTATTTTAGTGTAGCAAAAACAACTCTGTGTATAAATGTACAACCCTCAAGCGAAAAAATCCCCCCAGTGTAATGATTAAAGTTAATTTCGTGTGAATGTGTAAACATTGAGTGTTAGTTTAAGTAGTTAACCATAATTGGTATTTACAAACAGTTCACACAAGAAGATAACATATAGATATTACACTCTAATGTCAAATCGAAAAACTCGCAATGTCCCCGTTTATATGGTTTTCCGTTTTTGGATAAGACATTCAATCGTTTTTTTCCTGAGTTATCAACATCTCCCGTATACTGAACTTTTCATTTCCATCCATGTTTAATTGTATTGGAGCAACCTGAATAATATAAAAGGGACAAAATCCTTTCCATATTCATCAGAAATCTCGATTGTATGATTCCGACTATATCACGAGCACGTGTTTATGAATCATGGTGTATGGTACTAGGTGTATGCGAAAAGGTGAGCGTATCATGCCTCCGCGTGGCACTTGTCACAAACACATGCAAAGACAAGTCAATAGTATTATGTATGTGTGTGTGTATGTGGTGTGTGTGTGCGTGCGTGCGTGCGTGCGTGCGTGCGTGCGTGCGTGCGTGTGTGTGTGTATGTATGTATGTTGGCTGAAGGTGAACCTGTTATTTTTAAATTTAATAAATTTCGGCCTTGGAGTTTTTGTGTTCCTTACCATGTTATAGTGCACCCAATCATAGATGTACTTACCAGATGTTTCAAAGGGAAAGAAACGCTGAAGAACATCACATTAATACGGCATCAAACTACCTTATCTGAAATGACAATTGTTTTTTGTGCTTACAGTTAAAAGACTGATCAATACGGACTACTGATTCACATTTGTAACACGTGCAGTTTGCTGGTTTTCAAATGTTCATAGTTCAATTCAACTGTACATGCATAACCAACACTACATGTGATTCAACACAAGGGTACACTTTATTAAGATAATTACAGTACTGTTAATCATGATCACAATCGCCTTTATCATCAATACATTATGTAACACAAACCAAAGTCACATTGGTGTCCCAAATGTTAATTAAATCTGTAATATTTTGGAAATACATTCTGAAATATAAATGGAAACATTTTCCAATAGTATCATGGCGATATATAACTGGCTTTTTTCATGCTTCCTTCTGGATTATGGTGAATGTTGGCAAGTGTTGCGTGTAGTTCCACTCATGGTAAATGTTTGCAAGTGTTTTGTGTGTAGTTCTCGTCGTGGTGAATGTTGGCAAGTGTTTTGTTTGTAGTTCCACTCATGGTAAATGTTGGCAAGTGTTGTGTGTAGTTCCACTCATGGTAAATGTTGGCAAGTGTTTTGTGTGTAGTTCTCGTCGTGGTGAATGTTGGCAAGTGTTTTGTGTGTAGTTCTACTCATGGTGAATGTTGGCAAGTGTTTTGTGTGTTGTTCCCGTCGTGGTGAATGTTGGCAAGTGTTTTGTGTGTAGTTCCACTCGTGGTAAATGTTGGCACGTGTTTTGTGTGTAGTTCTCGTCGTGGTGAATGTTGGCAAGTGTTTTGTGTGTAGTTCCACTCATGGTAAATGTTGGCAAGTGTTGTGTGTAGTTCCACTCATGGTGAATGTTGGCAAGTGTTGTGTGTGTAGTTCTCGTCGTGGTGAATGTTGGCAAGTGTTTTGTGTGTAGTTCTCGTCGTGGTGAATGTTGGCAAGTGTTTTGTGTGTAGTTCTCGTCGTGGTGAATGTTGGCAAGTGTTTTGTACGTAGTTATTGTGGTAAATGTTTGCAAGTGTTTTGTGTGTAGCTTTCCTCCTGGTGAATGTTGGCAAGTTATGTATGTAGTTCCTTGGCCAATGTTGGCCTGTTTCTCCGCATTCTCTGTGTGGGAAGTTGTGTATAGTCTTCATGGTAAAATCTGTCGGAAGAAATTTAGGAAAGCCATCCCTCTTTTTTTCATGCCCCTTTTGTACCTCCCGATGGTTTCTTCTTCTCCTCTCTGGATCGCCTGTCTTTCCATATTCCGAAGCTTCGGCAACTCTTCATCGACATTAGTTGCATATCTCTTCACTATTGCTGCTTCTTCTGCTTGTTTCTTCTCCGCCACAATCTGTTTGACTTGCGACCCAAGGGCAGACAGTTTTTGCTGCATCCTGGCTCTCTCTGATCCCTCTGACCTTTGGATACGTCGGATGATTGTATCTTGCTCTGCTTTAGTTTTTACCTCTCTCTGTACCACATTTTGTAACTTCATCTTCTCCATCGTGGTTTCCTGGGGGCCCATTGGTTTGCGAAGTCTCTCTGACTTTCGTTTCTCAGATGCGAGTTCTCTCTCTAGATAATGCTTTTCATGGTCACTTTCTTCTTTGAGCCGTTCAAAGTATTCCTTTTGTTTTCTGAATTCTTCTTCCATCTCCTTTCGCACCTCTTCCTCCACCTCTTTCATCATCTCCTCTTTCTTCCTTTCCAGTTCTTCCATAATTCTGCTTTGCATGACTTCCTCGGCCTCTCTGAACGTCTCAGAAGTGAAACAGCCGCCTTCATTCGACTTCACTATGATGTCAATTCCATCTAGAAGCTTCTTGACATCCTCATCTTTCTCGTGATCCTTCCCTCTGTTGTTGAAGGTGATATATCCACCTTTGGCTTCCCCCAGAATCTCTTTCAAAGTATCAGGACAATCTTCAATATGTTCCCCAACATCTCTTTCAATCATATCCTTGTTTGTGAAAACGATGATCATGTACCTCTTCATGTCTTTTCCGAAAATATCGTCAAGACTCTTAAACACTTGGGTATCTTCCTGGGTGAATCTTCCAGTGAAGGAAACAACCATAAGGAATGCATGGGGACCAGGAGTGGACATAGCGATGCATTTCTTGATCTCTTCTTCAACCATGGTTTTATCCAAATTGGTGTCGAATAGCCCAGGGGTGTCGACAATCTGGATAATCTTACCAAAACGTTCCCTTCTGTGGTACTGGCATTTGTCAGTTACTGCTTTCAATGAACTCCTAGAGGGAAAGACATGTTCATTCAAGATTGTATTTGCTGTTGCACTCTTCCCCGCTCCCGTTTTCCCCAGAAGTACCATCCTGAGTTCTTCGATTGGTCCTGAAACATACCCCATCTTTTGTAGAAATCAACAAGAAATATTACCAGTCCTATATGCTCAGCAGAGTTCTCAATACATTTGGGCAGATTATTTATACTGGATTTTTAGATACCGGGCAAATACTAGTCAAGCAATTATTGGTTTAACTCAGATGCCAATGTGACTCGTATTTCAGATACTCAGCATTTAGACTCCGATTTTGAACTGTTCTGTTGATTAGTACTGTAATTGGTTTTCAGTTTAGACTTTCTGAAAATTAAGAGCACGATTATCCAGAAAAAAACATGAAATACATTTCCAGTCACACAACATTATCAAAATGTGTTTTTAAATACCTACCAGAGTTTTCCCCAAATGGTTCAATCCGTGCAACCGAAACGTTTTTCATGCTGCAGTTTTGACACATTCCAGTAGAAACGTCTATGACGACATTGCATTGTGGGCATAACCCCTCACCTGAAGATAAAAAACATGAAATATCTGTGACTACATTGCATTTCGGACATGAACCCTCATTTCATATGATTGTAAATGATACCTTAATGCTGCAATATTTTGATTTCGGAATCCAAGATACTCAAACCCTGCTGATTCTGATAAGGGGATTCACAGTAAAGGCCACAACAAATTACGTATTTGGTCTACACTTTGATGCTTCATTAACAACCAAAACTAAAGATATTTTTGAAAATATTTTGAACAGGCAAACACACTAACATTTATTAAGATTTTACAATAATTTATATTCAATCAGTTGACGATATTAATATGGAAATATGAGAAACAAAACCTCAAGGTGATTCGGTTAATTTATTGAGGCCTTAGGATTAAGAAATGGAGAATATTTTGAAAAAAAAGAATGTACACATGTAGGTTGGAACCGGAAGAGGTTACGAGCTGCCAATCACCAAGACGTAGAGGACGCCCTCTTCAAATGGTTTCAAGCCGTGAGAAGCGAAAACATTCCGCTTAGTGGTCCGTTACTGCAGACCAAAGCTGACGAACTTGCAGTGAAATTAGGCCATGAAGATTTCACGTGTAACACTGCAATTACTATTGTGTTTTGTCTTATCCAAGATGGCGGACGTTTCCGAGCGCAAACGTGTATAACGAACAACGGATATAACGAACTGATTTCTCGGGTCCCTTGTAGTTCGTTATATCCGTGTTCTACTGTAGGTTGGAAATAAAATGCCGACAAATGAATCCAAATATATGGACAAATGAGTATGATAAATGTATGAGCCTTCAAGAATCCATGACACATACAATACAGTGAAGGATAATTGGTCCCATGGATGTTTTTGTTCAGAGAAAACTTAAGGTTGGGAATAGGTACTTGCCTTGTGAAGGAACATTTTCCTCTTTTCTATCTTTTTCTCCGCGTGTGTGGTGACATTTTTTACAAACTAAATCCTGTTTGTCATTGAGTTCGAAACACCTTTGACACACCCACACTGAAATGAACAATACAAAAGTCAAGAAACTAAGCGGGGCATTCAAAGAAACAATCTTTATTTTCAAACCATAAACTTTCACGATTCTTTTCGGATGGTGATTCATAATATTTAAAATGTGTGAGAGCAAGTAATGCTGCAAGGTTTATAGCTGCAAAGAAACAGTAATTAAGAATAATCAGCAATTACGGATTGTCTGTCCTGTGTGAAAATACTCCCGAAGTCCCTTGGTGAGTGACATTATTTCATGAGGGACAGTTCATCGGTAATTCCGAGTTGAGTAGGTTACTATGTACTATTACTCAAAGTTATCTTTAGCCTACCTGAATGAAGTTGTTTAACGCCGCACTCAGCAATATTACAGCTATATGACGGCGGTCTGTAAATAATCGAGTCTGGACCATACAATCCAGTGATTGACATCATGAGCATCGATCCACGCAATATGGATCGATGACATGCATCAACCAAGTCAGCGAGCCTGACCACCCGATTCCGTTAGTCGCCTCTTACGACAAGCATAAGCCATTTACAGCAAGCTTGGGTTGCTGAAGACCTATTCCACCCCGGATCTACACGGGTCGAAAGTCAAAGAGCGCATGTTGTGGCATGATAACACCCAAACCTGTTCAAGAGGTTTGAATCATATTTGCAATAAGCCTCCACAGTAGCCTCATTTAAAAACCTATTTATGACCATCATTCAGCCAATTTCGTTCAAAATGTAATGAAATTTATAAGTGTAGTTAGTCGTGGGGTTCAAAATATAGTTGATATGGCAGATGACATCTTAACCTCATCACCATAACACTGTACGTCCTAATTGATAACATCTAGGTGAAATAATGGGGGTTAAGTCATTTAGGTATTCCCACTGTACTAATTGTGCGCCCCTTTTTGCTGATCTGTTCTTTATTAATCTGAATCTGAATTTCTGCTTGGATTGGCAACTCAATCTTGGACTGGCCAAGACATAATGTATCTTGATGATCTGATATCGTTCGATAATAGTCAAATAGACATGTCCCTTCCATAGATTTACCACTTTGAAGTAAGAATAAAGAGACAAGTGAAAACGCCATCTGTTTCATATTTAGATGATAAAGATTCAGAGAGACAATAAACTCGCCACAGGGATGACTCCTCAATAGTCAATTTTCTTTATTTTATTTTGAGCAATATTCCAGCGTCCCGATTATGTTCTCTTTGAAATCTTCGTGGAAAGCAAACTCGATTGAACCTCAAACTTTGTGAAATGTTGATAGCAATGGCTGGATTCGACTCTAGCTCATATCTTTCAAAAAGATTTATGGCAGACATGTGGAGGACATTTGCAAATATGACGCATCAGTGTCAAAAATGATGTCCGATGCGATTCCCTATTTTGACCTGTACCATATGTTCCCGTGGTTTTTTTAGGTGAACAATTGACTTGCCTTTACATGTGTTTGTGACGGGTTCCACAGGTGGGGCAGGATACGCTCACCTATTTCGCGAACACCTTGTATCATTACTGTTTGATAGTGATTCATAAAAACATGCTCATGATGTAGTCTGTTTTGTTGCATTTATTTAGAAGTATTTACGACACAGACATTTGTTTATCTTACATATCAATACATTCTAGTATAATACTATTGTCATCATTTTCTGAGAAAACATTTTTACTATTTGTTTCTCATAAATTCTTAAAATAATCACCCCTTTGTTGTGCAAGCAATGGATCTCAAATATCTTCAGGCTTATTATGATTACTAGTTTTAATACATTTCCAGAATTCTGTGGAATTCTTCCGACAGGATATCAACTTGTCGTGCTGTTGATTTTGACAAACAATCTGTTTTTTGTTTAAATCTATTCTAAAAGATTATTTTATCAGTTACATAAACAGTTATGTATAATTTCTCAAATTTAGTTCATAAAAAATTATGTAATAACGTATTTTGATGTCTTTCAACTCACTGTCCAACCAAAGAATATTACAAATCTGTCAATTTCTTCCAGAAATATTTTTTTCTAATAAAAAAGTAAGTTCTTCTTATTCCGCCAATTCTTTTCATAAAACCTGCTCACAAATGTTTCTTGTTTTTGCGGACTCCATTTACATTTCATCAAGGTTTCAAATGGGTAATCATCAAAGAAATTATCATGATATTTATCAACAGATTAAAAAAACAACAACAAATTATTGGCATGTGGTAAGATTCAGTCCTAGAAACTGGGTAAGATATCATATAATCTGCAGTGCTAGCCCCTGAATGGGTGATTCATGTCAATTCTACACGTTCATCGTCAACAAAACGGTCATTCGTTATGTGTATACCAAACAGATTATCATACATTTTTGAGATACTAGTTTGGTTCGATGCAAAAACGAACATAGATCATAAATGCATCACATGTGACGTCATAAATCCATGACTCGAGATGCACCATTTCTCTGGTGCATGATTAGCGTGTGTAAAGTTTGGAAATCATGTGCAGCATATCGTGATAAGAATAAACATACTGTGGTAACACCTGACTGATTTAATTTTGTCATAAAGTGGAACACATTGGAATCATCTCTCCTAAACGTAAATACTTTTCTATATGTTTCTATGATTCGCGTTTCTTTTGGCGATGCATATATATTTGTGAGATTAAATAGTTCTGGGGAAGTGTTTCTTTCACAAACACAGAGATTCCACCATGCGGTCGTCCTAAATTCTTCTTCTTTGATCTGTTAGTAGAGAATACCTAATGCCCCAATAACCAACTGACACAGGAATCATGCGGACTAAGCCATGTTTCGCATAGTCTAATGATGTCAAATACTTCAAGATATAACTGCAGGTCCAAATTATCATTATGTTTTCTGAGTCGTGCAATAGTCCAACAACATAAACTAATTTCACTGACACGTGATATTATGTCATTATGCCCTTGTTCACTACAATTGTAGTTTACCTTACTAATGTGACTGTTTGATTTCTCACCGTTCGGCCGCGGCCACATCCCCACGTATTTTCATCATCAGTGTTCCGTCAGTCGACTCAGTGTTAACATTCGGGTTCACTTCCGGTTGATACAACAGACTCTGCAGAGATTGCTGATGATTTTAGAAACCACTGGACCTATTGAGCTGAAATTTCCCATGCTTCATCCCACTAATGATGACACCCCAATGTGTTTAAGAGGTTCGAATGTGATCTACTACAACAGAATATTCAAAAATAACGTACATGGCCATTTATGGTAATTTTTTGTCCCAAATGTAATGATATTTCAACACACATGTTCCGCTTTTGCAGGAGTTAAAATTTTGACCTTGTTTGACCATGCGCTTACATTTTCGGGAAATGCATATACGACTCTGTAAATTTCTTCTCCGACTAAATTGGTACCTTGATGAAACTTAACATGGCATGTCTATGTTTCTCTTTATGCTGACATCATATATTCTTCATATCATTAGATTTTAGTGCGAGGTTTTGCTCAATTTTTAAGCCGAAAATATTTGAATATCAATACTGAAAGAAACTTCTGCTAAGTTTCTGCGGTTTTTTACGTTTTAAACTGTAGACTACAAATCCAGGTGAGCTACAATGCCACGGCAATATAATGCTTGTGTGAAATGATACAGGGAGTTCACATGGATATAAATTATGACTTGGCAGCTTGTCCGGCCGGTTTGCATAATGTTTTACGGATATTGAAATTGAAAACATTTCAAACTAGAGGTTTCCACATTTGATATTTTTAAGCACATATTATTCCTCTGCACCAGCAAATAGCTGATGGTGTTTCCTCTGTACTAGTTATGACTACTGGTTTGCTGTCATAGTTGCGACAGTTCAAATATATGAACTAATTTCGAGAAGAATATAAAGGTAGAAATAGTTCTACTTAGTAAACAAATATTTGCATGTTTTTAATCCTCAGTATTATGCAGAAACGTTTTTGATTACCTGTCTCATGTAGATGTCTTTGTTGCCATTTATGACTGTTGACGACATATTAAGATGAGCTACAGTGCCGTGGCATTATATTTGACAATTGTGTTCATTAAATCCTAATGATTCATTAAATTGTTAATGCTTTATTCGTTAATTGAGGACAGTTGTAATTTTACAATCGATATTTAATATTACCCAATTAGTTTGAATAGTTCAGCATAAAATAATTAGGTCTTTCAGGTTTAACAGTACAGCTTCAAGCAGGGAAACATATATATATTTTCTATTTTTCTGATAATCAAATATGAAATTTAAACTGTAACTTGGTACAAGGCATGCAACTATTACTAATAAAACAAAGAAAACATCATCAACTCTGATATATATTCATGTATTTATTACAGAAAAGGACAATAGACCATCTGTATATTTTATTAAAAGACACCTTCTTGTTGCGTTGTCTCGAACTTCCGAGTTACCCTTCCGACGACTGCCGATATAAACCTTTTGTCTTGGCATACAAATATATCATATAATGGATTTTTATGTTTGTATGATGATTTCATTGTTGTTTACACATAGTCAGTAGTACCTTAATCATATTTACATTATCGTGATTCTGTTTAGGCCAAAATCATATCTCTTAATTTATATTTACAAAACATTAATACAAATCTTTACAGATCAGGGGATCGCATGTTTATATGCTTTAGGGCACCACCAAATCTCAATTGCAGTGTTGACAATATTAAGAAATACATGAGCGTAAATATAAATTTTGAAATATATCACTTGCATGGAACGAAAGGCGACAACGATGACTGCAGTGAACGCGTTTCTGCTGGCTTTCGAATAGCTGCGCAGTACAACCCCAAACGCCGATGGTTTCGGGCATAAGCTAGAGGGTCGCCCCTTTACTTTTTGGTCTCTGGTCTGAGGCTGTATACAGGTCTATTCCAAAGAATTTTTTATTTATCATTTCCCATGACGCCCTCTGGGTCGTATCATGGATGGACTTCTGTGTCAAAATCAAAAGCATGGCGAAGACGGTAATAACAGGATCGAGCCACGCCATCATGTCGCTTAAGATACTGTGTTTCTGTCAAAGCTGGGCATCCACTGACAATGTGTTGGACAGTCTCATTAAATTCATTGCATAATCTACATTTCATATTTACATTTTGATGCAAAATCACACATTGATGGTTTTGAGTGGGAAGTTACTGGTCCTCAGTGGTACTAGTCAGGCCAGCCGTCTTCTTCCTAACCATGACTCTGCGGGGTTGCCGATCCTCTCAACACACTGCACATAAACTCGATGCAGTGATCGTTCAGACTGCGTGCACATCAAACCAGGTAAGGATAATCTGTTGCCGTTTCGATTCGTATTAGGGCCAAAACGTAACTCTCATGTCAACAAGTCTTTCCCTTTCAAACTCCTTTACATCTTTAATAGGGACATTTAATTGACAGAACCTATATACCGAACGAAACAAATGTTTATGCATAATCAACAAAATTGATTTGTTTAAATTTAAATGTTACGGTGTACCGGTCTGGTGGCAGAGGGAGGTGATCCAGTGTATCGATGTACTAGACTGTATCACACGTAAACGGTAACGACACTTCCATATATATCGGCATAACCATGTTCGTGGGAAACTGCCGTGGTCAAATTGAACCAACCATGATTCATGCCGGAATACTTCCTCTCCAACTTTTGAAAGTAACACAGTGACCCCTGTGAGAAAAAGGTCAGTATGTATAACACATATTTTCGTGTCCCTTTATGAAACTTTCGTCTAACATTAACAAATCTTTGTTTGAATTTTGGCCCATCGTATGTTGGGCCCTTATCGTTTCCGAAAAAGACTTAAAACTTGTTAGGACCATTAAGTTTCAATGTAAGATTTTACTTTCTTTTGATGCCATTCTACTGTGCGCTGCGTCTCTATCAACTAAAAGCGAAGTCTCTATATTGAAACCCCAAGCATTGTTTTGAAACCCCCGGTAATATTCAGTATTGTTTTCAATACACGTTCCGTGAGTGTAAGGTAGTGGCGACCGAGTACTTATTACGTCCACTATAACAATATAAGATACGCTCTTTATGTGACATGATATATCATTCATTAGCAACGGTTAATTTATGTATGTAACTGTGATATGCTGACAGAAAAGACATTTAGAACAACTTATTTGTGTCACATGCCATTTATATCAACACTAAAACGAAGAGTTGTCTCAATTTTTCTGAGACTCGAAAAAGGAAATGAGTTCAAATAAACTTCTTCTTTTTGGTTGGCTTGACTGCACAGTGTCCGCGACCCTGCCCTTTGGGGTCCTCCCGTCATCTGAAACAGAGGCGGAGTGTGAGTAGGTTGGGTCCAAAACAGAGCGAAGCTGGGATTCAGGCAAACGAACAAACTCTTAGTTTTTCATGCAAATTATGTGACGCGTGCTACAGCAGGACAGGACATGCTTACCATTGTCGCATAACCCTGGTGTCATGACTGATCTTCAGGAATCCATTCACATACCAGCAATTTTCGCTACAATTTTCTTTTTAAGAGGCAGGTATCAGACGTGGTAAAACGCACGAGCTTAAGAATGGCGCTTATCATAGGATCCTGGCACACCTAGGTAACCGGGCAACCTGTTCCACCCATAGGCAACAAGTAATCGTTACACATATACATTTGAAAACTCATGCCTATTGGCGTCTGAACCGATACTTATGTACTGAGTTCAATATAATTTGTAGGACCTTTCAGGATGGATTCGTATCATCGGTAGGTCTTTCATCTCCAGAAAGTAATTCGTGTAAGGAATGTTTAATTCAATTGTCATATGACGAAATATGAATAAATCTTCATTCCCTTATGACCCCATGTTGCTGTGATGCAAGCATAAGTTCTAGTAGTTGGGTTATGGATATTAAAATAAAGTAGTTTCTTAATCATTCTTCACGTTTGTGGCCATGTCATAGTTGGATCTACATACATTGAAGATATGAGTCTTAATCTGTCTTGAAGATACATACCAATTTTATCCTTTGGAAGGACAGCTTGGATGTTCCTATGTTTGGGTTTTATCTTAGGAGGGACACGTTCTGCTTGAGTCGTTTTGTATGATGCGTTGCCTGTCTTCTTCACGTTTGAATATGTGTTGTCCGATGATCTTTCTGTCAGCCATACATGTTTCGATTACTAACAAGCAACCATGACATGACTGCATAATTATTTGTAAAACAGTGAAGTTAGAAGTTTGTAAAAGACATCTATTGTTCGAACCCAACCGAGAAAAAGACATTTACAAATAATAATTGTGATAATTATCTGATAAACTTTGATATTTAAATGAAGAATAAAGTGTTTCTGATATAATAATATTCTTTACCACTTGGACGCTGCTCTCCGTGTGGTGGAGTTCTGACTTGTGTCGGTTTGGCGCGTCTTAGAACAATCTGTTGAAAACCTTGACCTGGAAACGAAAATGGTACCTATTTCATTGTTCTTTATGAATGATATATTAACACCAATATTCAAAGAGGAACTCAATTCATCTTTGTCGCTATATTAGTGCAATAATATTGAACGCGACGTTGAACCCCATTTCACATCACCCACCTCATCTTATTTAAATGTGCTGAGCCTGTGTAAATATCCACTTTACCAATAAGACAATGAAAATGTCCATGTTAAGCTTCTCACCATGTGTTGGTTTGTATTTCGTATCTTGTCCAAAGGCTTGGTACTTCTGTGATGTCGTCACAGTCTCTCTTTGCAACTCTGCATCAAACTCTCGTCTCATCCCTTGACGCATCCGTTTCTTCATTTCTTCTTTCTCTCTCCTATACTCGTCCTCCTGTTTTCTCTTCTCTTCTTCCTCTTTCTTCTGCTGACACCCAGTGGCCTCATCAAGCATGGCCACGGTGTAGACCATGTTGCTGTTCTGCATCTGGAGATCCTTCAACATGGATACAAGTCTCTCTCCATACTTCGCCCTGGTCTCCCAGTCTCCCGTGTTGTCAAAGCCAATATACCGCCCACCACATGCCGTTAAAAACCTCTGAAGTTCTGGCGTACTGTCTTGAAGGAACTCATCCAAAGTCATATCATCGTAGGTGAGTTCGTCCAACTTTGTAAAGATGACAATAGTAAATCGGAACACACCCTCACCAAATATTTCTTGAAACAAGTCAATCATTTTCCCCTTTTCCGTTGTAAATCGTCCTATTTGAATTACCATCCCAAAGGCATCGGTACTCGGTGTAGATGTACGGATAGTGCCAACTAGCTTGGACTTACAAGTATTTATGTCCACTGCAGCGAAGAACCCAGGTGTTTCAATAACCTTCAGTGCCATGCCGGGAGTTGTTATCTTGTATGTGTTGCCGATATCCCCCGCAGGCGTAGATACTTTCAATCTCTTTCCTAAAAGGGATTCAATAACTGCTGTTTTCCCGGCCCCGTGACGCCCGATGAGAACAAGGGATGCATTATTTGGCGTTGACATCGTGACACATAGATGCCTTCATCAAACAAAAAAATATTTTTGACATTCAACATTTCGCATGATTGCATTATCATTGAAGCAACATACTTGCACTGAGAATTGTGATATATTGTGGAAAACAGTGAAACCTCGTTTACACGAAGTCAATTAGCTCGATATATCGTTTAAGAAGAGAGCATTTTGGTACCGGTAGAATCCGTAAATGGTCTTTGGTCAACACTCCGCTTGTCTCGCACGTGGATAACTCGATATATTTGTTTAGCTTATGACTTCGAATTAAGAAGGTTTCACTGTATATACATTCTTTTAAAAAAAGAAACGCACAGGTAGTATGTAGTTCATTGAACCTGACTATACAAACAATCCGGTATATAAATTGGATATATGTTGTTGGAAAATGTTGATGGTCTGATATTCGACAAAAGGTGCATCAAAACACAGCCATTGTCGATTTGCAATGTCTCAAGCGGCATTGTTATCACACTTGTTTGAAAATGTCATGGAGGAAAACAGGAAAGCAAAATGCACGTGCACTTTATGGCATTCGTAACTCGTGGTAGTGGCTATAAAAAGGCACGCATAAGCCAATAATTTGTCATTTAATTGTCAACAGTTTTCAAGTTCGAAAAGGCCGAGACTCAGCGCTGCCGATCGGAACATCGACATAGAACGTATCCAAAGAGGGGAATCGCAGTCTTCTGTTGCACGCTACTTTAACGTCCACCACAGCACCATTTGCCGCTTTTGGGACCGATACACACAGTTCAATTCCACTGCAGACCGCCCGAGAACCGACCGACCAAGAGTTACAACCCCTGCACAGGATCGCTACTTTCGACTGTTCCACCTACGTCATCCCAATGCCACAGCTGCAGAGACTGCAGGTCGAATCCCTGCCTTGAGGAGGATATGGACCAGACTGTCAGGAACCATCTTCGCGAGGCTGGAATCCGACCCAGAAGACCAGTTATCGTCCCTGTTTTGCAACAGATCCATCATCAACGCTTGCGATGGTGCCATACCTTACAGCCTTGGAATTTGAGAAACTGGAGACGAGTGTGGTTAGCGATGAATCACGATTTCTTCTTCACCGGCGAGATGGAAGATTACGTGTTTATCGTCTTCGAAATGAGCGTTTTTCCCCCCATTGTGTACGTGAATTCGACATTTCGGTGGCGGTAGTGTCATGGTGTGGGGACAATATCCTACACCACGAGATCTGACTTGGTTGTGATTCAGGGAAGTCTGACAGCAAATCGCTACATGAATCAAATTTTTCAACCTCACCTTCTTCCAATCATTGACCGCCATAGGGCCAGAGGGAGCTGCTTCAACAGGACAACGCTCCACCGCACACAGTCACTGTAGACTACCTTCATAATGCCACATCAAGCTCTTGCCCTGGCCGTCGAGATCTCCAGATCTCAACCCAATCGAACACCTCTGGGATGAACTCGATCGACGTGTACGTCAACGTCAGAACTCGCTGCAGAAACTCCCACAACTGGACAACTCGTTACAAGCAGAATGGCGCAGAATTCCGCAGGACAGAATTCGTACACTTATCCAGTCAGTGCCGAGGACATGCATAGCCGTGATTGCTGCCCGGTGCCCGGTCACGAGTTCAGGTCAACCTTGTGGCCTTGTGTGATATGACAATGAACAGTTTTCAATTCCTTTGTACAACGACAACATGTGACTATCGAGCTCCAAAATTTCATATTTGTATCTATGATATTAAATTAATATATCGACTTTATTAGGTACAATAAATTTGCTAAAAATGTACCTGTGCGTTTCTTTTTTTGAAGAGTGTAAATCACTGTCACAAAGTTGACTGAAATAGAGTGCAAAACCTAATGGTGACACTTTGGTAGCATAATTTTATTTTATTTTATTTTTAATTCGACATTTCTCGTTTTTTCAATTATCTTCGTTACTTCGATTATTTTCTCGCAATTACGATTATTTTCTCATAATTTAAATTTTATTTTGAAGAGACATCGAAATTTCGAAAATGTTGAAAGTAAAATCTGATCGAAGGAGAAAACAGATTTCCCGAGAAAACGTATCCACCGGAAGTGTTACATTGAAAAATGGTTAGTAAACGATAATTAGAAATACCCCCAAAATATTTACATACTTTTCATTACTGTAAAATTCATCACATGAACTTTAAGAATGTTTCTAAAATTAAAATGAATTTATGGTTCAGTCAGGAAGTCATAAAGAATGATAATTTACCTGCAATCAGGTTTGTTCTTCTATTTCTTTGATTCTTCAACGATAAATGAATTCTTCTCGACGGTTGATCCCTGATTAGAACTCCGAGTAAGAATCAGAACGGCAATTGACGTACAAGCGTTTAAAACGTTTCTACATAATTATCAATCGTGAGACTATATATCATGCTAAACGTGGAACCATTGATCAAACTGACAAACTGAAAATTGCACATACAGATACTATGAATAAGGGCAGCCAGATCGAGTGTAAAAATCTTCCGATATTTGCACATGCTCATTTTAGCCGTGTTGATTGGTCAGGTGAAGAGATAGAACGTCACAATACGATAATACGTCATTCATGACGTCACACATGGAAAACATTAAGTCATATGAACAATAGGTTGACTTTAGTGAAGGTTCTCTGTCGGGTTTACATCTCATGTTCTTTTCTATGAGTCATATATAGAATCGTGATTCCTCGGAGCTCATTGGTTATTTTCTAAATATTGAAGACCGCCTCCGTGGTGCGTCCGGAGAGCGGAAGGTCCGGGGTTCGATCCCCGGCCGCGTCATACCAAAAGACGTTAAAAGATGGTACTTGTTGTTACCCTGTCTGGCGCCCGGCATTAAGGGGCTAAAACAAGGACTGGTCGGCTCGGAGTCGGTATACTGTGTCTGAGTGGGATATTCATGTTAAACTGTGGCATGGTATCTCAGTGAGCTAGCACTATAAATCGGCATCAGTCCAGACTAGTACAAGCAGCCACACAAACACACACACGTACATGCACGTCGCTATATAAGTGCAATAATCTTGGACGCGACGTTAAACCCCATTTCACCTCACCACCTCTAAATATTGAATTTAGAAAAAATACTTACTAGCTGACTTCACAGCAAATTCCGCTTTGAAATATTCTGGAAGAATAAAATTAAAAAAGGTCATCAAAAGAACGTAATATGAATATGGAGACTATTGCACAAGGGAAAGTCACGACACGCACACTGAAACGTTTTTTTATACTTCACTTCTGGAATAAAAGAACATGAAGCTTAAAACGTTTTCTAAACATATTATATATCACCTTTATGTTTATGTCCCGCCAGATACTCAATCATATACGAAATACATTATCTGTATTGTCACGTGATCTACGGTCGACATGTTGAAGAGGGTAATTCGTGAGAGGTGACAGTATTGTTCTCGCATATATCATTGATTACTTAGAATGAACATGTACACCGTAAACACGTCTGAAGGTTGTAGACTTTGTAGGTCAATGTTAATGATTCGCATTTTATTATATACGATGATGCCGTTCACGAATGTTTTTCGCTACCTGGAGGAATAAAACGTGCATGTAATTTAATTGTATTTCTTTTGTTTATTGTTTGACGTCGCAGTCAGCAATGTCCCAACTGTAAGACAATGGAGTGTAAATAATCGAGTTTGTACCAGACAATCCAGTCGTTGACATCATGAGCATCGATGTACGTAATTGGTGAGTAGATGAGTTTGGTTTAAAAGAATTATTCCAGTTACATCAAGAGTCTGGACCAAACAAACCATCCTTTAAACAAGCGCCCCACGCGTCAGGATACAGTGACACGCAATCAACCACCTAGCCGGACCACCCGATCTTCTGAGTCGCTTGGTATGACAAGTATAGTTTGGTGGGGATCTACTCCAGCCTGGAATCTCCAAGGGGTGTGTAAGATTATGACATTTAAAATGACATTAATTTTTTTAATTTATTTTTAATTTTATTTACAGTGATTATTATAAGGGTAACGCTATTTTTCGGGGCATTATGATTTGCAGAAGCCCGAGGTCTTCCATTAACCGACGTCGGGCAGTTATGGAAGACCTCGGGCTTCTGCAAATGATAATGCCCTGAAAAATAGCGTTACCGTTACGTCGGGCAGTTAATGGAAGACCTCGGGCTTCTGCAAATGATAATGCCCTGAAAATAGCGTTACCGTTATTATGGCTAACATGGATAGAATTTGTTATAAAAAATTAAATATCAATATCTGTTTTGAAACATTTACTGCAATCAACACACAACGAATGTCACTGATCCACTTTTACAAATATGGAAAGGTCATAGAACAAACCAGATAACGTCACTATTGAACATCAATATGACATCACTTACCAACGGGAGTGATAATGGCCCGTCGTCAAGCAATATGAGGGCATTATCAAGTTACAGTGACCCGCTCATTTCAACATGCGGGCGGTTTAATGATAATTCTATCCATTTTAGCTGTAATACAAAGTGGTCATTTGAGCATAAACAGTAGGAGTAATGAACCGGTGTGTCATGTTATATTCAGCATCTTTATTGGCTGACCAGTCATTTTCAGTACCAACACCTCATGAAATAGAACGTGTTTCCTTTGAATTTGTTTCTTCGCGTGGTAATACATATTGTATAATGGGGTCATCATTATGTAACCAAATGTCGCGAGCTGAAATCTTGATTTACATTTGAGGTCGGTATCTTGGTATCGAGTCCATTGTTTGAGTTGATTCTGTTCTTCCCTGTAGCTTTAATGTGTGCAAATAGCACGCTCTACAAATCAATACCACTTAAATAAAAAATAAAAAACCTGTTGACATTTACTGAATACATTACGAAAACAAAGTGTCTGGACTAGATTGATTCTTCTCTGGCGTTGCATTGGCCTGGCGCTGACCAATCAGAATCTTCGAATTACTGATAGTGTGCATCTTGAACTTGCATCGAGGTACATACAGACATTTATCTGCACGTTTCCCGGAAAACTCTACTTACGATAACGGCCCTAGTATCACGTGGAGACGTGTACTAGATATATATGTATGTCAAGGACGAGAAAACTAGTAGTGAACATTCACTGAGCAGGATTACGTTTCCCCTTTTCATGAGAAAGTATTTTGTTTTAGTTTCAACATACTTATTTCATGTGATTAGGATCAGGTATAAGTTATCACGAATTTATAACGCCCTCCTGATACTGTCGTAGATGAAAACATACACTAATAATTTACTTTATTTGAAACAAAGATAGGAGCGACGACTCAAGATTACGAAGTAATGACGATCATATTGCCCCCGTCCCACTTTTGAGAGCCTGCATATCACTGATACGGCCTTACATTTTAGACTTAGATTAAGTCAAGTACATGTCAAAATAGGAATTGCATCGGACACAATTTTGTTCTCTGATGAGTTTAATTTCGAAATGTCCTCCGCATTCTACCATTAATCGTTTTGAGAGCTTTGCTGGGGCCTTGAATGTTGTAAGCCTGATCAAAACTAAAGCAAGTGTCGTATGACGCCCTTTTAAATCTTCGTAGAGCGAGCATGCTCGTTGGTACCTCAGAAGTTGTGAAATTCCTCGATATAAAGAGAATTGTTTACTGTTGGAAGCTTGAAGTGGTCCCTCTTCTCAAGTCTATGTACTAGTATGTGTAGGCATAGATTTAAATATGAAACAGATGAAGCGGTTTCACTGGTCTCTTTTGTTTCTAGTTCAGGTGGGCAAATCGGTGGTCGGGGACTGGCTATTTGACCATTATTAAACGATATCAGAATATCGACATACCTTGTGTTTACGCCTTTGCCAAATTCACGTGTTTTGATTTTGCCAATCCGAGCATAAATTCCGATTCCTATGCATAAAGAAACAAATCTGCAAGGTAGTGAGCACACTTCGTGTCTATAGGGCTGCTTTCTTTTGTCTAAGTGTCCTATCGCCAAGAGCGAATGACGTCTCAGCGCTATGCCGTAATGTCGACTTGATGTCTTATCATATGTCTGTCGGAGAAAAACCTGATACTTTCTACCTTAGAGTCCTACACATCCACAGTGGAATCTGGTGTTAAAAAAAATCTTATAACATAAGACGATACAACTCCCATTTATAACATTAGCGAACGGATATATAGATTAAGTGTCCATATATTACTTTGCTTACTCAATGACTCCCTGACTTACTGCACGAACGTCTATACTCGGATTGTGTTTGAGCTAGCGATATTGTGTTTATATGTTATCTACTGCGATGTGATAGTCACCCTGCTATAGAATACGGAGTAAATCAGTTAGAGCAACCAACATACAATCCTGAAGTGTCCAAGAGTGCGGTAACCTAGGGATTATTACAGTGCTGGGTCGTTACACTTGACCCGGGTTCGATAATATTGGAAAACAATTCTCGGAATGTTGCTGCAAGTTTATTGTAAAGCGGCCTAAAACCCCATTTAGTCACTCAAAAACAAATTCACTCACTCATTGAGGCAGGGATGATCCAGTTGTGTTCGGAGCCAAAATTCATTCCGTCCCCTATCCGCACCAGGATACGATGATCATGGGTTCGAATGGAAACGTATGCCTACTATACCTAGGCTTGGCCAATTGAAGGTTTACATAATATAAGGAAGAGAATGGGCATCGTTGACATTTGGGTTTAGGCCAGTATGTAACTTACATATCTTTGACAATGAAATTCAGTTTGTATTGATATGCTGTGCATTTGATAATATTAGTTCAAAATAGTTTCCATATTTCAATGTCCATACCTCTGCTAATCCAGGGGATAGTTTGATAACAATGTTGCAGTCCTCTGACTAAAAATATTTAGCAAAGTACAGACAGATGCGATCAATCTCTAATCTTCACGACTGTAAAGACTTGCTGTTGTCGTGTTCAAAATACCTTCATCGTATTAGGTGTACGTGGGCCTGAGGCCTTCATACTGAAATCAATGATTGATTGAATCCAAGATCCGCCCCGATTATGATCTTTGGAATGTTGACAAGATATCTGTGCTCGTGAGTTTCATCAAAGGGGTAAACGTCAACGATATGTGGAACGTTCCTTTCAATTAGGTGACTTTGAACATATGAGATGGAATGGTGTTAATTCCAATGGTCTTACAAAATAAACTTTCATTATTTTAAAGCCTCTTTTGTATCCTACAACGTCGTGTGAATTCGACTTTCACCGTCCGTCACATGATTCAGTCACTGAAAAAGCGTATGGTCAGCCCGACAAGCTAACAGACTGAGCAACGTCCAATATCAGTGCAATTATAATTAGTCATGCCAGGGGTATTATGGGTATGGCCGATTTGCATATTACTATGGTGTCACGCGCCCCATTCGCATTTCATTGGCTGGAGCACATTCGTCACCCGAAATGGCACGAGTTGGTTACGATTGATTGTAGAACTGCTAATGTCATTCGGCACCACTCGTCCCTTTACACTATCTATAAGATCACGAGTTATGCCTGTTTAAAAAGAAAATACGACAAACTAACAACATTGTTAATTGGGTTATTTATGACAATGAATTCATTATATACAGAATAAGTGTTGTCATCACTGAATTAAAAAAATAATCTAATACGTACTAACAAACAATAAACACTGAAAACAACCATTTATCTTCACCAAATCCGCCCATATATTCAAACGTAAACGCAAGTCGTTGTTCATGCTATTAACCCGAAGTTGGCCTGATCAAGCCTCATCAATGTATACCGCTGTGATTAAGGTGACAATGTGTTGTCTGTGGCGAAAAACGCCATTAACCCTATGTTATATTAAAATTATGAACTCAAATTTCTAGCCATGAACAATGTGTCTGACCTTTACAGGAAATGCGTGCTTCATAATAATGGTTCGGCTTTGTTTGTTCTGTGATATAAAAACGGAATATTAGAAATACAAACTCTAGATAACAAAATTTAAAGATCATTTTGCCAATTAGATAATGAAGCATTTTGATCGTGTTTCTTCTTGCCCTTTTGTCGAAGGTTCTTCTCCATCTGAAACCGAAAGACGTTACGAAGTGAATCTATGTTATATGCGTGTGGTGTGCATCCTTAAATCCATTATGGTGGGTCTTCGGGAGCACAATGTTACTCCGAACCCCGGGTGGTTAAAAGGTGTGCTCTGTCTTGGATCATTGCTAATGATGTCAACCAATGGCATACATGACCGAGTCTTCACAAGCCGCCGTGGTCTATATGTAATATTGATGAGTGCGGCGTAATATTTTACACATTTATCATATATAAAATCAAACGAGCGTGGGAATGGTTCCAATGTGTCAATACTCTGTGCTCCCTTAAAGTGAGTTTTGAGAATAAAACTGATTCTAACTCATTTGATTCTCACTATGTTAACAAAGGCGCTTCCATGTTCAGTTCGATTTTCAGAATGTGTAATCATATATCAAAATAGTGGTAATAGTCTTTGATCATTGTTTTATTCTTTACCCTAGCACAAACAACAATTTCACACTTATGTACTTGAGTCATGTTAACATATCCCCAAAACGAAAGTATATATCAATGTATTGAAAACTGAAGATTAATTTTAGAAATATAGAAATTGACTGTACGGCTGTATTGATTCATATTCCAACTGTGTACATAAAGAAAAAACACACTTGTCAAGAAAGACCAGGGTACCTTGATAAAATATATTAATGCGTAGTGGACCCAAAATGAAAGTTCAAATTCTAATCTCTAATGTGAATGAAATATTGTATTTCACTATAACTCAGTAAACATAAAAAACCTTGACACCAATAAAAGTGATAATCTTCTAAAGCTTCTAAAAATAACACAATACCATTATCACATTTACTTGTGCTTCGTAATGTACGTTTAACAGCAATTATTCTTATTCAATTTAATATCTATACAAATTAGACGGATTTCTTATTCGTGTAAAGTTGTAATCGTATATTTATGAACAAATATTTTATTGAGACTGTCTTTCAAACTGTTGGATATACATAATGTCTTAGCAAATGAGTTCAGATAATACTTACGCCCAGTGGAATCTGTTTCGTCGGATAATCGAGGATGGTTATTGTCAGGCGATGACGTCTTATGTTTACAACCAAAGCAACCCACAAGGCTTCCCATGGTTCTGCCTACAATTGATAAACTCCGAGTTAGTAGAAATTGTGTCCGAGCTACTATTGTTAACCTCTACATATGTGATGTAAGCAGGTGCTTGTATCTCTGGTTCTAGCTACTCTTGGTAACCTGTACATATGTGATGTAAGCAGGTGCTTGTATCTGTGGTTCTAGCTACTATTGTTAACCTCTACATATGTGATGTAAGCAGGTGCTTGTTTTCTGTGGTTCTAGCTACTATTGGTAACCTGTACATATGTGATGTAAGCAGGTGCTTGTATCTGTGGTTCTAGCTACTATTGGTAACCTGTACATATGTGATGTAAGCAGGTGCTTGTATCTGTGGTTCTAGCTACTATTGGTAACCTGTACATATGTGATGTAAGCAGGTGCTAGTGTCTGTGGTTCTAGCTACTCTTGGTAATCTCTATATATGTGATGTAAGCAGGTGCTTGTGTCTGTGGTTCTAGCTACTCTTGGTAATCTCTACATATGTGATGTAAGCAGGTGCTTGTGTCTGTGGTTCTAGCTACTATTGGTAACCTGTACATATGTGATGTAAGCAGGTGCTTGTATCTGTGGTTCTAGCTACTATTGGTAACCTGTACATATGTGATGTAAGCAGGTGCTTGTATCTGTGGTTCTAGCTATTGTTGGTAATCTCTTCATATGTGATGTAAGCAGGTGCTTGTGTCTGTGGTTCTAGCTTCTCTTGGTAACCTGTACATATGTGATGTAAGCAGGTGCTTGTGTCTGTGGTTCTAGCTACTCTTGGTAATCTCTACATTTGTGATGTAAGCAGGTGCTTGTATCTGTGGTTCTAGCTACTTTTGGTAACCTCTACATATGTGATGTAAGCAGGTGCTTGTATCTGTGGTTCTAGCTATTATTGGTAACCTGTACATATGTGATGTAAGCAGGTGCTTGTGTCTGTGGTTCTAGCTACTCTTGGTAATCACTACATATGTGATGTAAGCAGGTGCTTGTGTCTGTGGTTCTAGCCACTATTGTTAACCTCTACATATGTGATGTAAGCATGTGCTTGTGTCTGTGGTTCTAGCTATTGTTGGTAATCTCTACATATGTGATGTAAGCAGGTGCTTGTGTCTGTGATTCTAGCTACTCTTGGTAACCTGTACATATGTGATGTAAGCAGGTGCTTGTGTCTGTGGTTCTAGCTACTCTTGGTAATCTCTACATATGTGATGTAAGCAGGTGCTTGTATCTGTGGTTCTAGCTACTTTTGGTAACCTGTACATATGTGATGTAAGCAGGTGCTTGTATCTGTGGTTCTAGCTACTATTGGTAACCTGTACATATGTGATGTAAGCAGGTGCTTGTCCTGTGGTTCTAGCTACTCTTGGTAATCTCTACATATGTGATGTAAGCAGGTGCTTGTGTCTGTGGTTCTAGCTACTATTGGTAACCTGTACATATGTGATGTAAGCAGGTGCTTGTGTCTGTGGTTCTAGCTACTCTTGGTAACCTGTACATATGTGATGTAAGCAGGTGCTTGTGTCTGTGGTTCTAGCTACTATTGGTAACATGTACATATGTGATGTAAGCAGGTGCTTGTGTCTGTGGTTCTAGCTACTATTGGTAACATGTACATATGTGATGTAAGCAGGTGCTTGTATCTGTGGTTCTAGCTACTATTGGTAACCTGTACATATGTGATGTAAGCAGGTGCTTGTGTCTGTGGTTCTAGCTACTATTGGTAACCTCTACATATGTGATGTAAGCAGGTGCTTGTGTCTGTGGTTCTAGCTACTCTTGGTAATCTCTACATATGTGATGTAAGCAGGTGCTTGTGTCTGTGGTTCTAGCTACTATTGTTAACCTCTACATGTGTGGTGTAAGCAGGTGCTTGTATCTGTGGTTCTAGCTACTATTGTTAACCTTAATTTTGTTAATAACCATTGTATTATTGAAGCTAGGTGAACTGAAAATAGAACCTACTTTGTGAATTTACAAGTTCAGTGAAACGGTTGGTTTTACCTGTTGCTTCAACTCAAGCTGTTGGAACACTAGTCATTCATTAGAAACATATCTATACACGTGAACAATAAAATATCAAACATATGGATAACAATTGTACAGAAACAAAACTGCAATTGTGACACTCACCTGCGCGAAACAATTAACTTTACCTGAGTTTGGCGTCTTTGCATATGTGCTGGATGTTGATATGTCAAGAAGGGGTGATGATTCCAGCTCCTTCTTTTCCACTTCTGGTCCTAACAGTGAAGGGACATCATCTGTAGGAATGGCTGGGGGCGTCTGTGTTGTCGTCTCTCGTATCAACTTTGCATCAAACTCTCGTCTAATCTCTTCACGCACCCCTTTCTTCATTTCTTCTTTCTCTCTCCTATACTCTTCCTCCTGTTTTCTCTTCTCTTCTTCCTCTTTCTTCTGCTGACACCCAGTGGCCTCATCAAGCATGGCCACGGTGTAGACCATGTTGCTGTTCTGCGTCTGGAGATCCTTCAACATGGATACAAGTCTCTCTCCATACTTCGCCCTGGTCTCCCAGTCTCCCGTGTTGTCAAAGCCAATATACCGCCCACCACATGCCGTTAAAAACCTCTGAAGTTCTGGCGTACTGTCTTGAAGGAACTCATCCAAAGTCATATCATCGTAGGTGAGTTCGTCCAACTTTGTAAAGATGACAATAGTAAATCGGAACACATCCTCACCAAATACTTCTTCTACAATGCCAATCATCTCTCTTTCTTCCGCTGTGAACCGTCCTATCTTAATCACCAGTCCAAAAGCATCGGGTCCCGGAAGAGAAGTTTTGATACTTTCTACCAATTTTAATTTACAGGTATCAGTGTCTGGGTTTGCTGCAAAGAATCCAGGTGTTTCAGAAATCCTCAATGATGTTTCAGAAGATGTTACAGAGTAAATGTTATCCGATTCCTTTGAAGTAGTCTTCAAACTTGCCCCCATAATGGACTCTACAACTGCTGTTTTCCCAGCCCCGTGGCGTCCAATAAGAATGAGAGATGCTTTACCTGTCGTTGACATTATGCACCAGAGAATCCTTCAACATAAGGCAATCACTTCGTAACCTTTCGTGTGAGATTTTGTATGATGATTAGATATATTTTTCAGCTACAGACAGATACAAAACCAGAAATTATTATATTTAAAACTATGAGCCAGATTTCTTTTAAAAGAAACACCTTGCAACAATTTTTGTGACCCCCCTAAAAAAACAACACGGACACACGCGCACGCACGCACGCTCGCACGCACGCCGCGCACAGATTCGGTCCCTAACAGTCCCTGATTTAACTGAAATACTGTTCCAAACGGCATTAAATCACATTACTCAATTTTTCATTAAGTGATAGAGGGAGATTTAACCATGGAAGTTTAGGCTACTTTTGAAAGCATGTATACTTACTTGACGGGAACGACGCTAGCTTTCTGAAAACAAGGAGAAAATACTGTTAGTATTATTTTAACCTAAGTATTTGATCTACGCATAATTTATCAGCTGGAGGAAGGTGAAACGTAGATAATATTTACGTAGTGATGTATAAAACGTTACAATAAGGTTTAAACGATCCAACTAACCAAAGAGAATTCCTTATGAAAGCGCTAATGAATGTTCTGATGAACACAAGATGAATCTAGACAGATGTCCCGGCTACAGGGATCACTGGTGAAGTCACCTTCAGTAAACAAGAAAACCTTCATTTTGCTTACGAGATAGGCCTGACGCAGGACACCCAGATAATGACAGACTACATATACGCCTATGGAAGATACACGAAGATAACATGTCCTCCATGCAGTGTGTCTGCACTTGTTGTCTAATCTGGTTATGAATTAAAGTTACTATATCAGAACACTGAAATGATCTTGCTACATTTGGATTTTATGATATTATTGTCAGCTACCCTTAAGAACAAGCAGATTCAGTGACGAAATGCCTGCTCAACATAAGAATATTGTCAAGCAACAGTGATCACTCGTAAAAATAGCTTTTCGGTAAAGATATATCCTTTGACTTTAAAAAACATTTTTTATGCACATTGTCTGAGTGACGAGTGTCACTAGTAGGTTAGAAAATGCTTACCCTTTTTGCGAACACCTGGTGTCATCACTGATTTCCAGCGATTCATTTATATCATTTTTTATTTTATTTTCCTTTTACGCCAAATGGAATCTGTTTCGGCAGATAATGGAGACAGGTTTTATAATTTTTTTATCATGTCCATGACACTCAGATATGCACTTTGCACGGGGCAAGGATAATCGCGATAAGTGAAGTTTGTACATGTTGATCCATCTGCAGACGTCGCTGTATAAAAAAAAAACGAAGATAGAAGTTATAAATTGTCCTTATTTTCTATTCAACCTATCACCTGCCGCCGTAATATAGCAAGCATATAGCTGAGTGCGACGTTAAACATCAAACAATCAAACAATCCTATATATAGGCAGAGCTGAGTAAACCCACAATCTGATGAGAAAAGTCTGTATCACATGATTTGTGACATTATATGGAGTGTTGATGTGACCTTGCCATATGTATGGTGGCCGAGAGGGGACATCGCTTTCTCGCTCTATCCCTTTATCGCTTTCTCGTTTTCCCGCGGTAAAGCAATATCCCCTCTTGACCACAATAGGGGCCACATGTGCTCTCTGCTTCAATTGGGAGGGAATGTTGAACTTTTCTCTCTATTTACTTAAAACATAATTTAACTGTACAGACGCAGGTGATTCTAAAACAATCCACAGATTTTTGCGTAAAATGTAATTGATTGGCTTATGTTCCTATTTAGTTTTATGTGACCATCACGCCGAAAGCACGTGGCGGATGCCAATACGCTCCAAATAAATCAGGTTAAAATCTAAATATATACTTTTCAAAAGAAGTTGAGAAGACTATGGTTAATTAGTCATGGCTGATTGTATTGCAAAATACATTGTCTTATAATTGTGGGTGTTCTATTACTTGTTTTCGGTAGTATATGATGCTACAGTGTGTCATATCTGTTGTCCGTACATATTCTTTTTCACATTTGATGTAGGATCAATTTGAATTGTGTCTCTGCCTTATGCAAAGTATATGTACTTGCATACAGTAATTTGATAAACGCCCCTGTGAGTAAGTGAGAACGGTTTTACGTCGCTTTTAACAATAATCCAGCAATATCACGGCGGGGGACACCAGAAATGGGTTTCACACATTGTACCCATGTGGGGAATCGAACTGGGTCTTCGGCTTGACGAGCGAACGCTTTAACCACTAGGCTACCCCAATGCCCCCATCGATGTGGTGTTATCACAGTTGATATGTGTACTTGTGTAAACTACACATATGGGGATACATACTAATCAGTATGGCCACATAGTTAACGTTGATAACAATATGAAGTGCATTACTATGAACACACATGTTAAATCATCTATCATTGTAATATTTTGTGCATAAAATCTTAAGTATAGTTGTGTCAAAATTATTTGTGTGTGTGTGTGTGTGTGTGTGTGTGTGTGTGTGTGTGTGTGTGTGTGAGTGAGTGTGTGTGTGTGTGTGTGTGTGTGTGTGTGTGTGTGCGTGTGTGTGTGTGTGTTATGAACAAAATGAAAATATGAACGACTATTCTGTTGTTAATTTATTACACTACAAGAAAATAAACACGTGTGTTTACAAACTAAACGTAGCAGCACTAATAGCGGTGATAATTATAGGAATGGGTCACTGAATATCAGCAAAAGACGTTTAATGTACGGCATTATGGGAAATATCGCTTTCTCGCTCTATCGTTTTCTCGCTCTATCGCTTTTTCATATGAAAGAATCGGATGTTCTTTAACTTCTTTTGAATAGTATCTACTGTTAATCTTCAAAATTTACGTTAGAGTTAATCATAAATGCAAAAAAATAAGAGTAGACTTAATTAATTAAACTTTGCATTTATGTCTCAGAAATGACTGTTGATAAGACGGCCTCACTGCACACTTTGAATAGCGGAAATACCAACTTGAATATAAAACCAATCAACTATCTCTTTCCACATAACGGTTTACTGAGAACAATATGTCATTCAAACACTATAAATTACATAATGGACACCCGGTAGTATAACCATTGCTTGGGTGAGGTCTTCCAGTTTGATGACATCTAACTCCGCTAACAGAATAAAGATTGATATAAGCTAAGTGTTGTTTTTAGGAAAACACTATTGTTTTTAGGAAGTACTCTACTCAGCGCTTGTAAGCGGTGTTATTTGCTGTTTGTTTTGATAACTAGGCCTGGGGGCGGGGGTCCAATAAAACTCCTAAATAGGTCCATTAATCAATCAAATATTTTTTTACGCAGAAATCCGTGGATTGTTATAAAAGCACTTACGTCTGTACTGTTAAATTATGTTTAAGTAGATAATGAGAAAATTTCAACATTCCCTCTATATGTATAATTTGAAATGTGACTGGAAAAATCTCAGCTCTCTTTTATGATTAAAACCACCTCAGCCTCCCCCACCTGAGGTCAGATTTAATGTTATTTTAGGTCTATACTTTTTATCGTATAGAAACACATTACACATGGACCCCTAAAGTGACCCAGAGGGACTATTGTTACATCGCGAGAAAGCAATAAAGCGATAGTGCGAGAAAGCGACTTCTCCTCTGGGGCACCATAGTTAGGACGCTTTCAGCAATATTCCAGCAGTATCACGGCGGGAAACACCAGAATGGGCTTTATACATTGTACCCATGTGAATCCAAACGGGATCTTCAGCATGTCGCGACGAGCGAACGCTTTAAGAACCAGGATACCCACAATTTGACAGGACGAGGTATGATAGTGACATGATCGTTTGCAGATGCATGACCAGTATTGGCCAAAAAGGTCGGTTCTGTCAAACATGAGTTTTTGACCAAACTGCTTTTTCCTGCTAATTTCTGTCCATTGTCATTATAGTCTGTTTGCTACAAAATCAAAAACCAAAAAGCAACAATTCGTCTTAAAGGGCATGAAAGTTATTTATTTGTCAATACCAAATCGTCAAGATTATAACATTCATATAGCGACGTGCATGTACGTTTATGTATATTTGTGGCTGCTTGTACTAGTCCGGAATAGTCTATCTTTCAAACACTTGCATGTTTTGGGCATGATCACGAACGTATTTGTTGTTTGTATGTTTCCGCAATAGTATAGCTACACGACGGCGGCCTGTAAATACTCGAATCAGGAACAGATATACCAGTGGTTAATATCATGTATTTACCGTTTGGCTGTAAATGACATTATGTTTTAATAGATGTTGATTTACGCTGTAGTCAACAACATTCTAGCTACATCTCTGCGGCGGACAAGTCGGACAAGTGGTTGATAACATGAATGTCGACTATCGCAATCGATGCGCGAAGCCAGGTCACACACAGTATCCACACGATCCTCTTTGATCGACTCCAACGACAAGCATGGCGATTCAGGAGAAGAATTGGACCCTAGTACATGTATTCCACGATGGTCCTTAGAGTCGACAACAGAAGGTCGGATGGTCATGCTCCATGAATTGGCTGATAGCCCCAATGGCGTGAATCGCTACTCACAAGATCCCGTGTGACGAGACAATTAATTTAACCACTCAACCTACATTGTCGATCCAACTCTCGTAAAGGAGTAATTCCTTTAAGATAATACGTGAGGTTTAACGTCGCGTTTAAGATTATTTCCCTAATAGCCCACTGGAATGCCATGCCGAAGTTTAACATGGACACCTCACTCAGAAACATTATACAGAATCTCATCCGAGCAGTCCTTGTGTTATCCCGTTAATGACGAGCGGCAGGCAGGGTAACAACAAGTGCTATTTTTTAAAAGTATTTTGGTATGACTGGATCAGGGGACCGAATCACCGACCTTTCGTTATCCGTGCAGACGCCCTCTTCACTAGATCACGGAGGCGGTCGAGTTATGATAACACGATGAGTAGGCCAAATACAGTCGAAAGAAATTTATTACATATATGATAATAAGATAGCAATGAATGAAGCAATACACATACAGTAAACTACGGTTATAACGAACACGCTTATAACGAACTGACGGATATAACGAACTTACTTTTTTTGGTCCCGACTATTTGCTGTAGTTATGCTGTATATATACTTATAACGAACTACGGTTATAACGAACTAAAATAAGTAGTCCCTTTGAGTTCGTTATAACCGTAGTTTACTGTATAAAGAATACGCCATCGATGAATTATTGACAAATAACTTTACATTTGCATTACTATGTGTGTAACATTTAGGACAATGAAGAGGGGTAGATGCTCACAAGAGATTGGTTATCAGGGGGATACCCGTTTCGCTAAAAATAGCTGTCCAATCAAAGTACACTTAGGACTGAGGGAATGCTGTGCTAAACTGGTGATAAGAGAGAGGGAGATAGTGACGTCACTTCCGAAACGAAGCTTTGGTGGCAAAGGGGGCCCATAGTAAATATCGCACCATTGTGGATATACGCTGTATGATTGAGGGTGCTATGTAACTGAAATGTTTCCTTATAAACTGTTCACTCCGAAAGTTGGTTCTTTAGTTTCAGACCGGCAACTTCACGTCTTAGAGCTTCCGTCTCCATGGCAGTTTTTCCTTGTTGTATTAAGAATTCCTCTCTCTCTTTTGCCATCTTCATCTGCATCGATTTTCGAAATTCTCCCTTCATCTCTTTCTTCATCTTCTCTTCCTCAGTGTGCGCCACTTCATCTACTCTCCTTTGCAGGAAGTCTTCACTGGCAGGTTCTTTACCCTTTGGCCCATTTGTAATACCAGGGTCATGAACAGAAGCTCCTGAAATTAAATCGACACAAATATATTATTTTCTGATTTCCCAAACTGAAAGATCTAATGTAACAACGAACAAGATAACTGTGTCACCACATCGCCATAGACCCCGCCCACGACCTACTCGTGTTAAAATAAGTATTAATATTAGAAAACGCATCCCGAAAATCTGCCTTAACTCCTCAGTTGGTGTTGATATTAGTCCAACAAGGTCAAGTGAAAATATATATGAGATAAACATACTGTGCGTCATCAATGCAGAGATAGGCTACCTGCAGATTTAACCGCGCTAATTTGGTACTGCACGTGCAGTTCTCATAACGAGGGGGCACGGGTGGCCCAGTCGTCTAAGGCGCCGCGATTCGCACTTCAGAGTTGCGTCCATTGGGCACGCCAGATACCTGTGATTGTGGCTTCGAATCCCGGGTCGCCCCAGTTATGTTTCTAGGTTTGTCAGCACAATACCCGTGCTCATGGGTTTCACCGAAGTGGTAAACGTCTGAGACCTGCATCACTTCGGGCTTTCCTCCCACATTAAGCTGACACGCCGTGATATAACTGGAATACTGTTAAAAGCGGCGTTAAAGCCAACTCACTCAATCTTATAACGATGTTTTAGAGGTTGTCATTTCCAAAATATGCGGTTTGGGGGAGCCAAAGGTGACATTTGTTATATACCTCGCCTCGACATCGTGATGCACACTGCCCTTCCATTCAATAGTTAATTGGAGGTACGGGTGGCACAGCCGTCCAAGGCGCTGTAATTCGTGCCAGAAACCTCGGATCATGGGTTCGAATCCCAGTTTACACTCATGCGTTTCTAGGTTTGTCAGCACCATACCTGTGCTCGCTCGTGGGTTTCACCAAGGTGGTGACCTGCGTCACTTCGGACTTTCGTTCCACATCAAGCAGACACGCCATGATATAACTGAAATAATAAACTCACCCACCAACTCCTTATTTACCTGCTGTCTCTGTAGAAGGTCTGGGCATCGGGTTGACTTTCGCAACCTGTACTCCCCCATTGCCGCAGGCTGAACACACTCCTCTTGGTAGCAATGTCGCCATTTTGCATCTCGGACATTGTGTTTGACCTTAAAGAAGAATAACTTGCTCTATAATTCTTATTTGTTGAAACAGTTTGGTATGAATATTTGGTATTGTCACAACAATAAAGGAACCAAAATTATCCCACGAGATATCTTGCATTTCACTCCCAATGTGCTAGTATTAGAACCTCGCTATGATACTGATATACCAATAATTTAAATCTGAGATTCCAATAAAAGCGACAAAACCATTTCAATCATCATAAGAAACATATGAGATTCCGACTACATTTTTATGTGTGTGTGTGTGTGTGTGTGTGTGTGTGTGTGTGTGTGTGTGTGTGTGTGTATTATGTATTGACGTTTACATTATTAAATTGATTGACGTTGAAACTATTTAAATGGTGTCCCTTTTTGGTCTTATCTGCATTTTTATGGAATAAGTTCTTACTTTCCAGAAATGAAATTGTGTTTACTTGCCGGTTTAAAATATAAACTAGGTCATGAAACAGATTACTCAATCATCTCATTTCCATTACTGAGACTGCTCTTGTTTAGAGACATTTGATTTGACTTTTAGTGGTCCAACACGCCGTAAAACTAAAATATCATACCATACCACCAGGGCAACTAGAGACCCAAACAGAAAAGTGGAGCTGAAGTGGTAAGTAAAAGTATTTACCGCTCTTCAAGGGTGTAGTTCGTAATTGGTTACATTTCTTGCAACAACTCTGGCTTGTTTCATTCAATTCGTGGCAAAGCTTACACACCCACACTGAAACACATCAGTATGCAAATGCTTTAAGTGATATACCATTGTTGCAAGGTGTTTTTTGTAAAAAAAATTCAAGCTCAAAGTTTTAAATTAAAACATATCTGGCTTTGCCGATATAGCTGAAAAAACCCATCTAATCTCGATACAAATTCCCACCCCCAGAATAATAGTCCAAAAGGCTTGTTCCAATGAATGTTTGTTTGGGTCACGTGTCGTACAATTATATCCCGATACCACCCTCGAACTACACGATGATTGAGATGTGTGTGGATCAGGCTCGAGTAGAAAGTTAAAAGTGACGTTTGCACAAGCTGTGTGAGGATTTGGCTGTGTTCTAAGACAAATAGAAGACCCGTGACAGTAATGTATCGTGATACAAAGGAACGATTGCCAGAACCATTGGTTATTGTTAAAGTGCCTCTCGTCCCTTATTAATCAACACACACAGTCAGTTCATAATACGTACTTCCGTTAACTTCCTGGTGGTCCAGACACTTCACACTGAAATGTAAAAGATCTTGAGATTTAAACAAACCTACAAAAAAAACCATAACCTCCAAACATCTTCCCACACATTCTGCTGAATCTACTGTGACTTGGCTGACGATCTTGGCTTTGCCATCATGTTGAACATTACCTGGTCGATTAGGTACTCATTAAACTCTAGCACTACGATTAGTTGTACCCATATAACAGTATAATAGTTTTGAAATAGGGTAACAATAGTGAGGTCATTCTAGTTATATTTCGAAATAAATAAACTGCAAGCGCTTCCGTGGTATTTGATTGGCTAACCAAATAATATTTTCAGAAACCGAAAAACAGTTAGGCCACGCCCACATAACAACTACTGTTTCCTGATTGGCTGATAATAGAGTGGGCGGGGCTTGTGTTGGATTATTGCGCTGAACTATGTAACTGATCATGAATTCGTACTGTTGTCTACAGTTTTGTGAGTGTGTTAATAATTCATAAGTAATTATTGTTGTCTTTTTATATTTATGATAATTGACTTCAATATTTTTTTACTTTATGGAGATTTAAATGTAAAAACCGGTGCTCACAATCTGCGTAATTCCGCTACGCGGATTTACACAGTTTGCACAACGAATTTTAGTTTATAACTCCCTAAACGAAAAAAAATATTGAAGACAATTCTAAAAGGGTCGGTCGGGTGAGAGAACCCTTCAGCAACCCATGCTTGCCGTAAAAGGCGACTACGCTTGTAGGGATTGGGTGGTCAGGCTCGCTGACTTGGTTGATGCATGTCATCGATCTCAATTGCGTGGATCGATGCTCATAATATTAATCACTGGATTGTCTGGTCCAGACTCGATTATTTACAAATCCCCGTCATATAGCTGGAATGTGCGTCGTTAAACAACAAACCAACCAACCAACATGGGAACAAAGCTACACACTGCTTTGAGTAACAGTAAATCCATGACATGACCTAAACATACTCAAATCATGACTTAAGAACAATATGTATTTGTACATTCGGCATATCTTCCTTATGTAAGTGGGACGGCGGGGTAGCCTAGTGATTAAAACACTCGCTTGTCACGCCGAGGACCCGGGTTAAATTTCCTACTGCGGTACAATGACTGAATCATTGTCGTCGATTGTTACACGATATATGTTAAGGCGAAACAAACACTGAAGAACGCTACTGATCCAGCTTATAACCGGAACTAGTTTAATACACAATCATGTACATACATGTACTTAACATGTACATGTAATTAAGACAGAAGCTCATTTAAGTTAGAACTTTCCGTTAAGGTAAGCTAAAATAAAATTAAAGAAACATAATTAATATCTTCTCAGAAGGCTTGGATTTAAAACGCGTGTGGGAAATAGGAACTTTTTCAACACTCTTTCTCACTTATCATGTGCAGTTGAAGCCTCATACGTATATGGAAAACAAATAAAACGGCCACTCACGTGGACTGTTATTTTACTTCAGTTCTGAAGAAGGTTGTCACATAAGGTTGTCTTTGAAACTTGCAGTAGTACCGAGTTTTAAGTGTGCAGTTCCGGTCTGTGTTCTTGGGAAACACTCGTACCTACGTTACCATGAAAAGAACAAGTGAAAAAGACATGTTTATTTTCAAATAAGATATACAAGTTTGCAAACGTTCAAAATATGTCTGTTAACATGGTGCCCTATTTACTTTCTAATTAGTTTCATTTTATTAAAACTACGATTATTTAAGTAATGTACTCTGCAAAAAAAGAAACGCAAAAGTGATTTGGATATATATTTTGTATATATCATATAAATAATGAACAGATGGTAATCGATTGTTCAAAATTGTCACACATTGTCGTTGACCCAGGTTCCATATGGCACACATGGAACAGTAGATTTTCAAGTGAAGGTCATCTGTTCTCAATATCTTCTATGGCCACCATTAGAGTCCAAAACTGACTGGCATCGTCGTCAGATCCCGAATTTTTGCCTGGACAATCTTCACCCACTCTGCCTGCAGTTCTTGTGCCAACTGGTGGCGGTTCTGTGGTTGTCGATGACGTGCTCGCAGTCGTTGATCCAGTGCAGCCCATACACGTTTGACTGGATTTAAATCTGGAGACCAAGACGGCCATAGCAGGACCTGGATGTTTTTATTCATGAAAAAGGCTGTTGTCAGTCTTACCGTGGGAGGTCGGGCGTTGGCTTGTTGGAAAATGACGTTTGCTTGTTGAATAATGGGAAGGACGTGTGGCCGAAGAATCTCATCCATGTAACATTGTGCCGTTAAATTCCCCAGAACGTGCAACAAGTCTGTTCTATCAGTGTAGCTGCCCACGTCACTCTACCACCACATCTAAGTCATGTAGCCGTATGAATCTGCATGTCCTGTGCTCCAGTAGTGATACTTGGTCGACCGGATCTGGGAAGATCCCGTGTTGTCCCGTGTGTCTGATAACGGTTCCACAGTCTTGTAATGGTGCTTGGTGCTACGGTAAAAAACCTGGCTACAGCTGAAGATGATTCTGCTGTTTTGAGGGCTTTGTTGCGTTGGGCTTCAGTCAGTCGAGGCATGTTTTCGCTGTTCACATGCTGTAAGATAATGATGACATGCAAATGAAAACCCAACGTTTTATAGCCAAACAAGTGATGTTGCATTTGCATGTCATGCTGGTGTGTTTCGGCGCAAGGATCTCACTTGGTCGTGTTTTTGCGATTTTTCCATCTTTTCACCAAATTTCTGCGGTACCTGATTCTTTCCACAGAAATCAATCCCAATCCATGCAGAAAAGTTCAATTAATTTTTCGTATTAATTCTTTTGCAAATTATATATCCAGTTTTATAATGGCATCATGAGGAGACAAGTGAGCTAACTGACGATAAAAGTCCAGCTGGAAACTGAACTTGTTGGAAACTTTACCATACTTTTAAATCACTCTAGTTTAAAGAACTTGAAAAAAGATGCATGAAGTAAAATGCATTGTAAAGATCAAAACCTCAACGAAATCAATATTTAAAACGACAGCCATACAGCATCCGATATTGGCATGGCAGTTGCCCGAATTGAGGTGGGATAGCAATAACCAGGGCACACACATCTGAAATCGGTCACGTTCAATGACACGTCACATAAATAGCGCGTGTGACCACCCCCTGCTTACAAGACACGTAAAATCTCCCCGTCACACAGAAAAAGTCAGTCGTCTGTGGGATACGTCGCCATTCTTCTTGGAGGCCCTGCATCTGTTCTTGTCGGTTGGCTGGAGGATCCATGACATCCCAGACGTGTTCTCTGGGGAACATGTCTGGGGAGCGTGCACGCCACGGTAACACGTTGACGTTGTTAGCTGCAAGGAAGTTCTGTACGGTTCGGGCTGTATGAGGTCTGGCGTTGTCATGCTGATAAAGGACACCTCGAGACAGCTATTGTATGAATGATCGGACAATCGGACGAAGAATGTTATCCACGTAACGCCGAGCTGTCCTATTTCCGTTAACGATGACCAGTGGTGCTCTCTCCTGTCCACAACGTCGTCCCCACACAATAACACCCCTTACGCGATACGGTACGACCTCAAGAACGCAACATGCTGCCGTTTGTTCTCCCCTTCGGCGGTAAACATGTTGTCTTCCATCAGCTCTGAAGAGACAGAACCGGCTTTCATCAATGAAGACGACCATCTGCCAGTAACGTCGCTGCCAACGACGTACAGTCTGGGACAATCTCAATCTCTGACGACGACGCTGCGCTGTCAATAACTGTCCTCTGTAAGGTCTGTAAGCCCTCATTCCTTGAGCCCCGAGTCGCCTGACCACTGCCTGTCGACTAACCATGTGCCCTAAGCCATTCGTCGCTGATGAAGTATCTGTCAGGAATCGATTCCGGAGTCGCAAAGTCCGCAACTACCGGTCTTCATTGGGCGTAGTTACCCTTGGTCTGTCTGTCTTATGTCTGCCCGGTCTATCTGTAACGTTGCGTCAGGTTATAGCAACATGGGGGCAACCAAACGTACTCGCAATGTGGTCAGGGGTGGCTCCCACCTGTATCATACCCAGTGCCCGCTTGCGTTGTTCGAGTGCCAGTCGTGGCATTTCTGTGTTGTTGTTTTTTTATCAGTGTGAGTATCTGGCATGCCGTCCGTATGCGTTATGAACCTATATTGCACGTGTATTTTCGGGTGCCCAAGCGGCACGTGTTTTTCGCTCTCGCAGTTTCTAAAAAGAAAAACGTGCCGTGGACGTGTATCACTTTCCGCATAGAGCATTGTTGTGCTTGGACGATGTGTATCAAATTAGTTTGAACTTTTAAATTTTGCAATTTCATTTTTAAAGAGGTAAAGTATCTTTTTGCCGCCAGTGTACTCAGTTAACTTCCTTGCACGTGAAGATTTATATACATTCGTCACCACTCGCATCTTTCCGTAACCTACAAGAAGGAATGGCACGAGTTGGTAACGAATGGAAGCATAAATGGTAAAATGACACGATATTACATGATCATAAATTAAATGTTACAGATAAGGAAACATTATTGACGTTTAGTTAATTATATTGATAGTTATGTGGAAAACATTTGAATATCGATTGCACTCAGCAATAGTCCAGCTATGGGACGGCGGTCTGTAAATAATCTAGATAAGTCAATCCAGTGACTGATATCGGTTGCATCGATCTTGGCAAATGCGTTTAGATGGCATGCATCAGCGAGACTGACAACCAGATCCCGTTAGCCGCCTCTTAAGAAAAGACAAGGTTACTTTTCCAGTTATGCCTCCGGTTTGCGTGTGTACAAGACAAATTTTGAAGTAGTGGTTTTACAAAAAACATTATCTTCCATAGCCATTTAGGTCAGTTCATATCACACATGAACGTGATTCATTTCTTTACTGTTCAAGAAGAGCAAGTACTAAATATTATTGATTCTGAATATTCGCACAGACCAATGCCGATGAACATCAATTAACAAAATACTACCTTCCACTAAAGGCACTAACCTCTGAAATCAGCGATTCACTTCTATGTCAAACAGGCTCAGCATATGATGAACAACATGTCAGAAAATGACATGGTACATGTATCTAACATGTTATCAACAACACAGGTCACAAGGTCGAGTCTTACGATAGGTCTGACACGTACGCAACGAGTTTCGCGATAGACTGGTGTAGTGAGGCAATCATCAAGCTCGTTACACATTCGATGACATTTGAGGACGTTTTTTGATAACATATACATGTATCAATATACAGTATTGCAGGCTGTTTAGTCCATAATATGCTCAAAGGAAACGCGAATACCATACATCTTGATTAATATATGAATATTACTCTTATTCAAGAGATATTAGATTGGTTCGACGCACAAACGAACATACTGGTATTTTGTGTGAATCGACGCTCATGAACGCATCATATGTGACGTCATAGAGCCATGTCTCTAGATGCACCATGCAAATATGTCTTGTACAAACTAGCAAAGTTCGGAAATGACGTGCAGCATATTGTGATAAGAATAAAGACACTGCTGTACCACTTGACTGATTGTTAGTTTTGTCATAAAGTGGTACGCATTGGAAACATCGCGTTTCTATTGGCGGTCAGTATATAAATGTGTGCTGCCCGCCGCACCCCTCCATGTAGAAACATACAAAACATTCATTCCACATTGGATTTTCGGTAGGTGATGGGATCAACTATGTGATACAAGCAATAGGTGTATGCACATTATCACCAAATGAGTTCATTATCGTGTTCAAGCGGCTTTGTTTTCGGTGGAAGTATTTCCCGATTCGTCATCTTTCTTTTTACGAAAATAGTGTAATACTTAAAGCTACTTCGTTAAGATGAAACTGTAGTAATATGCGAAGTGAAATGGGGTTTAACGTCGCGTTCAAGGTGATTGAAAATCACCTTTTAGCGATGTGCATTGCACGTGTGTGTTGCTCCTTGTACTCGTCCGGACTTACGCCGGTTATATAGTGCTAGCCCACTAAGATACTAGAGGGACTCTCAGACACATTATACTGACTCCGAGCCGACCTCTTCTTGATTTATCCCATTATTGCCGAGCGCCAAGGGGCGGTGGGGTAGCCAAGTGGTTAAAGCGTTCACTCGGCAACCCGAAGATCCGGTGTGAAGCCCATTTCTGGTGTCCCCCACGGTGATATTGCCGGAATATTGCTAAAAGCGGCGTAAAACCATACTCACTCACTCACTCACTCACCGAGCGCAAGGCCTCGTCCTTTGATACCCTACCTGCTTTAGCTATGCAAAGACTGCTCTCACTCACTATTTTCGTTTAAATCATACGGATGGCAAATGTGGGGCAATCCGTCTGTGGTTTGGATATAAGACAACTCCATTCTTGCATCTTAACATGTGCTCGCTTTGGTGAAATTCCTGTGTGTTTTTAATTTTTAAGAAGTGTCTGAACCGTCGTAGGAGAAATACCACACTCTTAAACCATACTGAATGATGGCAGACTTTCATATTTATGGTTAAACGGATTTTCAAACAGATTATTTAGCATATAAAAATAATGTTTGTGAAGAGCAATAATTCTGTATTTTATTTGGCAAATAAACTACCGGGCAAAAGAAAGTTTACACTCTAAAAACAGTTGTATAAAAAGCCAAAAAGCTGGTACAGGTTTGAACCCCCGCAGAAAACATTCGCCCAAATGCAACATGACCACAACCACAACGCAGATTTTCGAACGCAGCTTTCCAAATCATGCATTGTTGAAAACGTGCAAAACGTGATTTTGAGACATTGGTCCAAATGCACGTGCACGTACTCAACGTCAGATAGCATGAACCTTCAACTGCTCCCAGACCACCATCAGCAAGTTGATAATCCGCTACCAGCAGACAGGACAGACTCAAGACCGGCCAAGACCGAGAGTGACAACACCGGCCGAAGACCGCTACATCCGGCAGATTCACCTCCGAAACAGATGTGTGACGGCGACGTCAACGGCGGCAACAGCACTAGGGCATGCCATCAGCAGACGAACAGTCCTTCGACGACTACGTACGGCTGGTATACGAGCCTATCGACCCTTCCGCGGAATGGCCTTGACCCGTCTACACCGTCAACGCAGACTGCAATTGGCACGAACTGTACGTCGGTGGCAGCGACGTGACTGGGCGAGAGTGCTCTTTACAGATGAAAGTCTGTTCTGTCTGTTCAGGAACGATGGCAGAGTTCGAGTTTTTCGACTAAGGGGAGAGCGACTGGCGCCAAACTGCATTAGAGAAGTTCAGCCGTTTGAAAGTGGAGGCGTCATGGTATGGGGTGGCATTTGTGGCCAGATTACAACACGGCTGGTTATCATCCGAGGAAACCTGAATGCTCAGCGATACAGGGATGAAGTGTTGAGACCTGTTGTGGTGCCCTTTATTCAACATCAGCCAAGAGGATTAATTTTGCAACAAGACAACGCAAGGCCTCACACCGCCCGAATTGTTCAAGACTACCTGAACAACGTTAACGTCAACGTATTGACCTGGCCACCTTGTTCTCAAGACATGAACCCCATTGAACATCTCTGGGATCATCTTGATCGTCAGCTGAGACAACATGTACCGCCTCCAGCGAACCGACAGGAACTTCAACAGACTCTATTGAACTTATGCCCAGGGTGGTCACACTCGCTATTGATGACGTGTTACCTGACTACTGTGTCATTAATGGACTCTTCATGCACTTTTTCAATGAACTCTGATTTGTGTAATTTTTAATTTGGACCCCTTGAATCTTTCTTTACGTATTGCGGAGAATGCAATATCGGCATTACAATGCATTTTCATTCTAATTCATGGAAAATGATTTCAGTTTATAAATTAATCATCATAAATCTCACATATGCCTTTGTTTTTGGTGTTTGGTCAAGTGAAATCGGTGAAAACTTTCTTTTGCCCAGTAGTTTAGTTGATTTGGTCTGTTGGTATTGGTAGGAAATAAATACTAAATCAGAGCAGAATGTTTTCACAGTAAGCAGGAAATGCCATGGTATTTGTCAGACAAGGTATTACCTCACTATTAGGTCTAAATTTGCAGTGGCAGAAACTATTCCATGAATCTCATCAATTATTATTTAACAATTTAAGAGTTATCTTGAGTTTGTTTTTAGTATTCCAGAAAAGAAAATGGAGAGACAAATAATAACTTTGAAACTATTTTTATTGCATTTGTTTGTGGATTTGGCTGTGTGGTGTAGTGAACATTTTTCTATCTATATAATATTTGGCCTGTTCATTACAAGACTTAGTAAGGCACCCAGTGGCCAGGAGCAAGGGTCAATGTAATCTGATTCCTGAACTACCATCAAAACGAGTGAGTGAGTGAGTGAGTGAGTGAGTGAGTGAGTGAGTGAGTGAGTTAGGTTTAACACTGCTTTGAACATTATTCCAGTTATATCACCACATGTGAGCTTAAAAGTCAGATGTGATGCAGGTGTCAGATGTTTACCACGTTGGTGAAACACAGGAGCATGGGTATGGTGCTGAAAAACCTAGAAACACAATCAGGGCAAACCAGGATTCAAACCACGATCAGAGGTTTCTAGTGGTCCCAAGGGACACATGTCTGGACAGCAAATTGCAAGGCCTTAGATGATTGGGCCACCCATGCCCCCTGGCATGATCAGTAAAAACACATCATACATAAAACTCCAGCTACACCTTGATTATTCAGTGTATATCTCCATTCTAATATGATAAATACCTCAGACCCATTTGCACCATAGGTTCATTTTGTAAATGACTTAACCATTTCTACTTCTCTCTTATCACAAACTGAGGACAGGATTTCTTGTGTTAAAGCAACAACCAATCGACACAAGGAAATGTATCATAATAGAATGGAAATACTACACTGGATATTAGAGAATGCTCTAGCTACAGATCACCAACTGTCTTCTCAGGAGGTCTGTGAAATGTGTGTGCAGTTTTCCATGTAGTTTATAGAATCCTCTTAAGGAGCTTGACTTTCTCCATAGAATTTTCTCCAAGGACAGGACAGCTTAATGCCAAAGTCATATTTATTAAAACATTTTTTTTCTTCCATATTTGAAATAAATAGAAAATATAACATTCATTGTAAACATCACAGATAGCACAAGCATATATCAGGATACATGAGTAAATATACACTTTTCTGGCCAAGTTATTAACGGAGTAAACAGGACTAATAAGAACATTGCCAGGTTTCAAAGTTCACAATTCATCACTACAATTGCAGTTTTATGGCAAAAACAGTGACTTAAATATCACAATTATAATACTTATTAAAGTCGAAGGAAGTAGCTCAGTGTGAGTGAAAATGCAGTTGTAAACTATACACTTTTTACACACAGCAGTAAACTAGAAAAACTTCTGCTGTTTCATGTTTGTTGTGTTTCTTCCAATGGACTTCTTTGCATGAAATGAACCGGATGAATTTTCTTGTGACTGTTATCAAATCTTGAATCTGAAATAAAAATAACCACATGAAAGTAATATGGACTGACATGTGTTAATTGCATAAACATCAATACTATCAGGTGTGTTTTTTGTTTCGTACTGCAGTTGAAAATATTCCGACAATATTCCATCAAGAAGACAGAGGTATGTAAATAATTGAGTCTGGACCAGAAAATATAGTGATTGATAACGCGTGAGATCCATGATCCATGCCCCCAGGGTACATTAGCGTGCCATCAACCAAGCTGCTGGCCCTCTTACGTGAGTGAGTGAGTGAGTGAGTGAGTGAGTGAGTTGGGTTTAATGCCGCTTTTAACAGTATTCCAGTTATATCACGGCGTGTCAGCTTAATGTGGGAGGAAAGCCCGAAGTGATGCAGGTCTCAGACGTTTACCACTTCGGTGAAACCCACGAGCACGGGTATGGTGCTAACAAACCTAGAAACATAATCGGGGCGAACCGGGATTCGAACCCACAATCATAGGTTTCTGGCGTGCCCAAGGGACGCAACTCTGCACAGCGAATCGCGGCGCCTTAGACGACTGGGCCACCCGTGCCCCCGGCCCTCTTACGACCAACATCGGATGTAAGGGACCAATTTTAATCTGGACTCCCTACAGGTACCCAATTTAGTTGTTTCTTGCAACTAGCAAAGTGGTGCTAAGGACTAGGGCTGGAATGGGTAACTCGGGCACTCGGGTCGGGTGGGTACTGAGTAGGACCCGGGTACCCACAGGACTACACGGACCCGTGGTTAGTCACGTGATATATTGTTTATTGAAAAAATATATCTAAAACTCTATGGTTACACTACAAGTCACTATTGTTCGCATTTCTTTCTGACTATGCACCCATTCCGTCTGACCTTCCCAGATTTGAATAAAGATAAAACTTCAGTCAACTTCAGTGTATACATGACCAGATCGTTTTATACGTGTATCTAAATACATTTTACCAGGGCTACGGTCAAACTATTCCCAATCAGACTTTTTACCCCATCTTGAGACATATAGCGGGTATCCGGGAAGGGTCGGGTAATAGCATGGTAGTTACCCAGGTAGTAAATTTGGACTCCTCCCAGCCCTAGTAAGGACATATTCTACACTGATAGGCTCAATACTATCAATACTATCAGGTTTACGGCACTCTAATCTCAAAAAGGGTGCTTACAGCCAAGGGATGATGTGGATAAATTTACTCATGAATCTAAAATGTTACTATGCACATTACATTGATCAAAGAAAATCTAAGAATCTACTGAGCAGCAGAGCCAACTAATGATGAAAAGAATTGGCCCTCCAAATCCAAATATCATATATACAGGATGAGTGGAGACCATCAACTGACCCACCAGACTACTGACCATAAATAAACAGCAGGTCTTCTGCTGTATCTGCTTGCCACAGTTAAGCACCAGTAGATAGGTTGACCCTGGCAGGCCTTAGGAAGTGTTAAGGAGTGAATAACATTTACAGCCGCATCAGCAATATCTCAACTATTCATGGCCAGCCATAGGAAGACTATGGATTTATTCGACTTAAGAATCCATCCTGACTACGCATGTTGTACAGAAATGGGTTTATGCAAGGCAAATCTTGACATAATTTGCCCGATGAGTGAGTGAGTGAGTAAGGTTTTACGCCGCTTTTAGCAATATTCCAGCAATATCACAGCGGGGGACACCAGAAATGGGCTTCACACATTGTACCCATGTCGGGAATCGAACCCGGGTCTTCGGCGTGACGGGCGAACGCTTTAACCACTAGGCTACCAGACCACCCCTTTTTGCATGATGAAGAATGCCTGATGGAATTTGAATTGATAATAATCACACAGAAATATGATCAACATACATATAAGCAATTCAAAAGAAAATAAATCTTGTAGTTACCCTACAGGTTCGCCTAGGAGGCTGCTTGTTGCTCTGCAAATGAGGAGAAGAAAATATCATCAGATACAACCACTACATAGTCACTGGCTAGTACTAATAAAACACCATCATAATACATATACTTATTATTTCAAGTCACAACTTTCAAGAATGTCTCCCTAACACCCACCAAAAAACATCAACTCCATCAAAAGCAACCTACACACAAATAACATGTACGTGTAGCATGAATTTCATTTGGGCTCACCTTCAGTTTTAGTCTCTTCCTTTTGCTCAGTTTTGGTTTCATCATCATTCTTTGTCTCTTCATCTTTCTTTGTCTCTTCATCTTTCTTTGCATCCTCCTCCTTTGTATCTTCATCCTTTTTTGTTTCATCTTTTGTCTCTTCCTCCTTCTTCTCTGACTCCTCTGTAGCCTTTGAAGCATCCTCTTCCTTCTGCTCTTCAGCCTTGTCCTCTCCTTTGCTCTCTCCATCTTTGGCATCCCCTTCTTTAGCTTCTTCTCCTTTAGCATCTTCTCCTTTGTTGTCATTGGTCTTGTCCTCACCCTTGGCTACGGAGGCAGCGCGATCTTCAGACTTCTGCTCAGTGCCACCTGTAACACAGAAACATGTTTATATTTTACATTTAACACTTTCATTTAACGCTACACCAATGCATATGTAGCTGTGCCCAAGAACCCTGTTCTAATATGAAAGTGCTACATTGAAAGCAGCCAGTTCATGGCTATAGTTTATATATAGTCAGCATATTTGTTATATAAATATGGAGAGTATGATTTTGATTATCTGTCGGATTTGTGAATTGAAGACATTACAAATTGTGCCATTTCCCTCTCAAAGCAAGTGGGTATTTATGATAACAGGTTGGCATGACCTCATGCTGCTGTACATAATAAGATACATGTGGTAGTTAAGGTGCTGCAGGACTTTACCAACTCAAGTACAAGTCCACCTGCATTTGAAATGGTGAATTAGTGTGTGTGCAAATACTGTTGTGAGTGAGTGAGTGAGTTTGGTTTTATGCCGCTTTTAGCAATATTCCAGCAATATCACAGCAGGGGACACCAGAAAACACTGTTGACATTACAAGCAAGTGGATTCATTTAGTTATGATGACATCATGTCCACACAGACAGGCCACTGGTTGTGTAAAAAAGAGTGACTTGTATGGTTGTGTAACAAGAGGGTGACTTGTATGGTTGTGTAACATGAGTGAGTGAGTGAGTATGGTTTTACGCCGCTTTTAGCAATATTCCAGCAATATCACGGCGGGGGACACCAGAAATGGGCTTCACACATTGTACCCATTTAGGGAATCGAACCCGGGTCTTCGGCATGACAAGCGAACGCTTTAACCACTAGGCTACCCGACCGCCCCTTGTGTAACATGAGGGTGACTTGTATTGTTGTGTAACAAGAGGGTGACCTGTATGGTTGTGTGAAAAGAGGGTGACTTGTATGGTTTTGTAACATGAGGGTGACTTGTATTGTTGTGTAACAAGAGGGTGACTTGTATGGTTGTGAAACAAGAGCGTGACTTGTATGGTTGTGTAACAAAAGTGAGACTTGTATGGTTGTGTAACAAGAGGGTGACTTGTATGGTTGTGTAACATGAGGGTGACTTGTATGGTTGTGTGACAAGAGGGTGACTTGTATGGTTGTGTAACAAGAGAGTGACCTGTATGGTTGTGTAACATGAGGGTGACTTGTATGGTTGTGTAACAAGAGGGTGACTTGTATGGTTGTGAAACAAGAGCGTGACTTGTATGGTTGTGTAACAAAAGTGAGACTTGTATGGTTGTGTAACAAGAGGGTGACTTGTATGGTTGTGTAACATGAGGGTGACTTGTATGGTTGTGTGACAAGAGGGTGACTTGTATGGTTGTGTAACAAGAGAGTGACCTGTATGGTTGTGTAACAAGAGGGTGACTTGTATGGTTGTGTAACATGAGGGTGACTTGTATGGTTGTGTAACATGAGGGTGACTTGTATTGTTGTGTAACAAGAGGGTGATTTGTATGGTTGTGAAACAAGAGCGTGACTTGTATGGTTGTGTAACAAAAGTGAGACTTGTATGGTTGTGTAACAAGAGGGTGACTTGTATGGTTGTGTAACAAGAGGGTGGCTTGTATGGTTGTGTAACATGAGGGTGACTTGTATGGTTGTGTAACAAGAGGGTGGCTTGTATGGTTGTGTAACAAGAGGGTGACTTGTATGGTTGTGTAACAAGAGGGTGACTTGTATGGTTGTGTAACAAGAGGGTGACTTGTATGGTTGTGTAACAAGAGGGTGACTTGTATGGTTGTGTAACATGAGGGGGACTTGTATGGTTGTGTAACATGAGAGTTTCTTGTATGGTTGTATAACAAGAGGGTGACTTGTATGGTTGTGTAACAAGAGGGTGGCTTGTATGGTTGTGTAACAAGAGGGTGACTTGTATAGTTGTGTAACAAGAGAGTTACTTGTATGGTTGTGTTACAAGAGGGAGAGTTGTATGGTTGTGTAACAAAAGGAGACTTGTATGGGTGAGTAACAAGAGAGTGACTTGTATGGTTGTGTAACAAAAGGGAGACTTGTATGGTTGTGTAAAAAAAGGAGACTTGTATGGTTGTGTAACAAGAAGGAGACCTCTATGGTTGTGTAACAAGAGGGTGACTTGTTTGGTTGTGTAACAAGAGGGTGACTTGTATGGTTGTGTAACAAAAGGTGACTTGTATGGTTGTGTAACAAAAGGTGACTTGTATGGTTGTGTAACAAGAGGGAGACCTGTATGGTTGTGTAACAAGAAGGAGACCTGTATGGTTGTGTAACAAGAGGGTGACTTGTTTGGTTGTGTAACAAGAGGGTGACTTGTATGGTTGTGTAACAAAAGGTGACTTGTATGGTTGTGTAACAAAAGGTGACTTGTATGGTTGTGTAACAAGAGGGAGACCTGTATGGTTGTGTAACAAGAAGGAGACCTGTATGGTTGTGTAACAAGAGGGTGACTTGTTTGGTTGTATAACAAGAGGGAGACTTGTATGGTTGTATAACAAGAGGGAGACCTGTATGGTTGTGTAACAAGAGGGTGACTTGTATGGTTGTGTAACAAGAGGGTGACTTGTTTGGTTGTGTAACAAAAGGGTGACTTGTATGGTTGTGTAACAAAAGGAGACTTGTATGGTTGTGTAACAAAAGGAGACTTGTATGGTTGTGTAACAAGAGGGAGACCTGTATGGTTGTGTAACAAGAGGGTGACTTGTATGGTTGTATAACAAGAGGGAGACTTGTATGGTTGTATAACAAGAGGGAGACCTGTATGGTTGTGTAACAAGAAGGAGACCTGTATGGTTGTGTAACAAGAAGGAGACCTGTATGGTTGTGTAACAAGAGGGAGACCTGTATGGTTGTGTAACAAGAAGGAGACCTGTATGGTTGTGTAACAAGAGGGTCACTTGTTTGGTTGTGTAACAAAAGGGTGACTTGTATGGTTGTGTAACAAAAGGAGACTTGTATGGTTGTGTAACAAAAGGGAGACTTGTATGGTTGTGTAACAAGAGGGTGACTTGTATGGTTGTGTAACATGAGGGTGACTTGTATGGTTGTGTAACATGAGGGTGACTTGTATTGTTGTGTAACAAGAGGGTGATTTGTATGGTTGTGAAACAAGAGCGTGACTTGTATGGTTGTGTAACAAAAGTGAGACTTGTATGGTTGTGTAACAAGAGGGTGACTTGTATGGTTGTGTAACAAGAGGGTGGCTTGTATGGTTGTGTAACAAGAGGGTGACTTGTATGGTTGTGTAACAGGAGAATGACCTGTATGGTTGTGTAACATGAGGGTGACTTGTATGGTTGTGTAACAAGAGGGTGGCTTGTATGGTTGTGTAACAAGAGGGTGACTTGTATGGTTGTGTAACAAGAGGGTGACTTGTATGGTTGTGTAACAAGAGGGTGACTTGTATGGTTGTGTAACAAGAGGGTGACTTGTATGGTTGTGTAACATGAGGGGGACTTGTACGGTTGTGTAACATGAGAGTTTCTTGTATGGTTGTATAACAAGAGGGTGACTTTTATGGTTGTGTAACAAGAGGGTGGCTTGTATGGTTGTGTAACAAGAGGGTGACTTGTATGGTTGTGTAACAAGAGAGTTACTTGTATGGTTGTGTTACAAGAGGGAGAGTTGTATGGATGTGTAACAAAAGGAGACTTGTATGGGTGAGTTACAAGAGAGTGACTTGTATGGTTGTGTAACAAAAGGGAGACTTGTATGGTTGTGTAAAAAAAGGAGACTTGTATGGTTGTGTAACAAGAAGGAGACCTCTATGGTTGTGTAACAAGAGGGTGACTTGTTTGGTTGTGTAACAAGAGGGTGACTTGTATGGTTGTGTAACAAAAGGTGACTTGTATGGTTGTGTAACAAAAGGTGACTTGTATGGTTGTGTAACAAGAGGGAGACCTGTATGGTTGTGTAACAAGAAGGAGACCTGTATGGTTGTGTAACGAGAGGGTGACTTGTTTGGTTGTGTAACAAGAGGGTGACTTGTATGGTTGTGTAACAAAAGGTGACTTGTATGGTTGTGTAACAAAAGGTGACTTGTATGGTTGTGTAACAAGAGGGAGACCTGTATGGTTGTGTAACAAGAAGGAGACCTGTATGGTTGTGTAACAAGAGGGTGACTTGTTTGGTTGTATAACAAGAGGGAGACTTGTATGGTTGTATAACAAGAGGGAGACCTGTATGGTTGTGTAACAAGAGGGTGACTTGTATGGTTGTGTAACAAGAGGGTGACTTGTTTGGTTGTGTAACAAAAGGGTGACTTGTATGGTTGTGTAACAAAAGGAGACTTGTATGGTTGTGTAACAAAAGGGAGATTTGTATGGTTGTGTAACCAGAGAGTGACCTGTATGGTTGTGTAACAAGAGAGTGACTTTAATGGTTGTTTAACAAGAGGCTAAATTTCACCTATATGCTTGCCTCTTTGGGTAATAGTGATAAATCATCTTCCAGAATACCATATGGTGAGAAACACGCCCCTGCTCTTTAAACAAACCTTCTTCGTCTGTTTTTGCCTGAGATTCAGTTGTTTCCTGATTTGCCTGAGCCTCCTCCCCACTCTCCCCCTTAGCCTCAGCCTTTCCCTCATCCTTAGGCTTCTCACTCTCAGTCTGCTCTGACTGAGCCTGAGCCTCCTCCCCCTCAGGCTTGGCAGCCTCTTCCCCCTCGGGCTTGGCAGCCTCATCCTCCCCATCCTTCTTCTCCCCATCCTCCCCTTGTGCAGTGCCACCTAGTGTCAGGTGAAGAAACAAAATGTGCAGTGTGTGAAAATCAAAAGCATTGGTGAATAACGTGAACATGTGTTCCATGGACAAAGCTAAAGATGAAGTACATGCAGTATCCTCTGGCACTGATACAAGGCATATTGATGGTTATAGTGAAATGGAAGCATGCTTGACAATTTTCTGCTGATATATATTTCTCTCCAAATGATACAGATCTTCTTGCAAGTTTTATATTCAAGATGTAAAAAGTTCATAATATTAAAATCAGATGCATTTATATAGGCTTAGACTGTGTGCCAATCCTATATTGATTTTAATGTAAAGTTTTGGAATATAATCTAAAAAAATAGTTTTTAGGAAAACATCATGCCCAGCATAATCAGTACCTGAAGACCAAACATCCATCTTAAATGCTTAAACATTAACAAATACACATATATGTACAAGTGATTAACATGGACACACAAACATAGTAACATCTTCCCCATAGGAGAGGTGGACAGGCTTCACTACCTGGGGAACACCTGATTCCTGTGAGTAAACTATGTGCATAGTGTCAGTGAATGTTGTTTTACTCTGCAATCAGCAATATTCCAATCATATATAAAATGAACTGTAAATACTGGTAATTGAAAGTCAACAAGACAAACCAGTGGTTGATAGCATATGCAACAATCCATGTTGTTGAGGGTACACTGTCAGCAAGGTAACCCATTGCAAACACTCAATCCTCATTGGAATCCGCTCTTATGACAACAATGGATACAGGGGGATCTATTCTGACTTTGTACGAGAGTTGGAAGAACATGTTAAAAAGACAAACATTTGTTATCCTTCAAACTGTAATGTTTCCTTCCATGAGGTGAAGGAAACATAAGGGAGGCATCTACTATTGAAAATTTGGTTTATGGATCTGCTGACCCTAAAATTCCAAGAGCCTGATAGTCACACTTATGAAGAATTATTGATGTTGACGTAAAAATGTATTTTTAATATTCCTGTCACATTAAACAGAAATGCAAATTGAAGGATAGAGAAGTTGAAATTTTATTTTTTACCCATTCTACCAACCTCTTTTTTTTACCTAAAAAATTAGCAGGATATAGTTTTAGTTTCCACCACAAACCCCTTAAACGTTGTAATGAGTGAGTGAGTATGGTTTTACGCAGCTTTCAGCAATATTCCAGCAATATCACGGCGGGGGACACCAGAAATGGGCTTCACACATTGTACCCATGTCAGGAATCGAACCCGGGTCTTCGGCGTGACGAGTGAACGCTTTAACCACTAGGCTACCCGACCGACCCCTAAAACATTGTAAACCAACAAATACAAAAAAGGCCAGAGGACAGAGAAACAGACTTAGTCAACTGACTAAGTGGCAGGAATCCTAAAATTTACTATCAACATAAATCCAGGGTATTATATCTCAATTCTATTATATTAAAAACAGTGGACCAGTTCACCACAAGATCTTCATCTCCAGCACTCATATCAGTAACTTTGTTGTGAATGTCTCTCAGCCATGAATGTAATTTGATTGGATGGCCCCATTTTATTATTTGGTCCAGGGTATTTCCAAGCTTGAGTGAAGGTAAATTGAGGATGTTGAACTACTAGTTGAGACTGTGTCATGATTAGATTAGCCCCTTTGACACTTTCTGGCAAAACGGATATGCATCATCTTTATGTAGGTTTGGGGAGACATTGTTACCAAAAGCTGCATTGTCATGCCTTGAACAGTGTGATGTGTGTGTGAATATCAAGAAGGTTAACCCCAGCATATGAGTGTTTGATTTATATCAACTCCATCTGTAACAGATATCTATGATCCTATGGTGACCAGGATCTTGACATTTAAGTGGATGCGTTGGTAGTGTGTTTGTAATATTTGGACAGGGAAACTATTATCATGATTATAACATTTATATTTTGTGGATTCCTAGTCCTCAAGATACTGCTTAAAAAGTAAACACCTTTGCTGAGTCAGGGACATGAGATTCACTTTATACCTTCAGTGTTGTCTTGGCTAGTCTCTTGCTTAGTCTCCCCAGACTCTTCCTCTGTAAAACAGCCATGGTAACTACATGCTGCCACATTCAGCCATATTACTGCATATTTACCATTTGATCACTTACATCAATATATTATTAATGAGTTTGTTCCTGGCAGCCCAACTTGCTGAGGTCAAGGCTCATTGGTACATAATGTGATAACACAGGACAAACAAACAGTGAAAACAATTATTGAAGTGAAAACATGCTAGAATGACATTACACAATGACATTATAGTGTTTGGAATCAGTTTAAAGTTAATTGTGAAAAAGCTGGGCATGCAGTGGTTTAGTTTAAAAGTTGTGAGGAAAAGCATCAAGGTTGGATGTAGGGAGGTCAAAGCAGGAGTTTTTTCTACACTAAATCCCACTAAGCATCTCATGTATTTCAAGCTGTATTGTTTGTATTGGGTGAATCAGCAATAGTCTATCTATGTAAGTAATGGAGACTGGACCGGGTAAATCAGTGGTTGACAGCATGACCAATACTCCCTGTTTGTATACGATGACACCAACATCCAGAGTGCACTTTGTACTCCGATCTCCACACAGAGACGAATTGAAGAAGAGTTATAGATCTGGGATCTGAGATTGGGTACTACGTTTCATTTTCTCCAGGAATCACAAAATGGTCAGATTTGTGGATGCTATGTAATGTTAACTGAGGTTTTAAGTAAAGGATCACTCAGGTGGGTATATAATATGCAAAGCACTTCTTGTAGCAGAAACTACGTAGAGTACTAGTGGCAGGCTCATTCTAAGTGGCAGGCTAATTTCTAAGTGGCAGTCATAAGCAATTTATATCAGACATGCACAGTTGGCTAGTATGGTGGAGTATTTTGTGGCATATACATATAGTTAGTGGACCAAGGAAAAGAATATACATATTGAAGTGGGAAAGAAGCCAAATCATTATTGGAAGCTGACGCCTGATTGGCTCAAGAAGCCACACTTCCTTCATCTAGATACGATGGTCATCAAAGGTCACTCAGGGTTCACCTAATGTGACCTCTAATGAAGGTGTCTTCAGATATTCACACATACTCCTTTCGGAAGAAGATATCTGATTTCAATGAGATTGCTATGAAGTATTGGATGTCAAGAATGAAGTGAATGTGGCAGTGGTAGGTGTCCGAGTCTGGTTACCGGAGCACGATGGGCACAAGCAGGGTGATACATTAGGTTGTACAAGGGTTAGTAGTGCAGGTCTATACTCTCTGACCTGTTCCTTCTTGTCGTAACTCAGGGGCAACATCACTGGCCTCAGCTTGTGTCTCTTCAACAGCTGACAGGGAAACACGGACATGTCAGTACTTAAGGGGGCAGTTCAAAGTTTGATTTTGGATAAAAAAAATATTATTTAAGTTTTGAGATGTACCCCATATCCCACCTAAAATTTAATGTTCAAAGAGAATTTCAGAAAAAAATACCCTCACATAAATCAGAGTGCCAACATGCAGAGGAAGTGTTTTGAAATGGTATGATCTTTCTTTTGGGTCATCTTGTTTGACCTTCAACTGTGATGCTATTCATCTTCAGAGAAAAAAAATAGAGCTGTTATTTAGGGATTTGAGCTGAAAGAACCTATATTTTGTGAAATGTGAAACTTGTAGAACTGTTAACTCCCCCACACCCAAACCTTACAAAATTGAGAGTTATTTACAACTTCAAACTTCTGAACTGCATTCTAAGTCTACAGTGAGTTCGGGGAGACCTCACACCTTGGGGTTTGCCTTGACAGTGACACTATACTGTGGAACCCCACCATCTGTAGTGAACATGTGTTCCTTAAAATAGACATAGACATACATATGCCGAATGTTATTATCATAATAAGTGTACAAGAATAATTAAAGCACACTTACACAAGCTGGATTGTGTAGTGTCTGGAACCTGAGTTCCCATGGAATACCAAACCATATTTAGCAGCCTGTCATTTAATGGAGAGGTTGAAAAACAACAACAAAACGTACCCAGCACTGTTAGAGCATGTAGAGTGGGTAACGTGGATTCATGCAAAAAATATTGCAAGATCTTTTTTTTATTCTGTCTTGGGTATAAAACTGTTCTCTGAAAACAAATGGTCTTAGTTTTATCAGCAATAAAAATCACACTTACCAGTCTCCTCTTGTTCTTTCGTAGGTTCACTCTCTGCAATATCAAGACATGGAGTCTTAGTCATCAATCAGTTTATACAATTATCTTCGATAACAGTGAAGTGTTGTACCGTGGTATACAGGAAGAGTCAAAATAGTAAACCTTCGCTTATAAGCTTATATTTAACCGATGTAGGCTAGAGGCACTTAATATCTACTATATAAGAAAAGAAGAGTTAAGCCATCAGTTGCAAAATGGAGCTCCAAGCTAAATATTGTGTCAGATTAGATGGATAAAAGGCGGTGTCGTAACTACAAGTAATTGAAGGATAACTTTGATGATGTGATTAATTAAAGCTGTATTATCAATACAGTTGACATTAAATCAAGATATGATACTCCAGAATATATTTATATAGGAAGACAAATTTTGGCATTCATTAAGAGAAATAGAGAGTAAAGTAACAGATTGATGACTCATGATAATATGTACATGCAATGAACATGTAATATACATGTACATTCAATACTTGTTTGTCATGTTTATTCATGTGCAGATGCAATATACATGCAATAGACAGCAATGTGCTCCAGACTGGAGCTTGACATGAGCAGGCTGTGCAGCAGTGTACAAAGGTGGACAAACAATTTACCATGTTGTAACAAGAGGAAGAATACAGAATGGAGTCATCCCACTACACATTTCATCAAATATACCAAATACTTGTCAGGCGATGTGGGATGATATGCATGGTGGAAGGTGATGTTGGAACCGAGAGTGAACTGGGAATAAGCTATATACATCCATTGTTTTAACATGGAGTGGTGATAGAATACATTTTGTTTGTTTGTTGTTTAATGCCACATGCAGCAATATTCCAGCTATATGACATAGCCTGTAAACAATCCAGTAATAGATATTGTAAGCCAATGGGGTAAAGTGACACACAATTAACCAAGTCACCGAGCCTGACTATTTGGACCATAACGACTAGCATAGGATGCTGGGGACCTATTCTAACCTGGGATCCCCACGGGTGTTTAATTATGAGTCGAAGAAGGATGTATAGAGACAACAAATTGGTAGACTATTTCATTCCCAAACACCAAGGAGACAGGAAACTGTATCGTGTACTCAGTGACAGAAGTGTGGCTGGAGTGTGGCCAAGCCTTCCTCTTCCAAGGTGTAGTAAGCATGATATGGTTGTACAAAAGTAAATAAACAAGTCCACAAACAGTTATACAGTATAGGGGCTGTAGGGATTTGCTAGGATTGAAGGTCTGAATATAGCTAACTATGATGTAAAACAACATGCATTTCATACACACTCTGGATGTACACATGCTTGGGTCATGTATTAGAACATAGTACAGTCAAGTCTCATTAATCCGACACTTGTTAATCCGAAAAATGGGCCTTATCCAACACTAATAATGGGAACCGATTAAATCAGTGCTATTTAGACCAATTGATATGACAGTCTCGCATTCCGACTCCGACACACCTAATTTGCAATGAATTACCAAAATCACTCATTTATCTGACAGTAATCAGCGTACTCCATAGTCATCTGCCGCGAGTACACAGCCTGTGTTTTGAAGCGAGACGAGTCCGCTGGCAGCTGCATATTACAACAGCTGCAGAGATAAACTTGCTTAACAATAAACAATTAATGAACAATTAGTGTTTTCATCTTTATCTATGGCGTAGTTGTCCGATTATCGATCACGAACGTTGATACTACTTAATTTCATTTATCCGACATACTCGTTAATCTGACATAATCATATGCAACCAATCATGTCGGATTAAGGGGACTTGACTGTATTATAAACAAGGGGAGAAACAAGGTTTATGTACCATGCAAAATATGGAGTAAAATATTATTTAGGCAGCAATGACATAATTGTAGCATGTTTGGTTGAAAATTGGCAAACGGGTACTTGGTAAACTGAGATGATAGTGTAAATAGAAAAGCTTAATACTAGAACCCAACAGACAGCTCGGTTGTACTCTCCAAAGCGAGCTGAGAGGGCAATTTGTAATAGCCTTGGAGCATGGGCCTTGGGTCTTATTATGTGGCCAAAATTATAATTAATATGTTGTTTCAGGGGTGTCACAATATGCTTAGATCATGTATTACTTGAGTCATTAAACAAATACTGTGACTTTATTTGAAAATTTTGTGTGTGAAATATTCCATGTTTTCAGGCTTTCAATCAGTTTGTGTTTAATTTACATGGCTGGTCCATTTAGGCTGGTCCTAATTTTAAACCAATCAATTTAAGCTTTTTGTGACAGGCGTAAATTTAGTTGTCTGGGCAGGGTGTAGCAAAACATAGCAATTATTATGTTTTGAAAATGATACTTGGGTAGGAATATCATGTATCACTCATCAGGAGAAACTTTGCAATGCATCGTTGCATCATATAAATGAGACTACCCTAATCTGTTTCCCACTTGGAGGCCATTATTAGCAATCTACATTTCCTTATTCATTTGTTGCAGGTACAATATTCACAACTTTCATACACAGCTTACACTTGATGATTCCTGATTATTTTGATGAACTTTGCATGATAAAGGCATGTGCAATGGGGAAAGCAAAGAGATGCTTGTGGAATTGGGTTTTCAACAAAAGGAAGGACATAAAATAAATTATACTACAAGACCAAAGACTTACGTAACGTTTGTGAATCTTCATCTGAAAGGGTAGTAGACAAGACAAATATGATTAGTAGTTGAAAAACTACTAGTATTATAGACATCGATGTCACAAAATGGACATCATGTCAGTGAAATGGAGGAAAAGGAAAGCTTTTATGAGTTCATGATTCTGATGATCAAATACAAAATCTCATAGAAAGAAAATTGATGGGAAGATGGACACAACACATCTTTTCAGGGCCATTCTCCACATAGCTATCATAAGCATATATTAATGGATGGGAGTTATCATGATCTTAGCGCTAAGATTGCTTTGTGGAACGGGTCTAGAATGTGGTTGTTATTAATTAACGTCAACTCTAGTTTTGTCGTTAAACACAATATGTTTGGTTCTTTAAAGCAGTCAGATAAAGCTAAACACTGTGGATACATATAGCTATCCACAACACATAGGGCCCAAAAAGTGAATGCAGGGCTTCTCCCAGATTTTCATATTAGTTATAATAGTCACAGCTCCATGAACACTTGGTGGTATTTGGCCTTGATCATGAACTGATGAAAACAAATCACATCACAATTACTATAGTGTTAATGAAAGCTTGAGCAGTTACTTCAGCAAAGGATTATTTGAAACAGAAAAAGACAGTCTGCTAATCATGCTTTCTTTGTAGTCAATCATTCGAGGGACACTAACACAAAGTGATTGACTATTGTGATGCCCATACTTTAACATAGGCTTATAATAGTCATAGAACTAATCGCTTTGTGAAATTAGCCCTGGCCACTTTAGATACAGGCGAGATGGTTACAACAATCAAAGCCAAGATAGCTAGCTATATGTTAGACTTGAAATGTCACAACAGTGATCTGCAGCATGTCGTACTCCAATCTGGAACCAAACTACCTTTCACAGTACCATCAGGATTGAACTCCAACTGCCCGAACACTTTCTCTATACTATTTTTGGCGTGGCTGGCATCAGAACTTCCATGGACAGCATTTTGGAGGATACTCTGCCCAAACTGGGCTCGTAGTCTGCACAGAATGAAAATACACATCATTAAAACACTGCAACATTTTTTATCGCTATTTTATAGAAGGATGGACACCTCTTTGTTACATTGTTTTATTGCATTGTAAGATCTACCACAGATACAAGACTTTGCCATGGACCTATGTCATACATCTTTCATATTTACAAATACTAGACTTATGACAGGCATACAAGAAAGGCATTAACTCCTTCATTTTCTCTTTTTAAATTGACCACTTTTCATTTCGTAGCAATTAATAGTGAAAGATCAAGGTAACATAATTGAGATTTTCGACCAGGCTCATCCCCATGACAAAAAACAAATATCACATCAAGCATTTTCTGTTCACAGAATGACATCAATTTCCATTAAAAACAGGAGAACAGGATGGTGTACTCACGATTCTGGGGCTTCGGTTTTAGCCTCTTCTGGATTTGTGGGGCCGATGACTTGTCTCCAGCCTGACACAGCACCCTCCCTTGATAACACCATGAACATAGTGGGACCACTACAAAGAAAAGCACAACACAAGTTACAACAGACCAAACTAAACCATACAAAAATAATGCTTGGTTGAAATCAATGGACATTGCGCATATGGTAGACAATCACCACAGTGAACTTAACTCATTCAACAGCATTTCGATTACATCACAGGATATCAGTTTCATGTAGGATGAAAACTCAAAGTGATGCAAAGTCATTGATGGTCAAACCTCAGAGCACAGCCATGGCGGTTAATTAGGGAAAATCTGGGAATTCAGATCACTGACCACCAGGTCTGGACTTGACTGACAGACAAGTTCTTGACCCAAATGCCCGATCAACTCTGATACAGCAACAAATACATCAAGGTCTGTATCATAGGACGTCATTGTTAAGGGAGTCATCTTCCTCCATAAATCTAGGCTGGTAGATCTTAAAGGATTTTCAGTAGTTTGGATCAAGCATCTATTCTCATCAATCCAAAACCATTTAACACATACAAGAGGAGTTATAGTAATATTGCAATATATACATAACTCATTGTAGTCTCCAATAGCACCAGAAAACCTTAAAACATACACCACTTTTGCTTTCTTTTTAGTCATATTTGAAAAGAAAATTGCTGTTTCAAAACAAACTACACACGTTTGTCTAAAGCAAATGAATGGCACAAGAAAAATAAATCACTCAAGTCCACCCATGCTTCTGATTATCAATTCATTACGAACAACAGATGACACTTCTTTATTGTTCTAAATATTCAGTAGCATGACATAAGTAAATGCCAATATTCAGGTGAAGCAATTGCATGGGAAGGACAGGACAGTCTGACAGAGACAGACTCTTGATAACACTTCATAACTCACCTGGTCATATGATTTACAAGGTCGTCGTAATACTCTTTATCTTTGTGTTCTGCATAGAATTCTTCTGCTATTTCCTTTGTGATTGTAGTTTCTTTTCTTGCTGCTATCCTGAAGCCTGCTTCATGGATTTTATCGATGATCTCCTCTGAAATAATGTATGCACACATAACAATTATGTTTTACATGTTTGTTTGTATTTATGGTAATAATAATGTTTACAGATTAATCATTGCCACTTTTTATTTTTTTAGATTTGTCATAATTTGAATGATAATTTAAAACACATCATCCCTTATGAACAGACATTTACGTTTCTGGGTTTGATGTCTGTGTTTTGATGGTTGTAGGGAATACAGTTTCAATAGTAACACTGACCTTTAGTGGAAATACCATCAGGTTTGATGGCAGCTACTGTTTGTTCCATTGGGAAGAAGTACTGGATTTCTTTTTCGGCTGTTTCCTTGGAGTCAGATCCATGTAGCTGGTTGATGGAAGTCTCCTCTATAGAAAACTGGGCTCGTAAACTGTGGACAAAAAAACATGTTATCAGTGTACAAGAGGCATGGAAGGATGTTTCAAGCAAATATCTCAGAAAAGTCTTGTACAAGGGAACCCGCTGAGCCTGTAATAAGCTTCTAATTGTGACATGAATGGGTGTGTGTGTGGCAACCTGATTAGTTATGAAACATTATTAAATGGGATTCAAAGCCCAGGAACCTCCTGACCTAGTATCTAATTATGTTTTGTTCTAACTTACGTTTCTAAATTTCACTTCATGAAGTCCCCTAAATTATGCAACAGGGTCAGACTGTTAGACCCAGATATTAAGTAAAAGTCTCATTAAGAAATACATGAATACTGCATGTGAGCTTAAATATTTCCGCTAAACAATGACAAAAGTTTACAGTAAGTGAAAAAGTTACCTGTCTGGTGCCTCCTCCTTGGCATTTGTTGTTGGGCCAAGAACGTCCCTCCAGGCAGTCACAGCGTCATCTCTGGCTAGACCAAGGGCCATAAGTGGACCACTGCGAGAGAACATTAACACTCATCACGACACAACCACATGTTGAGTATGTCAGGATCTACCTGTCAATGTTGTGGATCTAATCATATACTAGTATGTTGCTGCAATATGGGGTCAAGAATTTCCAACAAGAAAAAGTGAACAAAAGTGAAGGGATTTTGTTTCCAGCCAGTCATAAGTGACAATCCTATCTTTTACTTCAATATGATACCTCTCTACATGAAGACATAATGAAACCTCCATGTGAGGTCGCATCAGGTGAACTTTCTCATCAGTCAATCAGTACAGAGGCTTCTAACTTCTTAGTATGAGTGATCAAATCATTTAGCCAAACATATATAATCTGTCTTGAAAATGAATACAACTGAAGAATTCTGAATGCAAACAAATAAAGCTGCGCTGTGTTATTGTTGTGGATATTTTGTACATCCTGTTGTTTCTGAGCGAGTGTTGTTTCAGTGGTAATTAGGGCTAGGACGGGTAACTGGGGTACTCGGGTCGGGTGGGTACTGAGTAGGACCTGGGTACCCACAGGACTACCCGGACCCGTGGTTAGTCATGTGATATATTGTTTCATGACAAAAATTCACAATACAACTACATGGTTACACGACAATTTTAAGTCTCTAATGTTCGCATTTCTTTATGACTATGAACACGTTCCTTCTGACTTATATATGTTTGAACAAAGCTAAAACCTTAGTCAACTGTATGCATGACCACATCGTTTTATACATGTATCTAGATACATTCTATCAGGGCTACTGTCAAACTATTCCCAATAGGACATTTTGTACCTATCTCTTGACACCAACAGCGGATACCCGGGTAGGGTTGGGTAATAGAGGTGCGGGTACCCGGGTAGTAAATTTGGACTTGTCCCAAGTGGAAATGTCCTCAGATGTTCATGCAGAGAGGTATCATATAAAAACATCTGATTTTAATGAGGTTGTTGCAATGTGACACATATTTTGATAGTGAGGGTCAAATGTTTTTAAAATTGAAGTATGGGTCTATCAATTCCAAAAAGAATTAAAAGTGGAATAAAATGTTAAACTGTGAGACCAACAACACTGGCTTCAGAAATACTGCAAACATGACAATACATTTAAATACACTTAGTTGTTTCCACCAACTGACCATGAATTTTCAGTAAAATATCAATAAACCCCCAAATTAAGAAAGTCAGGCCAAAGATTGCAATACGCTTCACAATGTGATTCATGAAAACTCATGACTTGACCATGCTAACATGCTGTAGACATGCTTAGAAATATATCTATCCCATAAAGAAATGAACAGTAGCCTAACTGAGACATTCTTTAGAAGAATGAAATTAATAAATAAATTGTACGTGTCATCCTTAAATAAAGCTGTATTGTTTCGTATGGATACATGATGATATGATACTCATAATGTGTGGAGGAGTATGACGATGCACTAAGTTTAATTTCTCGCAACACATGAACAAACATCTGATTTCAAACATACTCCAGGGCAAAATATATTCAGAAGCACCCTCATCTAATATCTCCTTAAAATTTTATTTTGTCAACTTTTGTGATAGTAGTTTCCCAAAAGATGACACCCCTGCAATGTGATTCTTATTGGGTCAAATTAACGAATATGTCAGAGGCAGAATCTTATTTATTTTCTTGGTCAACATATTTTTTCACCTGGCATCCATTGTCATGCGCCCCATCCCATGTTCATTAAGCTGTCTGCAACTTTACCCACTAGTCTGAAGCCCATGTCTAGTAATTTTTGTGTGTGGTCCATATACTAAGACTAATATCTACTGAAAATAATGCCCAAATACAAGGTCGACTCAAATATCCTGTTTGCTGTACTCTACATACCAAAATTGCAGGGTGGGGAGGGGAGTAACCTCCATTTTGTACATCGACAAAACATGACAATTCTCTTTCATATATCATACCCCATTTGCTCACCTAGACATTCTCGTTATTAATTCTTCAAAGTAAGGTTCATCAGTGTGTTCTTTATAGAACTCTGCTGCTTGCTCTTTTGTTAATGTCATCTCCTTCTGGAGAGCAACTTTGAATCCAGCTTCCTTGATCTTCTCCATGATTTCATCTGTAATTAGCAAGAGAGCAAGATTTATTTAACAACCGCTTTCATTCTAAATCCACCCTAAAGATCCAGGTTAGACTAGGGTTTCAGCAACCCATGCTTGGTTGATGCCTGTCATTGTTTCCAATTGCGTAGAACAATGTTCATGATGTCAGTCCCTGGATTGTCTGGTACAGATTCAATTATTTACAGACTGCTGTCTTATAGCTGGAATATTGCTGAGTGTGTCATTAAACAAACAAACAAATCATTAATAATCCTAAGATTGCTTTAAATTTTAAATCAAGTTTATGTGTTTGACTATCTTAATACATCAAGCTATGCTTTTGTCAACGGAAACATTGAATGATCTCACACAAGCGATCTTATGTGGTAGTCAGGGTTGTATGATAGTGAGGGAGTGATTTTTACGCCACTACAAACGGTATTTCACTCATATCACAGCGTTTCACCTCAACATGCTAGAAAAGCCGAAAAAATGTTGGCCCTAGACATTTAAAACTTTGGTGAAATTCATGAGAAAAGGAATGGCATTGATAAACCAACTTTCAGAATCAAGGCGATTAAGCGATCCGAACCCACAAGATAATAATTCTGGCGTGCCCAAGGGACACAACTCTGCACATGGAATTGTTGTTCCTTTGCTGACTGGTCTGCCTATGGCCACCTGTTGCATAATTATAAATAGTTCCAGATACAACATAAATTATATTGTATAGTTGCCAATGTAAGAACATGGTACGTGTAGTTACAATGTCTACAGCAATATTACCTCTACTTTTGTTGAAGGCATCCGGTCTGATGAGGGCCAGGGTTCGCTGCAGCTGTGGGCGGGAGCCTGGTATGGGAATGGTGGGCGTCGACATGTCAGGGAAGAAAAAGGCCATCTCCCTGTATACAGTAAAACATAGCTACATAGACAATAACCAACAAGCTGTGTAGAATTAAGGATTATCTTTCCAGAAAGAATGGTGTTAGCCCTAAGCCTTTGGGACTTACAGCATTATTTTAGTGGGTTATTTAATATACCATATTCGACGTTAGAAGCGCCCAGGGCGCTCTCAAAATTAGAAATGGGCTCTTATCAGAAAATTATTTTGGTGGAAAAAACAGAGTTTAAAGATAAATTTTGTGGTTTATTCTAACAGACTGAAATGTTTATATGAGACAGGTATATATTTCCAGAATTTAATTGCCCATAATTAAGAATGCATATAACACACGAGTGAGTATTATACGCGAATAAATAAGTCTTGTGTACATTGATCAATCAGAAGGGGTGCTAATTGGGATTGTTTACTAGCCAATTTATTAGCAAATACCGCTGTGGATGCTTATTAGAGCGGGGCGCTTATTACGTCGAATACTTCTTAGTCATTGGCAGTTTAAGAAGAAAATAAAGCCAAGAGTATGCAATATCAACCCTGCAGAGAAACTTCACTGAAGTAAGCATATTGTTCAGATGATGCAATATTATCAATTTGTGACATCTTGAACAATGGATTATGTCATACTGTATTGTTCTTTCAAAAAAGCACTGAGACAGCATACTGCTCCAACTGACAAAGCACCATTGAATAAAGCTAAAATGCAAATGTGCAAATACAGGAGTATGCTACCTTTCTACATTTATGGGTAAATATATTGGTAACTCCCAAGCCTAAACATCGGTTCCAATTACATGGATCTATGAATATGATTACATCAGTTCAATCAGCTTATTTTCTTTTCTTGTATTTTCAACAAAACATCAGCCAAAATCTAGGATGATAGCTGTATTTGTTGCATTTTTGATTTGCTAAAACTGTTAGGGTCCAAATAATAAACCAATTCTTTTCTTTTATGACACAAGAAACAAATTCTTTATAAGGAGCATTATATAAGTTTTGTTTGTTTGTTGTTTAACACCGCACTCAGCAATATTCCAGCTATATGATGGCGGTCTGTAAATAATCAAGTCTGGACCAGACAATCCAGTGATTCACATCATGAGGATAATATAAGTCTAATCAATAAAAGAACATGAACTAACACACCTTTCGGCATATCGCTGTGTGTATGATTGCACATCATATGCAAACTGTGGTTGTTTAATAAATCTCTAACAAGCACTGCCACTGATTCCTGGACAGTACAGGTATGTTTGTTGCAGGAACTGACTAATGAGGATGTGTGACCTGGATGAATGTGTGTCATTTTGACCCATGGCACATGGATCATTGCTCGTGCTGTCAACCATTGGTCTGCATGTCTTGTTATGTACAGGTTGCCATGACACTGATGAAATACTGATGACTGTGGCATAAAAGAACATTCACTCTGACACAAATCATGGTGATAGTTGTCAATGGCGTACCTGGCTGCACGGTCCGGGGAGTCACTTCCGTGAAGGGCATTCATGTACTTGTCACTTCCATACTTGGCTCGTAAACTGTAACAAAATACGTTTACATAGTTACATTCCCATTTAATGATCACTGCACTTAAATAATCCTTCTAAGATCAAAAACTATTCAGTTCTGACCCCTACACATGCTAGTTTGGTCAATCAAGTCTGTTTTTTTCTCAATGTCATGGCATAAAGTATAGGTTTTGAATGAAATAATCAAATATTCTCAGATCAATTTTTTCCCAATTGTAGCCAACCAATATCTCAGGTACATCTGTCTCCCAATTCTTCACATCTAAAATCAATTGAAATGCCACTTTTTCAGAGATTATCTTCCACCTGCCACTGGAACTCTATAGATCAGTCGCCCATGGAATACCCCAAACCCCTCACAGCCCTCCCCAGCCTTCCCCTCATATTTCCTAAAAAATTACTTAGTATCCCTGTGTTATGGGTTTTCGGGCGCTTATAAGAAACATTCATAGTTTTCTCACTATCCACAAGAACAACAGTAAAAAATCTCCCTCACTTATAAAAGACAACTTTATCTTAAAAACAGGCCATCATCTGTGTATCTTAAATGTCTGTGTGATGATGCCACATACCTTGTTATAGCGCTAGTAATTGTGAAAAATATGGGTGTCCGAAAACGTACGCAGCTATGACTCAAGAACTCAAGGATCTGTCTCCCATAGAATCACCCCACTCCTCACCCCTCCCCTCTCACTCCATCCAAGATTACTCTTTTCTCAGTTCATCTCCACACTTGCACCTAGGACTCCGTGGACCACTCTCCTATAGCCCCCCACCCCCCCCCCCCCCCCCCCCCCCCACTCCCTCCCTTCATAGCCTCACCCCTTCAACTCATCCCTACCTATCTGGTGCCTGATCCTTGGCCTCCTCCACACTGGTTGGACCAATCATATCCCTCCAGTCATGTAGAATAGTGTCTCCTTTTTTTCCCTTGGTGAGTACAAGAGCAAAACTGGGTCCACTGCTCATGAATTTGACCAAATCCTCAAAATAGTCCTGTAATGAATAAACATAGCCTATGTGTGAATATCCTTTATTCAGTACAGTACAGGCAGATGAACCCCCATGCACAAGAGAGTAGAATCATGTGAGGACTCAAACATGACACATTATAACAAGACACGAATAAAAATAATGTTCAAGTGAACCTGTCAGGCAGGCTTTTACCTACATCATATCATTCAGTCACACAAACTCAAGGGTATAAACAAAATCCTTTTGACAGTGTTTAATGAGTAGTCCATATGACATCATATACAGGAAAAACATTCCAAGTTATAGTAATATTTCTGGCAGTTCTATGAATATCGTAACCATTTTTTGGTCCGGACTTTAGTACTGGTGACAATTTTTTTGGCCATGTTTCTTTACTTGAGAAAATACACCATATATGGCACTAAAATCATCCATGCTTCATGTGAATCACATCTACCGACAGTTAATGTACACAGATGTACGGTGTGTTTCAAAATAATATAATATAAAAATCAAATGCCTTCTGAATCACATTATGAACAATTTGGATGAAAAATGTAATAACTTATGGTGTCCTTACAATCATTAGCTGTACATACCTCTTCCTGAAGGTGGGAATAGAAGTCTCTGGCTTCCTCCTCAGACAGTTGCCGTTCTTCCTGGGCAAGGATCTCAATACCAGCTTCACTCATCTACAAGATGTGAAACAAGTTTTTATTAAATCCATTTCAAATGTCTCCAGTTTCAGTAAACAGCTTGTGAGTCATTAAATTGTTGAAAGGACTTACTCCATCTCTAATTAATTGCAACAATTGTTAGTTATGAAAGCAAGATGGCTTTTCAACAAATCATGAAAAATATTTATAAAGGTTTTAGGATCTTATTCAAGTTATTGCTAAAGCCACCATATCCTCATACTTTAACACTGAATTATAACAATCACAGTGCTAAGATCACTTGGATGAAGAAACAATGTATTTGATTGAAAAGTTAATGACACCAGGAGACAAGTGGCTCCAAAAGGACAAAAACTTTTGTAAAACATATTTTTACATATTTTTATTTGCTACCATAGCTTAGTGGCTGACACAACACTCAAAATAACTATTGAATAATATAAACAAGCACTGATATCACAGCCATGTCATGCTCGTTAGGGTGCCATCTCAAACAAAAATTGGAGAGTCTTGTAGCATAAGGACTGCGCCTTCCCCATCTTTGAATACTCAGGAAAAAAGAATGACATAAAAAAATCCATTATTGACGATGGATCTTAGGATTAGATATTGTACCTGCTGTAAAATCTCCTCCACTTTACCATCACGGACAGCGTCAGGCTTGATGAGAGCCACAGTGAAACCTTTCTTTTCTGTAACAAACCAGAACACAGTCATGCCACCACATTGCATATCACTAAAAGATAACTCTTCACTTGGTCAGGTAGCAGTTATCTCCCATGAAACAATCAACATTCAACACCAAACTGGGACAGAAAACACATTATTATTTTTCCAACAAAATTGACTTTGACATGTATATATGCATTTAGATCTATCTATTGAACAAAGATACATACACATTAGAAATATATTTTCTTTATGATATAAACATACAAACTGATACAAAGACAAGCCTATGTTAAAGGCATGATTTATATATTTAATGATAGATTATTAATCTTAAATAATTAAGCAGGGAAAGCCATCTGCAGTAGTATTGGCACTGTTATACATACTGCATTCCACTGAAATGCTGTCAGTTTGGAGGGTTTGGGTTACAAAACAGTCATTGAACTCAATGTAAACACATCAATCGGTCGTTATCACGCAACACAAATACATGCAGAACCTTGTAGACAGGGTAGTGAACAGGAAACATTCAATACCAAGGAAATAATCTTCATGCTTAAACCAGCACTGGCTGGCTCCAGTTATCATAAACACCCTGTTACAAGGGACATGACTCATTTTAATTTTGCTAATTTTGATTACTGGGTTAACATGTCAGAAGAGAGCAATTTGTCTTAAAATGGTGCTAATCGATACAGTAAGCCAACGGGAAAATTCTACTGCCACTGTTTTGATGATATGTTAAATATAGACTCTCCAAAAAATGAAAATATGCATTGCTTGTAGTTTCACAAGAGTCAAATTTAGTAGTGCAGTAATCTTTCATTTCTGTGTATTAACAAAATAACATGGAAAATCCGGTGATAAATGATCATTTAGTGGTGATTTTAACAATCTGGTGTCTTATGGTGACAGTTTATATATATATTGTTGCCTTTTGGGGGATACTGGGTTTTCATGTAGCATTAAAACTAGTTCAGAATGTTCTGGTCCAGGTTTAACACCAAGGTAATTGAAGCCACCAGATTGTCCTACAGATGACAGCTGTCCATGCAGTGAAGAGATGCTCCTGGACCACCAGGTGTGGGGGCATCTATTGGTGTGTTCTGGAGGAAGGGAGAACTGGAGGAAGGCTACAGCAACAGCGTTAGTTGAAAAAGAATATTGCAAAAACAGCAAAAGAGTGCCTATCACTGTATCAGTTGAAAGATCTCAGGAGGATGCATTTAGGATGTACATGTACAAAGATGATTCACTTAAGATGTATGATCTAGGAGGAGGATGTTCTAGGAGGAGGATGTTCTAGGATGAGGATGTTCTAGGATGATGCATTTGGGATGTGAATGACTAGACACTAAGGTTGTACAATGAGGATGTAGCTAAGCTGTATCGATGTTAAAACCAGGATGATACATTTATGTTACCGGTATAGCAGGATGATACATTCATGTTATAGCAGGATGATATGTGATTACGTTGTACCAGGATGATGACATGCTGTATTTAGATTTACTCTCTTTCACATTAAAACTAAGATGTTGTCCAAAAGTAACCAATTATACACGTATAAACTATTTAGAAGAAAAAGAAAACAAAATGCAAAAAGAAAATATTTTTCTATCCATGTGATTTAGTAACTGGAGCTGCAGGTAGACTACTCTAGTAATAGTATAACATGTTTATACTAAGCAGCCATTGTATCCACTTATTTCAAAGTTAGTTATTTTGCCAAGAAATGATGTGGGGTTGCAGCAACTGGCTACCATCATATGCTTGTCTCAGTTTCTCACAAAGCACTAAATTACTACATCTAGAAGTACAGTAGAACTGGGCACCAGGCTGTCAAGTCAAATCATTTTCTATTAGCTTCTGTGCTTTCTAAACAAATATATTTTCACCATTGTTTACTAAATCTAAAAAAAATGAAAAGAGAAAGAAAGAAAAAAGGTTGTTTGTCAATCTCAACATTTTCCAGGATGAACTAACTACAGTAATCAGCCTCTGAATGTTTCTGCAAGTCTCTGGTAATCTAACTATGTGAGAAGACCCCCAGAAAAGGAGTTTGTACTTGGCCCAAGGCAGGAAGGATAAAAGTTAGAACTGGTGCAATAATATATAATATTCTTAAAATGCATATTTAGCAATTTATTGAGCAGTTGTGTGTAAGATATCATAAAAGCATGTCTGCAACATTATGCCTCTTCAAATATTTATATAGTCTTGTACAGTGTACCAAACTGATGTGGCAAGCAAAATACTTGAACATGCACATACAAATTATGTAATCAATTTTCTCTATGAGGTGGTGATGGTGGAGGTGGGAGTGGTGGTTGTGGGGATTTGGGATGTACTTGATGTTTCTTTCCATAGTATTTTATTACAGGGATGTCCTATTCTTCAATTTCCAACATTAGTTTTATAACAAGGACCATTTGACATCCACCTTTCATTTTAAAAATGATTGGGAATGATTTTTTTGTGAAATAAAGATTGACTATTTTTAATTTATGTTGCTGGATGCGGGATTACATTAATACTATCTCTCCTGTCGTTTCCATAGGTGAACACAAAAACAACATTTCGGGGCATAATGTTGACATCTTGTAAATGAAAAGCATGCAGCTAATATAAATAATATTTGCAGGTGTGACTATATCTAAAATAGACATAGACAACCTTCCTCCTGCTGGCTGCTCATTGTCAGAGTGTCGCCATAGTTACAACGCTCTCCTCGATAGTCTAAGACATTATCGTCATCTTCTGAAAGCAATACATTCATATTTGCCATGAGACTTGCACCATTTAAAATGTAGCTGTCGTTACCAAAGTAACAATAAGGATGTCTGCTGGTATCTGTTTGAGTTCACTGTACAACTCTTATTGTAGTGTATAGGAAGTGCTTTAACAACCCATTCTATCACCAAAATGAAACAGTGCAGCTAATAGAAATTGTGAAAGATACAACATTATGTGTCAAACAAAAAGGGAATTAATTCCCATTCTTTGACAGGCTAGTATTGCTTATGGTAAAAGTGAATGGTAGTAGCAGCACAATATTCTTAAAACAATATTATAGCTAAAATGGATAGAATTATCATTAAACCGCCTGCATGTTATCAAAAATGAGCAGGCCACTGTAACTAGATATTGCCCTCATATTTCTTGATGATGGGCCATTATCACGCCCATTGTTAGGTGACGTCATAGGGTAGGGATAGGTGACTTCACGTTCAATAGTGACGTCATCTGGTTTGTTCTATGACATTTCCATATTTGGGTCAGTGGCATTCGTGTTGATTGCAGTAAATGTTTCAAAACCGACATTGTGGTTTTTTTTATTTGATAAATTCCATCCATTTTAGCTATAATAACGGTAATGCTATTTTTCAGGGCATTATCATTTGCAGAAGCCATCGTTCCTTTGTCAGGCAGTTAATGGAAGTCCTCGGGCTTCTGCAAATGATAACGCCCTGAAAAATAGCGTTACCCTTAAAATAACGCCACTGCATTGTAACCTCATTGCATGATGCCAAAGCATGGTACTGTGACATCAATGAAATAATGCTACAATATAGAAATGCATGGAAATGTGTACATTATGCCATGTTTTGATCCTGTTACCTAGCACTCTAACTTTTCTCATCATCCTTACAGATGAGCATTTTATCAATAGGTCATTAAATATATGTAAAAAGTTCAAACGATTTCCCTCTTCAGTGTGAATTTAGCGAGGCACTAAAGAAGTGCACTTATACAACAGAATGCAGAGCAACCACCTTGTTTTTTTCATCTGGACAGTAAGGATAAATCAGTTTGATTGTTTAATACTTGTCTAGAAAGAGTTAGACACTCCTAATGTTGACCAGCAGACATCCATAAGATGAACAAATATAGCATTAACAATGAACCTGGATTACCTTGCATCCAAAACTGTGCGTATAATGTTTTGGTGAGCACATTGTAACATGTTACATTAACTGGTATTAGTGGTAACGTCATGCAGTCACACAAATTATGTCACAGAATGCATCACACAATATACCTAATTCTCCTGCAGATTTTCTTCCAAGTATACCAGCTGTTATAAATACAGGACAGTTTAGTCAAAGGAGATGAAAGTAAGTATAATACTTGTATTGAGTGAGTGAGTGAGTGAGTATGGTTTTACGCCGCTTTTAGCAATATTCCAGCAATATCACGGCGGGGGACATCAGAAATGGGCTTCACACATTGTACCCATGTCGGGAATCGAACCGGGGTCTTCGGCGTGACGGGCGAACGCTTTAACCACTAGGCTACCCGACCGCCCCAATACTTGTATTGAAATTTAGTACTATAAGAGTGTTGAAAGAGATGATAAACATGTCACTGAAATACAGTCAATGTCCGATGTAGCACTAGATTATTTGTACACAATATACACTGAACACTGAACATTAGTACAAAAACAGAAAGTTTGCATTCTAAATTTCTTTAAAAATGTTTTTAAAAAATATACAATCCCAGGGATATGTTCTTCTCTAGATGTTTACTTACAATTTTGCACAGCAATCCAAGTATTAAACCAGTAAGAAATCTTTTCATTAAGACCAACTCAAGGTGCATATTTGGTGACCCCACTATGACATGACAGTGTCTAATCCTACACAGTATTGGTCACTCTTATTTTGCTATCCAGATTTTCTTACATCGGACATTGCCTGTATTAAAAGTCAAGTTCTTGAGATAAATCAGTTACACATTTTAACCAATACAAGTTCTGCAAGTTAAGGACAGATAACCAGATGTGATGAAGACAGGGCTGGCCTGTGGATTTCAACTCCTTTATCCCTTCACTGCCACCATTTGGTACTGATGCTAGTGCCTTCTTCATCAAGCAACTCATCAAGCAACTTGTCTACTACTGATGCTAGCACCTGCACCGAAACATCACAAATGCCAATTTGAGAGAATAAGGAAGATAAAGTCCACAAATCAACCATGTCTTCATTGATGCTACAACTTCTAAATGAAGCTACAGACATGTGATTATTCACATATAAAAATATTCAAGAAATTATTAACATACAGTGAAATCTTGTTAACACAAAATTCTCAGGACCTTTGAAAATATATTAAGATATCTGGAGTTAAGAGACAAGAGGAGTGCTGATATTAGACCATAATGCTGATAAGAATTCATCTGAGACAAAAGCTACACTAACTATCAAGTGAACATAGTCTGAATTAACAAGGTCTCAATCTGAGGACACACATGGTAGAGAGACATCAGCACAGTATAAGACACACTCAACCTGGGCACTCTAACTAAGCAGCACACTTCACAACACAACTACCAGTGGCCAAAGTGGGAAGTGGGATTTTTGTGTGATAATGTTCATGTTGCGCATTTGAAGTTAGGATTTGTGGTGGTTCTGATAAGGATGTTGAAATAACAAGCAGTCAATAGAACATATATGACAAACCAACGTCAAGTGTGTGGATGACATACCTTCTTCTTCCTTCTCATTTTCCTCCTCATCATACCGAGCCTTCTCTCTCTCCTCCAGATTTGAGATCAGAGGGTCCTTCACCTTCAAACCAAAAATTACTAGCATTAAGGATAAGCAGATAATATAGTGCTATTAGATATAGTTTTATTTCACAATGACTGTGTTTCAAAACCTATCTAACAAGCTTTAGCATTTGAAATCTGTATTTCTTTGGGAGGAGTGTAGTAATTTATTTACAACACACGTAAATGAAGCTATGTATGTTAACAAATATCGAAAAACACAAATCAAGTAACTTTTGCTTCAGTATTTTCGTACTCACTTACATTCTTGGAATGTATGGTATTCTTGTACTGAAATTAAGCTAAACACTCCGGTAACATGGCTCTGTCAAAAATGGTTCCATAAAATTTTCAATTCATCACACATATTTAAGAAAATACTGCTATAAGAGGACTAACAGGTCCTGGGATCAAGGTTCACATGGCCATTCATTTCAGTCATTGTTGTCTTCAATATAGTCCAGCTATTAAATGATTTCACTGGACCCAAAGAATATAATCAGGCATTGATTTTTTAACAAGTGACAACAATATGTAAAGACACATATTCTTCTCATTGGGCATTAAACACCAATCAAAAGCAGCAGATAATAATTATATGGATCATAGTATTTGGATGTTGTATAACTGTTAATTTTGTCAACCTACCTCCTTCCTTTCCACACTGCCATCCATCACCTTGTGCTCTGCTGCCAACTGTTCTGTGATTGTCCTCAGAATAACAGGCGAGTTGGCACCATGGACAAACCCAACCAAAACCCCACCCTGTGAAGGTAACATCATTCTTAATCAGTTCCAGACATTTGAAAACAATATCTGAAAAATTAACTGTTGAGCATTGGCTTCCATTGTTAATCTCCTATCAGCACCAATTATCTGTTAGCTTCCCTTGTTAAGTTTCCACCTTTGTTATCTTATCACTTTTGTTGTTCTTACAGGTACATATATATATGTTCTCCGCCTCATAGCATTTATTCACCTGGGCCCACTTGCACAAAGCGATCTTAGCGCTAAGATGATCTTAACTCCCATACTTTAACATAGGCTTACAATAGTCTTAGCACTAAGATCGTTTTGAGCAAGCGAGCCCTGATGAAGGAGTAAGTCTATACTCCGAAAAGTTGTGTTCCTCATAATAAAGAAGTTGACATCCATAAATTCTCTTCCTTACAATATCTGAAGGTCATGAATCATGAATGTTTGAGAAAATTATAATACAGACAATAATTATTCACACTCCCTTATGACAGGCAGGAAACAAATCTGTCTACAACTGCAATTTCTTCCTACTTACAGCAAATAAAAGGAAGCATGGCTCGCATCTTCCCCTGTACTTGTCCAGAGGATCAACTGTGTCTGCCTTGGCCTTGAACACAGCAATAATACATAATTAACTTAAGTCTCCAATGAAAGCACCAGGAATGTGACATAAACTTACAGTTTTCAGTGATTGGAGTTCATTCAATATGATATTATTTTGGGACAGATTTTAGTAACAGTGCAACACATTACACTTAACACAATGTGTTATGTAAGTTTGAAGGTATCAGAACAACTGTTGGCACTGCACAGTTAAATTTATTACAAATAAAGATGACAGGTTATGGAGAACAAGTTAACATAAATTGTTGCAGTAACTCTTATACGTATATATAAAGATAATGCATCACTGACAATTGTTAGGTTTGAATTGTTTGGCATCTTACCAAACTACTTGTATGACCTTTATCATGTTGCAATTATTATTCTGGCATATTTTTATATCATATTATTAAATAGTTGCAAATAAACATTGCATCATGTAGCTACACCTTATTTAAAAAAATAAACAGATGTTAAACATTGTTCATAAGGTCAGAGAAAATGAAAATGCCTCATTTTTGACAGATAAACTACAGAACATGCTAAAATTGCTACCGTAAATGCTACAGCACTGGCATTATCTGGGTTTGGTCTGACACTCCACTCCGTAATGAACATCCCCATTCATGCAGCATAGTGAATTTGATAGTTAAATATATGCTTATGTTAATATTATGCACTGTGATAGGACATATATACACACCGCAGCAAAGTGAAGAAGTTCATCTCCCAACTCATTCTTCAAACGGCGAAAATTACCGACCATAGCTGCACATGGCCCACACCATTCTTGGTACACATCCACCACTGAAACATAAACAACAGCTTCACAAGATGTCTGACACAATATCATCACTGAGTCACCATATGTCTGTCCAGTGTTAAACTGTGGGTGTGTGCTGCAATCTGATTGGTTGAAAAATGTAGTTAAATGGAAATTTTTCAGATGACCAGTGATGACTAGTTTTCTTGAAAATTATCTTTTTCTCAATCTCAAATTAGAGAAAACTGGCAACAGCATTCATGAACTTGTCAAGTTTCAAGCAGTCTCCCCACAAAACAAGGAAAATAAAAGACTTTTCTTGACCGACAAATGATGTAGTGTGACAGTTTCACTGAGTGACCTTTGTGCTACAAGGCCGTAGTTAACCTTTTCTGACAGGGGGGGCAAATATTTGTACAAGTATCACTTGTCCCAAACTTGTATTTTCATGATTCAAATAAAACTGTTTTCTATAAGAAATCCAGGGGGGCAACTGCCCCTGCCCCCCTGGCTGCCTACAGCACTGTGTTATATGTCTCACCCCACAGACCCTCCTTGGCAATCATCTCCTCCCACTCCTCAGTCGTCTCAATCTCCTGCTGGAGCTGCACTTCCTGCTTCCGTCTCGCCATCTTGGCCTTCTTCTTCTTATCTTCCTCTGCACCCTGAAGAAGAACATCTGAACACTGTAAGCCACAGACATGGCTGGACACCCCTATCGGACACTGAAACCATCAGGTTTGTCCACAGGACTACTAAAGTTATGGATTCAGATATTTAATGAATCCGAATGGGCCTTAAAAATCAGTTTCTTATCATTGTTGAAGTGAGTGAGGAAGTATTGTTTTACGCCACTTTTAGCAACATTCCAGCAATATCACGGCAGGGGGACACCGGAAATGGGCTTCACACATTGTACCCATGTGGCAAATCAGCCCAGGTCTTCAGCGTGTCAATGAGTGAATGCTTTAACCACTAGGCTACCCCTCTGCCCCTATGATCGTTGAAACCATGATAACCATAAATTACTAATCACACAAGTAATTCATTAATTTTCTGTGTTGGGGATTACAAAGGTTTTTCTTACGCCATTTATCATATTAAAAGATTCATTGATTGTTCGGGTTTTTTTTTACTTTTCATGGCACTAAACTTCAATGCTGAAATCAGCGTATGACATAAATAACATTTACTGATATTCTAATCTATAATATCTTTGGAGGTGATGACTGTTGATAACAATATATCCAGAAAGCATGCCCGTTGTTTCACATGTTTCTAACTCTATAGCATCATTCAAACAAACAAGCCTTGTTACTATGTTAAATCTATGTCATTCAACAAGTTCATGCTTGCGATAGGTGACTTATAATGTTTTAAGTAAATCTTCTTCTTAAGCACTGCATAACACTATCTATACTATGTGTAATGCTAAATACTATTTCCTCAAGCTTGGCTAAACTTAACTCAATCAACATTCAGTCTTCATCTAACTAGGATCTTGAAAATATCACAAGCTATCTTCTTGCCAAGTCATGTATGAAAGGCAGTCTAGTTCTAGCCTGTTTCAGGAATAAAATTCATCTCAAAGACATATAGATTCTAAATCCTATCTAGTCATGCCTAGTGCTGTCATGATCAGTGCTGTCTGTGCAAGATGCTGGAAAGTAGCATCTCTAAGCATGTATTTGTGACCTGTGCAGGGATACCTTGCCGCGACGGTACCGGGGTCTGTATGGTCCCAAGACAGGCTAGGATAAAGGTCAAATGACATGTACTCAAGATACCTTTCTGTATACACAAACGTTCACCAGGTACCATTCTTTATACACATATGTTCCCAAGGTATCATTCTCTATACACAAATGTTGCTCGGTACCATTCTGTATACACAAATGTTCCTAGGTACCTTTGGTATACAGAAATATTCCCAAGGCACCTTTATGTATATATAAATGTTCCCCAGGTACCTTACTTTGTACATATATATTCTCTAGGTACCTTTGTGTACATACAAATGTTCACCAGGTACCTTTCTGTATACATATATATTCTCTAGGTACCTTTGTGTACATACAAATGTTCACCAGGTACCTTTCTGTATACATATATATTCTCTAGTTACCTTTGTGTACATACAAATGTTCACCAGGTACCTTTCTGTATACATAAATATTCTCTAGGTACCTTTGTGTATATACAAATGTTCACCAGGTACCTTTCTGTATGCATAAATATTCTCTAGTTACCTTTGTGTACATACAAATGTTCACCAGGTACCTTTCTGTATACATATATATTCTCTAGGTACCTTTGTGTATATACAAATGTTCACCAGGTACCTTTCTGTATGCATAAATATTCTCTAGTTACCTTTGTGTACATACAAATGTTCACCAGGTACCTTTCTGTATACATATATATTCTCTAGGTACCTTTGTGTATATGCAAATGTTCACCAGGTATCTTTCTGTATACATAAATATTCTCTAAGTACCTTTGTGTATATACAAATGTTCACCAGGTACCTTTCTGTATACATAAATATTCTCTAGTTACCTTTGTGTATATACAAATGTTCACCAGGTATCTTTCTGTATACATAAATATTCTCTAGGTACCTTTGTGTATATACAAATGTTCACCAGGTACCTTTCTGTATACATAAATATTCTCTAGGTACCTTTGTGTACATACAAATGTTCACCAGGTATCTTTCTGTATACATAAATATTCTCTAGGTACCTTTGTGTATATACAAATGTTCACCAGGTACCTTTCTGTATGCATAAATATTCTCTAGTTACCTTTGTGTACATACAAATGTTCACCAGGTACCTTTCTGTATACATATATATTCTCTAGGTACCTTTGTGTATATGCAAATGTTCACCAGGTATCTTTCTGTATACATAAATATTCTCTAGGTACCTTTGTGTATATACAAATGTTCACCAGGTACCTTTCTGTATACATAAATATTCTCTAGTTACCTTTGTGTATATACAAATGTTCACCAGGTATCTTTCTGTATACATAAATATTCTCTAGGTACCTTTGTGTATATACAAATGTTCACCAGGTACCTTTCTGTATACATAAATATTCTCTAGGTACCTTTGTGTACATACAAATGTTCACCAGGTATCTTTCTGTATACGTAAATATTCTCTAGGTACCTTTGTGTATATACAAATGTTCACCAGGTACCTTTCTGTATACATAAATATTCTCTAGTTACCTTTGTGTATATACAAATGTTCACCAGGTACCTTTCTGTATGCATAAATATTCTCTAGGTACCTTTGTGTATATACAAATGTATACCAGGTACCTTTCTGTATACATAAATATTCTCTAGATACCTTTGTGTACATACAAATGTTCACCAGGTACCTTTCTGTATACATAAATATTCTCTAGGTACCTTTGTGTACATACAAATGTTTACCAGGGGCCTTTTCGATTACACAAATGTTCCGTCCGAGTCCAAATTTACTAACCAGGTACCCACCCCCCTATTACCCACCCCTACCCGGGTACCCACTGTAGTCTCAAGAGATAGGTACAAACTGTCTGAGTAGGAATAGTTTGACCGTAGCCCTGGCAAAATGTATTTAGACACACATATAAAACAATCTGGTCATGCATATGCTGAAGTTGACTGAACATTTATCTTTATTTACCGTAAACAGAAAAAGGTCAGGAATGGGTGCATAGTCAGAAAGAAATGCAAACGTCAGTGACTTGAAGTGTAACCATAGAGTTCTCGATAATATTTGTCATTAAACAATATATCACCACGGGTCCGGGTAGTGCGGTGAGTACCCAGGTCCTACTCGGTACCCTCCCACCCCCAATTCCATATGAAGCACATATGGAATAATCATTTCATGCACTTTATAATATTGTTGATGTAATGCAGACCCCATTGTTGATAAAATGTAGACATCATACTCACAGTCTGCATTTTCAGCCTCTATTCTGAAACCTGGGTCTAGTAACATTTTGCATGGTCTAGTATGCTCAGCTAATATATTATGCTAAATTCTACTGAAGATGATTCCAAGAGACAATTTGGACTGAGATAGATATAAATTCCATCAACTTAAAGGGGAAGTGTACACGCAAAAATCACTTTCTTTTTCTAAACAAAACGCAATTTTAGAATTAATTAGTATCTGTGTTTGAAAATATACACTCATTTTTTTCACAGTGAAAGTAGGAAGCTCACAATAGTGTGAAAATGATATGCCGTTATGAGGCCTTCGTTTTTCGAGCTAAACAGGCCTGAGTTATCCCCCTTAGATTATGACGTAATTGGTGCCAATTCAACTGGGTCCCTGTCTATTCTCAACGCAAAAGATATCAAGTACCAATTTGCGGTAAAACAACATGGCCTACGACACACTCCGGCGCAGTGGTGACTCAGCATAACACTATGCTGGCTGGCATCTGAGACGCTAGAATCACACACCTAGACCTACACCACGTGAAGCGGCTCTAACAAAGCATGATGACGTCATAATGTTTATCAATTGGCACCAATGACGTCATATTGCAAGGGGCATAAGCCATGGTGTTTTTGTTGTGGAAATAGAACACTTGGTAAATGTGAAAAATATAAATCGTTTTAATGCGAAAAATATGTTAATTAATTGTGATATTTTTATATTTTTGTCTATGACACTTCTAGGTTAACACTTTTAATGTGGAAAAAGTACAAGAAAAATAGGTTAATTTCCGTGTGAACTTGCCCTTTAAGTAATGACTGTTTACTCAGCCAGACAGGGGTAGAAGCTAGTTCTATCCATACTTTCCTCTGTGTATACGCTAATACACAAACAGTTTCGTATATGAGAAATGTCTCAGCTTAACCACTTCAAAGTTCCCACAACAAAACACATTTTGACTGATCCACCTTGATAGGTATTGTTCTATCTCTCACATATCCCCTTCCAGACTTGTTGCTATGGTTTCTTCCGTTGTAATGGTGGCGTTTTGATCTACACAACTGTTCATAATAATACATGTACTCTTACACTTCTCGGGTTGTCCTATGAGAATTACGTATGTATTGTTTCTATTCCAATCCCTAATGATGTGTGTGTAACAGGTTTGGTTTGTCTCATATCTTAAGGAATCAAATCTTGTATCCAACATCAAATTTTAACACCCTAAACCAACTGACTGGTTAAGGCTGTTATCTCTGTCATGCTTCAGTTACCATGCACGACTGTCCAACACTGTCTTTATCATTGTTGCATGGTGAATGCTGAAGAAAATGGCTGCAGCTTCAACCAGTAATCACAGATATTATATATATATATATATATATATATATATATATATATATATATATATATACACACACACACACAAAGAATTCATATCACAGATATAGATATATATATATATATATATATATATATATATGTGTGTGTGTGTGTGTATATATATACATATATATATATATATATATATATATAGTCAATACAAAGAATTCATATGTTGAATTGTGTAAACATTCATAAATCAATACAGAAAAATCATGGTAATGTCAATAGAAGGGTTGTTGCATTTACTATTCAATTCAATACACGGATGCACATCTAGTTTACATGAAAAGCAACAAATTAAACACATAGCATGCACTGAGAGTAAAATAATACTTTCCAATCACAAATATTGTTCTCAAACCATTTCACACTTCTGTTAAAAATGAAAGGGGGTTCCCGGGGCTCCTTGAAGTTTTTTTCTATAGTACCGGTATTTAAACAAGATCAAGGGACCCCTAATTTTTCAACATTATGGCACATGACAACAATGACAGCAAACCTTATGACTTAAAAACTGGGCACAAGAGTGGTGCTCAGTAAAAGAGTTGGGTTTATCATTGCTATTTTATGGCATTATCCTACAGTTGGCAACACCACTCGACTATCTACCCACCCCAGAGCAACAATGAGAGGATCAATTGTTGTGTTTTAATGACCGAACAAGAAATAGTGTAAACATGTTTACACAAACAATATTTGTTCAGATGCACGTATGTCATCTGCTTAATTATTACATTCAATCAGTTTGCAAACATTAGAGGTAGGCCTAACAGGGGCATGTCTGTCCAACTCATGTAATAAAAGAGAATGGTTCATTAAACAAATCAGGGAAGCATAAACATATCCTGATTTGTTGTATAATGTTTATGTCTGCTTTATCAGATAGCCTTTGTTACCTTAGAATATTCCATTATAATGAGTATTTTGTCAAACTTTGTATCCAAAATGCAGAATTCCTGCATCATGTGGTGGAACCCTGATCTAAGACAATAATCTACCAATTCTGAGAATGTTAAAACTTCAACATGCCTATAGCTTGTACAGTACTGAACATATGATTATGATGTTTGTACAAAAGCAAAACTTATTTTTATGAAACATACATCATAACACACATCATAACATGCACAAAGAAGGCAAACAAAAAGTAAATTAAACTTCTAAGAAATTGCAGGCACTTCAATCAAACGTGTTGAAAAATTAGTTTTTTTTTATCAAACTGAATATTTTTTATGATAGTGCAGAGCTCCAGATAAGCTTTTGGTGTTGTGGGTATTTTACCCATGCATTTAAAAATCATTGGGTATCAGTAATTCTATCTGGGTATTCAAATTTCTGTTACCCACTAGTTTTTACACATGTGGGTATTTAAGTTAAATATTTAAAAACACTATTCATCTAGGCCCTGCAAACTGGTTTCATGTGGGTTCGAGAGCTTTATAGCACTAAAAAATACCACGATACTTCCACAAGAAAGTATGATGGCAAATGATCATGATGTAACTGTCATCGTGGAGTTTGGCAAGGTTGACGGAATGCCCGTTTATAATTTCAAAAGAAGTTGCTGATTTGCTAATCGAATACGCAGGGTTACTTCACAATATTTTGATGATACTCACAAGTTTTATTTTTGTAGCTTATCTGTAATGTTCGTTGCGTATTTGATACGCTTGGATTTTATTTTACTGCGTATTTCTGCATTTCTGATGCGTATTTTACGCAGATACACAGCTTATCTGGAGCTCTGATAGTGTGATCAAATCCAAATCTGACCGCAATTCCATCTTGTCTGAAAACCAATGTCAGTACCAACCATGCAAACAAGAAATGGTGAAATGAATTGTCAAAGTTTTACCATGGTTGAGTCTCAGGTAGGATCTACGTCAACAAGGATGTCTACAGTACAAGGGAAAGGATGAGATTAATACACAGTCATGGATATTATTCAAGATCTATGCAACATGTACAAGTCAGCAGGAAACATGGTAATAGATGTATTCAGATGATATGGAACCCAACAAATTCAGTGTTAGAAAGTCAAAAGGCAACTTATACAGAAATGTGCATGATGTGTGTTATATATTTTTGGTTGAATAATTTTACTTTTAATAGCACTCTGACATTGGATAAAGATGACATAAATGTAGTTATTCAAAGGATGAAGCAGACTCCACACTTCTAATACTGAATGTTTGTAGAATGAAGAGTCATGGTTGAGATGCTATTGCAACAAAGAGAAGATGAAAAAAGAAACAGCTTCTAAAAATCTGCAATGATGAAAGTTAGCTGCTTCTGCTGGAAGATAACATATTCAAAACAGAGAAAATCTGGACCCTAATTTTAGTAAGCAAGGTAAAGCATAGGAAATGGGACACTTGATACTCTGACAACAAAACTACTTTTTTATATCAGGCCTTCAGCATGTTGATGTTTACTTTCTTTGCTTGTAGCCAATGGATCTTGCTTGAAAATGTCAATACTTTCAAGCAGTAAATATATCCTACTTTTAAGGAATATGTAAGAATTGTTAGGAGTGGTTGATCCTTGTCCACTATGGATTTCATACTATCTGCAATAGAAACTAACACAGAAGAACAAACGAAAGGAAACAACGAAACATATAGATCATAACATACTTACTTACCTCAACTTCAAAGGAATACAAACAACACTTTCATAAAGAATTTGAGATGCAGTTATAGAAGTGGTGACGTGACAAGAAATGATTTGTAAACTGTAATTGGTTCCTGTTCAAACATTGGGTCTCAACTGGCTTGTAATTTGTGAGAACAGTGATTAGGTGACTTGGCCTGTGCACTAATCCAGACTTAGTACAATAATCCATGGATACCATGTTGCAAGCTCCAAGGTACAGACAAGTCCAGGCAAAACTGTAGCTCTTTTGGCAGTTGACAAAACAACTTACCTTATTCGACATAATGCCCTTGGCCCTTCTGAAAATTGACAGGGGGTGGGTGGGGGCGCTTATGATAACCTTACATGACGAGTTACAAACAATTTCAGAGATCGAATGACAGTGAAGAATTTGATTCTAAACATAATTCATATTTTCTGTTGCATTTTACTAACTTTAAACCACCTTGCTTATGAGAATTTTACTTCTTATACAAGGAGATTCTTCCTTTCATATTGCTCTTTGAATTAATACTTTTTGTTTTACCACATATACCATATTCATTTCTTGTTTTTTAGTGTAGGTTAATAAAACGCTACATTGTGAATTTATGTTACTTGTACCTGACTTGTAACTCACAACATGTCACACTAAATCTAAGACTCACCGCCCCATTATGTATCTTGTTTGATAGGCATTCCTTAGAAATTGATAGACGACAAAGTAGACAAAACATTTATGGACAACACCTTCTGTATTATACTGTAATAGCGATGTTTTGGTATAGATCATTATACAGTTGCTTGACAATGGTATAACAATCCATACCGTTTTATGCATTGGGGTTAGCAAATGTTTTGAATTCTTCAGCATTGCATTGAATTTTATCAGTTCAAACACAGATTATGGCACCTAATTTTTGTTTTATTCTCAGCAACATAAAGAGAATTTACAGTGCATAATATAATAAATAATATGACTTTTAATCACGAAATTGTGATAGAGTCTTAGATGAAAAAAAATATTTTTACGGCCGGCTTGTAAGCAATTGTTTTACTTGGAAACTGTGACTGTTCTTTTTTTAATTTGATGAAGCAGACATGACTGTAACACCTGAAAATAGCATTAACGAAATATGTTAGATGTTGTCAGTTTCACTGTCGTCAGAATCTGGAAATCTAGTAAAAATTCACACTGATCAGTGTTTGCAGATGGTTTGCCACCAAAAGCAACGATCTGTGGAATTGAAATGTTGAACATGTAAAATTAATCCATGAATATTTCTATTGCGAAAGCACACATACCAAGAAATGGATAGATTATTGCTTAATGATGAGGAACTCCAAGCTCTGAAACTTCGGCAGTCCTTTTCTCGAAACTATGTTTACAAGCGTCGTTTGCCGAGTAACGGCAACTTCCGGTATTCAAATTGTAGATTTGATGTTTGCGGAAAAGGTAAATATAATATTTCATATTGTTTTATAGCTTTAAAACTACAAATTCATATAACATCTATTTAGCAAAACAAATGTATTGTATTCACAGAATAATTGTTTGACAAATACCTTAGCTTTATATAACATAAATCAAAATGCGTATTTCATATTTTTGCAACAGTTGAGACATGGGACATAACTCACATAAACAGGAAGTGGCCGAGGAAATGTTAAAAAATGGCAGACGAATTAAGATCAGCAACTGATGTTAGCTCAAATCTTATAAATTTTGACATTGATGAAGTGAGTATGAAGGATTGCATATATGGCACAACCACCGATGATGTATTCTGTTCATATCTAAGTGCAGGGCTGAGTATGCCTTTGATGAAAAGCGAACTCCTTTCTTTGGCAGGTGCTCGCTGAACTTGAAGAGGGGAGGGGCAGGTTTCCATAAAATAAGTGTCTATTAGGCTAATCAGTACAGGAATCAAATTCCATTAAAGTTTTTTTTTCATAAGGTTACATTATTTCGCTTTTTGACAGTTCTAATATAATGTCTATGGAATTTTTAGGTTTTTTTTAATTAAAAAACCAAGTTCAATTTCTAAATAGCAGCGTTTTTATGACATGGTACATGTATACTCGGACCCCATGGTACCAAGGCATTCATAGTATCGCGGCATTTGTGATTTCCGATAGTTCACGCGGGACACGCCTCTTGGCAGCTGTCTATTAATGCTAATCAGTAACCAGGAAGTGCACACTTCGTAAACAATTTCAATTTCCTCGGAATGTTCCGTCTGCTGTAAGTTAGGAGTTATTAATGCGTTGATACATATTTCTGGCATCTTTTGTAATATTGCCTTACCCCCATCTATCAATGGCCAACGATATAACCCGTAGTTCCCAAAGTAAACTTTCTCTATCGACCCGAACTAGATCATCTGCATTTTCATGGCGTCTAATAAGGTAACGGAAGTTACGTAGTCCAAACATTTTTTCCCGCTCTGTGCCCAGAATTTATTGGGAGATCATAAGGGCCATAATGCCAAACTTAGAAATACGTTCTTCACTAGTAACCAAAAGATAAACACATACTTTTGGGCATACTAGGAGTGGTTTTTATATATTTATTGTTGACTTTTAACATTTTTCCATTTTGTGACAAATTATTGTCATCCAATTTTTTTTAAACAATCTTAAAATATCATTTCTGTTATTTTGATGTTGACTTATAAAAATATTTTTCTCTTACTTTTTCGGTAAATATACATTGAATACCTATTGCTGATAACACATTTAGAATTTTACTTGTGCTGTCTTTGCACTTGTCTGGACAAATCACTGATGTCTGGCATGATCATACCAAGTGGTTGGTAGAATTATGTCCTCTTTTTGTCCAATTCGGATCTCCATACACAACTTTTCTCTGTACCGCGATACGATGGAGGTCTCTCCCTTGTAAAACTGAGCGTGAGGCCCGGCTTTTACTCGGAGCTACTAACGTAAATAATGAACTTTTATCAGTAAAATATGCATTGTTAGATCAAATAAATGACATCTGATATAGAGAACACGAATAATCATAAAGGTTAGTGAGTGCATTTTGTTCCGTTCAGCATACATGACAAGTACCGCGATACCCCGAGGTTGCAGGCTATATAAAGGAGTTTTACACCAGTCACTCATAATGTGAATAACCCAACAAGTTTAACCCTATTGTTGCCTGGAGAATAATGAAATAGTTATCGATTATGAAGGTTAATTATTTTCAATCCCAACATTAACAAATAAAGCAAATGCTAATTTATTGTTAATGAACATATTGCTAATAATTTCCATAAATATCAAGATTAATGAAGAATATTGAGGCATCCTCTCATCATACGAATATGGAAACTTAAATCTTTGTCACTGCTCAATGTATGTAGCCAGGAGTTTTGAGGATGCTCCCATACAGATATGATCATGATGATCAAGTTGTAGACATTGTGTTATATTGGCTTATTGCAACAGTACATTTGGGAATCCTTAACTGATTACCTTATAGAATTTTATTTATTTACTTTGCTATGTTGTCATCTGAAACATGTTTGTTAAATTCCTTATTATGCATGTTAATTAAAAGCACACTTAGCAGGCTTAGTGGGTAGCCATTTTCTGATTTTTTTATGATGATCAATAATCACTGTTGTGTATCCAAAAACCTGACAAACAATTGTGGTGAAAAAATGATACTATTTGACATGTTTAATACAAACTGTTTATTTCAAATTTAGCTATGAATGTAAATCAACACATAATTACACAATAACACATTTACATGTACATGCAGATAACTAGACATTTTCGTTAAACAAAAAGCATGAATTGATATAAAATGAAAAATGATAAGCAATGATCATAGCAATGATAACAGGTAATTAATGATCTTGTACATGCAGGGCTCGAAAAATCCACTCGCGAGTACACTTATTTCAATTGTATCAATTTATCTCTAATTGTTTTCACTAAAATATGCAGGATAATTTGAACTTTATATACGTTTCCATTTCTTGCAAGTTCATAGCAATAATAATGAAACTCATGTAACTTATATCATAAACAGACGGCATACTTGGCAACTGTCTGTTGAAGAATTAAACAAAAAGGGCATTTGCCCTGCAGTTTCCAAAATTGTTTTTTAAAGAGATGCAATGATATATATTATTTTTATTGTATGCAACTCGTTAATGATTCTCAAATGTCAAAACAAAAGTGAATGAGTTTGTAAGGGTAGTGGGTGTTTTTAATCGGGAATGGTGGGGTTCACGAGAAAACACAGGATTTGGTTACCAAACAGGCAAAAAATGAATATATTTTAAAGAAAACAGTATGACTGTAGAAATGAAAATGAAATGTTCATGGTTGAGTGACTTTGAATGGGCAGAGATGAATGTAGATGGCAGTGCTGTGAATTATTTTGTACTGTCTGTTTATAAAACCTCAACTAAAAGGCTGATTTCAGAAAAGTGTAATAACAACTGAGAACATAAAACTGTGTATAAAAGGGCAAGTGAAAACACGAACGAGTACAAAATAATGTCTGCTTGCTCTGCAGGAACAGTTGGGTCTAAGAAATTTTTTGAGCCCTGACGTGTCAACTAAGCATTGAAATGAAAGTTTGTTGTGTTCTGCATAATAACTGTTACCTCAAACATTTGCTATTTCCAACATCTACATGATGTAAACATGATATAGATTGAGTTCTGATATGGAAATAGCATGCCAGGCATGCCTGACCATGTACATATGACTCAAGTGCAAGTAACATACTGCTGGCCTTATTGTTCATTTACAGTCTAAAGAGAAAATATTGTTTCAGTTTCAACTTGACTTCTCTGCAATTGTTATCAATGGTAATCAGATGGTAAAAGATGCATGTTTGTCTTGTTTGCAGCTGGATGATGCTGAGTTGGATCTCCCCGCTGTAGAAAACACACCAACATTGGAAAGCATTCTCAATGAGGTTGAGGTTGTTTTGTTTTGATTTTGACATTATGTCAGACCTTGAATTATATGTGAAATGATTAATCGCAAGTGAATGAAAAAGAAATTGAACATTGTTCAGTAGCTATTTGTTGCTATTAGTACACAAATATGTCATATTTGTTACTTGCCATATCTTAGGCATCTCCACAAGTTTTCATAAGTAATAGCTTCATGATTTCTTATGAAAAATTTGATAAATCTGAAAAAAATCAGAAAGGAAAATGACCAACCCTGCTAAAAGGTTGTATGCATTTGTAATTTTGGT